CTCTCCCTTTTCCCCCCCTCTACCCCGCCCACTCTCCTTTTTTCCCCCCCTCTACCCCGCCCACTCTCCCTTCCTTTCCCCCCTCTACCTCCGCCCACTCTCCCTTTTCCCCCCCTCTTACCCGCCCACTCTCCCTTTTTCCCCCTCCCCCTCTACCCCCCCGCCCACTCTCCCTTTTTCCCCCCCCCTACCCCTCCCCGCCCACTCTCCCCTTCCCCCCTCTACCCCCGCCCACTCTCCCTTTTCCCCCCTCTACCCCGCCCACTCTCCCTTTTCCCCCCTCTACCCCTCCACCTCTCCCTTTTCCCCCTCTCTACCCCGCCCACTCTCCCCTTTTCCCCCCCTCTTCCCCCGCCCACTCTCCCCTCCCCCCCCCCCCTCCCCGCCCCCTCTCCCTTCCCCCCCCCCTATACCCCGCCCACTCTCCCTTTTCCCTCCCCTCCCCGCCTCTCTCCCTTTTTCCCCCTCTACCCCCTCCCCTCTCCCTCCCCCCCCTCTACCCCGCCCACTCTCCCTTCCTCCCCCCTCTACCCCGCCCACTCTCCCTTCCTCCCCCCCTCTACCCCGCCCACTCTCCCTTCCTCCCCCCTCTACCCCGCCCACTCTCCCTTTCCCCCCCCTCTACCCCGCCCACTCTCCCTTTCCCCCCTCTACCCCGCCCACTCTCCCTTTTCCCCCCTCTACCCCGCCCACTCTCCCTTTTCCCCCCTCTCTACCCGCCCCGCCCCCCCCCCCTCTCCCTTTTCCCCCCCTCTACCCCCCGCCCACTCTCCTTTCCCCCCCCCCTCTACCCCCCCCCTCTACCCCCTCTCCCTTCCCCCCCTCTACCCCGCCCCACTCTCCTTCCCCCCCCCTCTACCCCGCCCACTCTCCCTTTTCCCCCCTCTACCCCGCCCCACTCTCCCTTTTCCCCCCTCTACCCCCCCCCCCTCTCTCCCTTCCCCCCCCTCCTCCCCCCGCCACTCTCCCTTTTCCCCCCTCTACCCCCCCGCCACTCTCCTTTTCCCCCCTCTACCCCGCCCACTCTCCCTTTTCCCCCCCTCTACCCCGCCCACTCTCCCTTTTCCCCCCTCTACCCCGCCCACTCCCCCTTTTCCCCCCTCTACCCCCCGCCCACTCTCCCTTTCCCCCCCTCTCTACCCCGCCCCACTCTCCCTTTCCCCCCCCCTCTACCCCGCCCACTCTCCCTTTTCCCCCCCCTCTACCCCGCCCACTCTCCCTTCCCCCCCTCCTCCCCCCCCCCCCTCCCTTTTCCCCCCTCTCTCCCCGCCCCACTCTCCCTTTTCCCCCCCCCCTCTTCCCCGCCCACTCTCCCTCCCCCCTCTACCCCGCCCACTCTCCCTCCCCCCCCCTCTACCCCGCCCACTCTCCCTTTTCCCCCCTCTACCCCGCCCACTCTCCCTTTTCCCCCTCTACCCCGCCCACTCTCCCTTTTCCCCCTCTACCCCGCCCACTCTCCCTTTTCCCCCCTCTACCCCGCCCACTCTCCCTTTTCCCCCCTCTACCCCGCCCACTCTCCCTTTTCCCCCTCTACCCCACCCCACTACACTTCCCCCCCCCCTCTCTCCTCCGCCCACTCTCTCTCTCACACTCTCTCATACACATACACATACACACACACAAAGAGAAAAAAACAAGAGAGAGAGAGACCTGTTGCTTGGCTATATCAATGGCCAGGTATCTGGAAGAAGCTACTTGATACCACAACAGCAGTAAACCAGACTCAGATGTTGAAGTAAACTGAATTTCTACTGCAATATCCTCAGTGATATTTACTGGACCTGCCATGATATAATAACAAGATAATGTTTATATTAGTTTTCTCAAATATCTTAGATAATTTTATGTTTTTTTTTATAGCAGCAGCTGAAACAAGTAATGATAAATAAGGCTAAACTGTTAGCAGAAGACATGGTATCAGGAATAAAGGCCACACCAGCATGAATAATGGGCACATGATATAAGAAGCACCCAGTTTAGTAAAGTGCAAAAGGCGGAATAGCTGGTGAGAGACTGAGCTTCTTTCATGCTGGTCATTATGAGAGCGATGTTAAGTAAAAGACTTGCTACATGATGATGATGAGGCTGTCAAGCTAGCAGTTGGGATTCCAACTTTAATAAGGGCATGTCACCCCATAATTGCACTGTTCAAATGTCAGTGAAAACCACAAAAATCATCACAGTCCTATGTGAAAGGTCAAACAAACAACAGTCCTGGCAACATCTAACAGCTTGCACATGCTTCAAATGCAAAAAGCAGCCATCAGAGGTCCCAACCTGTACACTCTGTCACTAAAGTTGCTATTAAAAGCTGATAGAAGTACTAGTCACAACAAATCAGCAGGTGCACATGCATTACTGCACAAGGCACATTGCCAATTCTGGGGAAACCAGCTACTTGCTATTCTCTGAATATACGGTTTACAACACATATTTCCGGGCTCACAGAAAATATGTATCCTTCATAAAATGCACAGCTGACAGTGTCGTACCATGCACTCAACTCAGTAACTGGCCAACAAAAGTGGATTTTGCCTCTACCTTGTTTGTTGTCCCATCCAATTTCCAGCTAGAAAATCTTCTAAAGATGTCATGCCAGTGTTAATAATCATGGTTTTTCATTACCTTTATTCTCTATTAATTTTTATTAGAGTTAAAATTGACCACTGGAGTTGGGACTCTGCGCTTGCTACTGAAGATGGGGAAGGAACACTTATGAGTGTCTTGAGTGCTGTGATGTTGATTCTCAATTCAACATTCTTGCCCTAATATTTGTGCTGTAGATAATCTGTGAGAAATATTGTAAATGTTTTCTAGGTCAATATGTATAACCTTGATGTTCCAAATTAAATAGCTTTAAAATCAAGTTAAGTATTTCTCAATTTTATTATTTCAGTTTTGACATTTGCCAGTAGAAGTTGGAGTAGCACTAAAAACATGGAACAAATGTTAGCTGCATTTCAAAACAAATACCTAAGTAAACTGTGATTCGGATACAATAAAATAAAAAAGCGAAAAAAAAAAAAAAGAAATGACTGGACAGATGATGGTAGCAACAGTATTAAGACAATTCGGCTACATATTAGGCACAATCCAAAGGGAAGCAATCAGAGAATCACCAAGCAGGCACTTAAGAGGAAAACAAATGGACTGAGAAAACAAGGACACTAAAAATAAACCATAAGATGAAAGAGAGAGGCAATTTAAGTTTTTGAAACAACTTCACTTCGAAAAATAAACTGCGAGCGGTATGTGTCATATAAATGCACAACAGGATATTTATATTTTTAACAAAGTAAAAACACAGGAATCTTTTACCTAATCCCAAGTAAGAATTGCTGCCAGTTAGGGAGACTCCGTAGTATGCTGTTTTTGGAATTGCAGGGTAAATTGTTCTGTCCAAGGGTCTGAAAAACAACAAATGCGGGAAAGTCATAGAATGGCAATGCAAGAATGGCTTCATTTTACATGCGTTCCAGCTTCTGTATTTGGCTGTTAGATAAAGTGAGCAGGTTCAAACCATACTCATCACTGAAATAATCCGTTGCTGATAGAGTGTCCATGATCGTTGATGCCATCCCCTTCAATGCATTAAGTCCTTTCCTTATTTCAAACACTAGCTCTTCCACGTAGTACTTGAAAGTTATACTAAGATATGTAAGTGAATTCTCTCTTTACGTTGCTATCGTTTATTGTGATGCCTTATGATACCCTGCGTGGGTTCTGGGGCCATTTATAGGGAAAAAAAGAATAGACCCACTGCCTACCCAAAAGCATGTCACAAGAGTTGACTAATTGGGAGCTTCCTTTGAAGTCGGAGTACATCTGCCTGAGAGGCAATGAACCAACAGTCTGCACACAAATCTGTCAAATAGATGCACACGCATTACTCAGGTTCTGAAACAGGGCTGCAGTCCAGAACTGGACAAAACAACACAGAAGTTTTAACCAGAGTTTACAGCCAGTGAACGCGAAGAAGAAGAAGAAGTTTAATTGTGATGTTTTGAGCCTCGTCTCTAACGATTCTGTTTTTCAGTGAACACCACAATACAGCTGCATTGTATGGGTTGATGATAGAACCTGTTTCCTCACACCACTCTTTTACATTGTCTCCCGTGTTCAGCAATAGATATCTCTATTCCAGCCACTGCAATCCAAATGATGATCCAGGGACATACCTCTATATCCCTTTTATCTATCAACACATGTGAAAATATACACTCATACATTTAAGCATTTGCATACATGTGTACACCATGTGTGCATGTTCATGTACACATCATCATCAGGTGCCTTGCCGACTGGCGTGGGCGATCATGCCTCTCCATAATCCGCGATCTCCTGCAGCATGTATCAGTTCGTGTGCCGACACACATCCATGCCATGCAACAAGACTGTCAAGCATCTTCTCTCGTTGTCTTCCTCTATCCCTCCTTCCACAGATCTTTCCAGTGGTCACAACATGTTCTATTTTCCCTCTTCTCATAACATGGCCGAAAAATGATGACTGTCTCCATCTGATGTCAGTGATAAGTTGTCTTCGGTCTCCCGCCTCTTTTAAAACCTCTTGGTTGCTCTTTTTGGCTGTCCAAGGTATTCTAAGCATTCTTCTGTAAAACCACATCTCTGAGGCCTCCAAAAATTGTTTGGCCTGCCTACCGATTGTCCAGGATTCACATCCATATGTTAAAACTGGATGTATGTAGCAAGCAAGAATTCTTTTTCTAACTCTCAATGACAAGGATATATTGCACAAGATGTTTTTCATTTTATAAAATGCAGTTTTTGCCTGTCCAATTCTGTTTCTTATTTCAGTTATGCATCTTCCATCTGATGTTATCCATGTGCCCAGATACTTAAATTTCTGTACTTGTCTTAAAATAACACCATTGACTTTTATTACACATTTAGGAATAATTTGTTTCTTTGATACCACCATTACTTCTGTCTTCCCATTATTCTTAATTGCAGCGTAAATGAACATACCCAAGTGACAGAGCAACATCTGAAGGGGTGACATCCTGAGATTTAAGGCTCACAGAGTAGACAGCTCCAGCAAAATTCATCTTTGATGGCTGCAGAGAGAAATCACCATGGTTTATGATTTAGTATTTGTTTAACTGTTTCACTGTACATTTTTTTTGGTGCAAATCTTATATAACAAAAAAATGTAAACAAGATTTAAATAATAGAACCTGATTAAATTTAAAAAACAACATTTCGCTTACATTCAGTAACATCAGTGCAATTTCAGGAATGACCAACTTCCCTTCTATCTTCTTCCTTTTTTTTTTTAACCCTTTTGTCCTGTTCTGCCTTTGGGCATCAGGCTTTGAAGAGGCTTCTGATGCAAGCCTTGATATGTTCTACACAAATGCTGGTATTTGTGGCCTGGATATTTCATCCATCCATCACCTGCATGGCCAATCTCTGCTTCCGTTCCCTCTAAATGACAAGGCTCTCTGTGGTGCACTATTTTGTGGTAGTCTTGACACATGTCTGAAATAGTTGATGTGTTGTCGCCTGATGTAGTTTAGTACTGGTTCTGTTCCAGGTTGTTTCTGACATTGCCATTTCTGATCTTGTCTCCAATTATTATCTTTAAGAATCATCATAGACACTTCATCTTTGTTTTCCTTTTCCTTTTGTTGTTTATATCCATAATTCGGGTTTAAATGGAGGATAAGGCATCACAGAATGTTAAGCTTCGAAGTTATTTTTGCTTCCGACAGCGCATTCTTAATCTAGTTTCCACATATGTACAGTAGTCTACGATTTCACTGCCTCAGCTACTGAGTTTAGTGCTTGGTGCAGCCCTGTGAGCTATGTTTTTCCTGTGAAATGCCCTTTATTTGTGCAGTTGCTGTTACATGGTATTCAATAGCTGGTGAAATACCTTATGTAATAATTCTACATGTGTATAGCAGCCAAAATTTTGTGCACACTGTTTCCATCAACGACGGACTGTATTTCTGGTGGCGACTATTGGCTTTGGTGCCTCTAGCAACTGAAATTTGTATTTAGTGCATGCATATATTTCTGGATTTTTCCAGGACTAATTGTTTGTTCACCAGTTTTTCCAAGCAGCAGTGAGAGACTTCATTTGATTTGCACTGGCACAGGAACAGAGCAAGCATGGGGGAACCCAACTGCGGTGAAGTTGAAACCTTGACCAAACCTAAGACTCCATAAATAACAGTGGTAACATAATGTTGTTAAAAATACTGTATTCAATAGTGCTCTTTCTGTCTCAATTGTTAATGCCTGTTCTCTAACATTGATACCATCTGTCCAATGATTTGATTTTCACTATTGTCACATTTATGAAAGTACAATACAATAACACATTTTAGTGAGAAGGAGAGGAAGAAGTCTTAGTGTGGTTTTTAAGCACATTCTTATATGTAGTGGTTATGGTATTTTACAAGATTGGATGATAGAACTAGTAGCACTACAACTATGTCACCTCAAATCTAATAGTATCAGTAGCACTATAACTATGTCACCTCAAATCTAATAGTATCAGTAGCACTATAACTATGTCACCTCAAATCTAATAGTATCAGTAGTACCATAACTATGTCACCTCAAATCTAATAGTATCAGTAGCACTATAACTATGTCACCTTAAATCTAATAGTATCAGTAGCACTATAACTATGTCACCTTAAATCTAATAGTATCAGTAGCACTATAACTATGTCACCTCAAATCTAATAGTATCAGTAGTACCATAACTATGTCACCTCAAATCTAATAGTATCAGTAGCACTATAACTATGTCACCTTAAATCTAATAGTATCAGTAGCACTATAACTATGTCACCTCAAATCTAATAGTATCAGTAGTACCATAACTATGTCACCTCAAATCTAATAGTATCAGTAGCACTATAACTATGTCACCTTAAATCTAATAGTATCAGTAGCACTATAACTATGTCACCTCAAATCTAATAGTATCAGTAGCACTATAACTATGTCACCTCAAATCTAATAGTATCAGTAGCACTATAACTATGTCACCTCAAATCTAATAGTATCAGTAGCACTATAACTATATCACCTCAAATATAATAGTACCCCTAGCAGTCTAATTATAGGCTGATCCAATTTTAATGTTACCAGTAACAATTCAATTATATGTCAGCACACTAAAAAAAACAGTCATCCTCATTTTCCTAACTCTGAAAACATGTGTAATTTCAACAAAACTCTCATACCTGCTGTACAATCTTCTGAGGAAGTGCAGATGTTGAAGCAATGTTGCTACCGATTCCACCAAGATAAACACGCACCGAAGCTGGTAATAAAAGCTGTGATGTTATGTTTGCATTAGCTTCAGTGTTGACATAATCTTTTTCTGAGTCAATGACTAAACTTGCAAAATCATTTATCTTCATCACCCGCAGCTGCAAAAAAAAAAAAAAAAAAAAAAACAACAATACATTTTCAGAAGAACACCTCCCAAGATAAATTTTTAATAAAGAGCTGAGTATGAAAAATTAATGGCCAGTGGTGTAGTCATACTAAGGTGCCACTCCTGTATTTATTTAATGTAACCAAGTGTGCCCTGCATAACAAATTGACAGTAAATATTAAGTTTGAATTTAAAAAAAAAAAAACAGAACAAAATAATTAACATTAATATGTGCACATCTAAACAATGATTATGATGATGATATTAAAATAATAATACATATTATGTATGACACCATATTGCATGGATGCATTGCTACTACTATTTAAATTTGAGGTGTTAGCATGCGGTCAGTATTCATTATCATGTTGTTTGCTGATACACTTTCCGTTCAGTGTTATATCCTTTCTGGGTCTAGCACTTGATAAGTCTACTGAGAAAACGCAGATGTGTTGGGAAATAAACAGGCGGACAGACTGGCTGGCTCTGCACAACTTGGTGGAATACTGATACATGTTAAGGTAAACGTGGTTGGGGCCTTGTGGGAGAACATGTACAGTTCAGAGGAGCAGATGGGTCACCACAGAATGATTCAGGGAGATTGATTCAGCAGGGGGTGAAGAGGGGTTCTGGTTGATGCTCGAGGCTCAGAGGAAAGGCGAGACGGACGTTTAATCAGAATGGCACCTTTAGTATTGGAACTCTGAGCTGGCCGCTGAAGATAGGGACGGAGCGCTTATGGGAATGCCTCGAGTGCTGTGATGTCATTTCTTGAATCAGCTCAACTCTGAGAACACCAGTTATTGCTTAATGAAACTAATACATCACTCAAAGTGGACGTTACTAGTGCTATTAGTCTCCTTTAGTGTGGACAAACATATGACGATAATGAATTGAAGACTAACCTACAAGGTACGCACCTGAAGACACAAGTACAATTCAAGTATGCTCTACCTGCACACTATACCAGCACAAAGTCTGAAAGTCCTCCCCCCCCCCCCCCCCAACCCCACCCCACCTCCCCAGTCTCAACAACTGGACAGAACACAATACACACTGCATTCTGTATCCAGACAGCTGCTAGAGGCACCTTCCACCCAATCACACAAAATCCATCTTTCACTGATGGCTATGACCTTTCTCTATCCCAGAGATCTGGCCATCTTAGAACCTCAGTTAGTTGCACCGATTTGGTGAAGAAAATCCAGAACATCATCTGATACCTTGTCACTTCTGGAAGTATACCTGACACCTCCCCATCACAATCTTACACCTGCCAACTCACAGTTACCATAACAACATGTATAGAGCCTGCACACTTGTCTCCATCAACTAGAGTGACACATGGATGCATAAGTGCTGACCCTTTATGCATGGGCCAACATTTATTTCATCCTGTGACTAATGTCTACACTAACACTATTCCAAACTCCAATTTCTAATACACCAAATTCATCTAGACAGCTAGAACAGACTAAAACTCATGTCTAAAAACTGTCACACAACATGAACATGGGTCCAAACTCTTTCACTGACTGAAAGCTACTGAATCAGTCTACCATGGTATTCAACTACCAGCGATCACTCTCATATTGGTCTGGCGACACCTGTGGGGTTTGTGAATTTCAAACAACAAATGTTTCACATTTTTTCAGAGGCCAAAGGATTTACACAAGTCTTGATCATTCGTATAATTAATAACAAATGTGCATTTTAACACCCATCTGACCTCTGGCATAAATGCATTCTAATATCCCAGTTACTACACAACAACGGTGCAGAAACAATTCTAAATTACACATAAAGACAGCAAATTAAATTATTTGCCCACACATACAGAATACCTTATGATGCCGTACTATTCAAGGCATATACTAAAAGAGAAGCAGGATGTAGATACAAGGTAGACCAAGAACAAACTGGAAAAACAACATCTGAGAAACTTGAATACAGCACAATGCATCACTGATCGAGGTGGCCTTAGAGCTTCCTTGACACCCAAAGCAGTGAAAGAGAAAGCAAAGAAGAAGAACAACCTGGAAGCGCAAATTTTTAAAAAAAATCCACTTTCCTAAGGATCTGAACCTATTACCACAGGGTTGGCAGGCAAACATGCTCACAAAAAGACAAAATATAGCACTTATTCATATAATGTGTGACGAGGATGATATTTTGCACTAGAAAGTAAACCATAATTGTTATGTTTCAGTATTCAATGCTCTGGAGGCTATCACCCAAGAATGGCTCATTTAGTTGTTGCAGTAAAAACACTGTGAAAATACATGAAATAAAACAGCACAATTACTGTGTATCGCTGGCCATTGCTGTAATGTTTTAGAAGATGAACATCATGCTCTTTTTTCAGGCTTGTCCTCAGACGCAGGTGAAGGAACCCATCCAACAAATAAATAGTCAGATAGTAACTGGGATTATCCGGTAGGTCCGACACATAAAACAGCACACCATCGGCCTTAAAGGCAGCAAAGTCAATGTCCATCGCAAAACTGTTGTGAAATACAATAAGAAAGATTGATATCATGCTGGCAATAGCAAAGACACAGTTAACGTAACATTTGTATTTCAGCAATAGAGAACAGAAATAATGAGTTGTAGATATCTAGTGTGTGTGTTCGTGTAACAGTTTGTACTAATATATACAGAAAATCTAGGGGTCTCCTTGGCGAAGTGGTCAAGTCATTTGCTCATGCTCTGAAGGTTGTGGGTTCATTTCACGGCTGCACATATTTTAAGAAAATTCATCTTTCCGGTGGCAACATACAGACATGAATCATGCCATTTTACAATCACTGAAAAAAATACCTTTTTGTTTCAATGTTTTATAAGAATGCTTAGAGTACCACTGGATGATTCTCCTTTCTCTTCCTTGTTCCTATTTTCAGGGAAGCACATAACTCCTGTTTATATACATCAGAGGTTAGTGCATAGGGCATACAATCTACACCTTGTAATTTCAACTTTCGTAAGATTTTTTTTGGGAGCATGTACACTGGGCTTTCTGCTTTTGAATTTCGTTTGAGAAAAGATAGGTATCTGATCTTACGACCAAAAAGATCAGGGCAATTTATGATATCTTCTTCTTCTCCACTTATGTGAATTCAAGAGTCACATTATGAATAGCAATTTCAAAAAGCACATATTTTTACTAGTCGTCCTCTTGTGGGATGCAATTGTTTTGTTATTTGAAGCCCTACCCTGGCTTTTGCTGGGGACCTTGAATATAGCTAGGCCACAATTGTGGCCATAACGGCTGAAAGGGGTTTCTGGGACCTCTCTAAAGGTGATCCTCATCCACATGGTGGCACTTTGTGTCACCAGGTGTTTATAGCTTGTGTGATGTCCTGGTGGGGTGCAACAAGCAAGCAAGCAAGCCAGTAAAGGCACGTTCCAATTAAAAAAAAAAATACTGTGCATCCCAATGTCAGATACAATTTTGTTGTTGTTTTAAAGCCCCATCTTGGCTGTTGCCAGGAGCCTGAAGTGTATGAAAAACATACAACAGATATTTTAACCCTGACATGATTAGAAAACACACACTTCTGATCTGGAGTTAGATGCATTACCATTTGACCATGGGGTTCACCACGATTTTATTGTTAATGTCTATTCTTACCTCCTCTCAAAGTAAGCAGGAAGACTCAAATTTGGTGCAAGATCACTCCAATTAATGGAACTTGTCCCATTGATAAAAAGTCCCGCATTAAGCTCAAGGCGTGTGGGTGTTGAGGGCGTAACACAAGGCACTAAAACAGGGTCAGTAAAATTGGATGGAGAGACGATGCTAGCAGATGAAGCTGGAATACCAGCAAGCGTAACATCCTTTTGGGTCAAAATATTTGACTGAAGAAATGGAACCAATCTGAGAAGTGGAAACAAATAATTATGAACATGTGCATGTTAGCTTTTATTGTTATATAATCCATACAAATGATAACAATGATGATATACACAATCTAATAAATGAGGAAGGAAAAGGATGAAAAGAAAAAGTAGTAAAACAAAAAAGAAGAAGAAAGTGGGGGAGGTGGCGTGGGAAAAGAATAAGAAGACGAAGAAGAACTATTAAAGTAGACTGATGAAAGACCATTTAAACACACAGACATGAAAACAGCTAGTCTGTCTACACCTGATCTCAAAGCAGTGTTTCCTCTTTACGGATTTTAACAAAGAAGACACAAACAATAGATTGCACAATTGACTGCCTAGCATATTTCACTGATAAACACTGATCTGATCTGAGACTGCTGATGTTGTGGGATGACAAATAATTATAGGCCTTTTCTAATGATAGTCTGTTGTTAGATGCTGTACTTTTGACATGGCACACAATAATAGTGACCTAAAAAGTTGCTTTAAAATGTCTCGGAAATATAGGTGAAACCTAACAACAACAACAACAAATAAAACGCTATTATGTTTTATATAGGAATAAGGATATTTTTGAAAAAATTACAGAGCAAATGTATTTTGCTGTGTAACAATAATTTATTAAAATGGAGAAAATAAATAAATTATTCCAACTGAACACAAAATGGACTAGATAAAAAAACTGTCTGTTCCACCAATGTAAACGTAAGGTGAAGACCATGTCCTTTTGTCTGCATAATTCTGGACTAAACTGGTTTATAGCAGTTGCTTCCATAAATTCAATACTCTGGGGTTGGCTGAGATGTAAATAAATTGAAATCTGTCATCCTTGTTTACAATGTGCCCCGAATTCAAAATATGACATTAAAGGGCTGATGATAGTTTTTTTTTTCCCGACCACTCACCTGATTCAATGTTGTTGTTTACATTTTCTAAGTATTTTGCAATTGCTTTGGCCACTCATGGTGGGATATGTTCAGTGACCTATTTCTCCAGTCACTGATGAGTTCTGCTTACATATGCAGCATTACAGATGCATTTAAAATGGTAAATAAAATTAGATTTGACATATGTTGATACTGTTTGTTTCACTGGTGTAGAAATTATGGTAGTTTTAAATCTGATATCAGGCATAGCTGCATAAAAAGTTTGACTGTTGTTTTGAGCTGGTTGAAAATATTAATTTATTTACTTCATTTTAGTCAATTGTTACTGTAGTATGCAACTGATGAGACACAGCAAAATACATTTGCTCTGTCTGTAATTTTTTTTAAAAATATCCTTATTCCTATATAAAACATAATAGCGTTTTATCTGTTGTTCTTGTTGTTGTTAGGTTTCACCTTTATTTCCGAGACATTTTAAAGCAACTTTTTAGGTCACTATTATTGTGTGCCATGTCAAAAGTACAGCATCTAACAACAGATTAGCATTAGAATAGGCCTATAATTATTTGTCATCACACAACATCAGCAGTCTCAGATCAGATCAGTGTTTTTGTCTCAGGTGTGTTAGATGGAGATGCCATCTCTCTGACTTATAATGTGAGCCATGATAGTAAAGTTAGCATGTTTTTTTTTTTTTTAAAACAAAAAAAAAACTGTCTTGGAAGTGAAGGCAGCCACTGTGATATTACCCATATAATCCGTCAAGAGCTGTAACTTTGGACAAATATAACCGATTCTGACTAATCTAGCTACTATTTAAAGTAAAGTAAAAAAGCAAAAGTAAAGTAAAGATCCCTTTTCACGCCTTTAGGCATATCAGGTTATCTTCTTCTTCTTCTTCTTGTTCACCGGCTGTGAATTCCGGCGGTAAGTCGCAGTTGTTCGTCCAAATGAACTTTTGGCTTTTACCTTGACCTGAGTTTTGCATGTACATCCGTTTTACTGTCTTATTTGTTTGCAGTCCTCGTTCCCTGCCTCACCGGCAGATGTACTCCGACTTCGAGGGAAGACGTCAAGCCTATTTCTAGGTTGATTGTGGCCATTGTTTTGTGTGGGTCGTGATGTTGCCTCATTTGTGTGGTGTCCTCTTTGACCTTTAACAGGTGTGGCCCCCGGAATGTCCTCCTTAAGGCAGCACTAGGTAGAATTGTCAGCCCTCAAGGGAAGGCAGGGGCAGATCATGGGCATTCCCCGCCATCCAAGGAGGCTTCCATAAATGCAGAGCCGACACATGATGCTCTGGTTCTGGGCTCACCCAAGGAATCGTCACGTCCTGCCCATGACTGCTTAACCTCACAACCGTGTATTGAGCTTCCCGCCTACAAGGCTGCGCTCTCCGGAGATCAGCGGGGAGCAGCCCGCAAGTCAAGGACTTTTGGGGCCACACAAATAGGTACATTCTTTTTCATCGTACGTTAGACACCTTTAACGTTGTTTCAGCTGTGCCCTTAGCACGACAGAATCAGGCTTCACCTGTTTGGTCCCAACACTCGGGCGAGTGGGACCAGTGGGTACGGACATTTGTCTTTTTCCTGCTCTGTACGAATTCTGATCGTCGGACTTTGAGCTTGCATGTGTGCCGTGGGGTATAACTTTGTCGGACGTTATTTCCTAGCCAGCTTATGAAGAGTTACTGCCGTGGTGTAACTCAGCGCGGTGACGACGACACTGAGGATTGACAGAGGATGTGCGTGGGTAGGATCTTGCTGCGAGAAATCACCCACAAGAGATGTTACTCGTCTTGGCTGCGGGTAAATCTCTCGGTCAGGGTTGAGTCTCAGCAGCACAGTTTTCCATTCGCTTCCGAATTTTAACCGAGAGTTGTCATTTGATGGTACATTTAGCAAGCAATGCTTACTCATGTTCTGAATGAGTTTTGTTATACTTTTCACCCATGCGTTTGGGGGCGGGCTGGTGAGAGCCAGAAAGGGCACTACACCTCTAGGGGCCGCCAGCTCCGAGATCCCCTGCCAACTCTGTTAATGCTCATTTGAGACATTATCCGTGGCGCACGACGGGGACTTGCGGCAGGAGTCTTGCATGAGGTTCCGTAAAACCAGAACAGTGAAGGACTGGCGCCCGAGTGGGGTACGGTATATCTCCATATACACATCACATCAGACTTAACTTCCCCTCATGCCTGTGACCGAAATCACCGCGCCACATATCATGTGTATGAGAAGAGCGCCCATATTTTCACAGACCATTGGCCCTAGGTGGGAAATGTGGTCAGCATTATGCCGGCCATCTTTACTTCAACAGGACAGCCATTCTGATACTCATTTTAGGCTGGGTCGACCTGCGACGCCCCATACCATGATAGAAATCCATGCAGCCAGCAGTGGGTTTTGATCACGGTATGTTGGAATTACGAGTCGGACTCGCAACGCCTAAGCCACGGACGCCGCATGACTATTTGAACAGATGTGAAAAATGAGCTACATCACTGACCTGGAGTTTACAGACAGTCTGGAGATTCCCCCAATAAGAGAATGGGTGACAGGACACTCAGGCTGTAGGTTTGTTCCATTCATGACCCCACCAATCTGCAGCATAGCACTAGCAGGGAAAGCCAGGTAGTCAACACTCAGGGTCTGAGATGTTTCTTCAAAAATGTTGTTGTCCACATTGAGGGAGACTCTGAAAGAACATAAAAATTAGTGACCAGGTCTATGCCCTCAACCCTCTCGCCTTAAGAACATTTGAAAAAAAATGATTCAATCCTGCTTGGATTCCCCTAATTTTTTTTTTTTATTAACTAGTTACTAATATATTCCTTAAAAATGTATTTATCTAAATTTTTCTTAGAAATATATTAAGACAAATGAAGGAAGTAATGAATAAACATAGAGTTAAACATTAAATGGAATACAATCTCCAGGGACTAAAAACAGGGGCTCAAATGGACACCTAATACCCCCCCCCCCCCCCCAACCTTCCCCCAGCTTTTGTAGGAAATGTTTTCATTTCCCTGATCCCTTTAAATGTTTGCACCAGCATGAAAACACCCAACAGCATTAACTACACTTCACAGGGTGCTTTAGATGAGTTAGAAAAGTGACATCATGGGAAAGTGAACCAGCCAGTAATGTCATTTATGAGGCTTCTGGAGTTAAAATGGTTCAAGAAGGGGTTTAATCTACTATAAGAAGTGTTTACTGACGAATATGTTTGTTTCATTAATTTAGTTTTTAATAAACCATGCTGGTACAATAGGTAAAAACATGCCCGCCAGTCTGAAAATCTCTATCAGGGTAGATATTTTATAGTTGACCTAGGACTCCCAGCTTGACCCAGCCTAAAGTGGGTACCAGGATATGTCTTGGGAGGTAAAGATGACTGGTGTGATGTTGATCCCACCACCCAGGGAGTGCCAATTGATCTATATAAAAAAAAAATTATCATATGCCCAAGAGGCCAATAATATGAACAGGATCCTTTGCTTTAGGTTGTTTTCTCATATTTTTAAAATTATGGATATAATGAAAAAAGTTTTTAAAAAAGTAAAGGACCCTTTTCCATGCCTTTAGGCGCATAGGGCATATAGGGCTAGACCTATATTTTTATAGACCAATCGGCACAAGATGGGTGATGTGGTCAGCATCACGCCGGTCGCCTTTACTTCCTGGGACTGCACCCGGCTCCTGGATACACTGATGTCTGGCATTAATAGCAAAGAGTGGGTCAGAAGCCATACGTTATTGCACTTAATACACGATTACAAAATGACGGCATATTTTAAAGATAATGTTTGGTACAAACCTTAATGTTGTGCAGTCCAGCTTTATAGTATGCTTTTGGCCATCACTGACAAACTGACCAGAGCTGACCACAACAGATGTGATGTTTTGGTTGTACACTACAATCACATTGCCACCAAACAATGCCAGATACAGGAATCTCAGCTATGTCAGAATATATAAGTTCACAGTAACAATGGAAATGAAGAATTCGAATCTCATTTTCTGGCAGTACATCGGAATGTATTCTACTATATGAACAACCGATTTGAAGGGCTTGCATCACTTAATAATACCCAGATCAAAAGCATATCATGGATTTTCTGTCCAGCATATTCATGTGTGTGAGGTAATGAGCAGACTGACAGATTAGCTGTGTCGCTCCTCTGGGCGGTTCTCTACTATATGATAAAGCAGATGTGGGATCAAATGGACAGTGCTAAGGAACAAACAGAGAATCCATACACTGAAAGATTAGTTCAACAGGGGAGTGAGTACAGGTTCTGGCAGATATTCATCATTGAATAGAAAAGGAAAAGAGAGATAGACTTTTTAAATCAGGTTGCAACTGGTATCATCAGCATTTCAACTCTTTTTTTTTGCTTAATGAAGAAGAGGACAGAGCACGTGTGGGGAATGTTCTGAGTGCAGTGATGTCAATTATGGATCCATCCATTCATTCATTTATTTATTTTTTATTCATTCATTCATTCAAACAACTGAGCAGAATATTAAAATTCATCTCTGATGTCTAATGAACTTGGAAACCATAAGATTTATCCTAAATGCTTCGAAGATGGTTACATTATCATTACACTATTTAGAATTTATTTGGATTACAAAAGTTTGTCCTTCATCATCAATTAAGTATAATAATATATACAAACATAAAAAACATAATTAATTAGAAATATAATAATATGCACATAGAAATATAATAATATGCACCAAACTCTTAATGAGACATAACAACAAGACATCTAAGAGAATAAACCTGAATAATTACAGACAAAAGCATTTAGAAAAATTAAAGAAAAAGAAAAGGAAATGATAAAAAGGTAAAGGTAAAGTCGGGAGATGTGAACCAGCGTCATTGCACACAGTTGTAAACCATAAGTGCTCTGCCACAGTACGGACAGCTGATAAGAAACTGTCCGCCTGTGTCACCGTCCGCAGGAATCTCTGTAGCTACATTCCTCCATTTTCCCCAGAACTGAGCACACATGGGAATGCCCAATGTGCAGTGACGTCGATTGTGATAACAGAAAATAACATAACATCTTGTAGGGAGTCGGCAGTCCAAAACCCAAGTTCAAGGTGTCTCCTTCGTGCCAAAGAACTACATGGCTGTTGGGTGAACAGTTATTAACGAAGGCAGTCAGGTCGTTGTGGTGGCGACCCTTGCTGGTGGATATAAGGTCCTAAGTCCTAAGGCTTTACCCCCAACTTCACCGTTTTGCTTTAAAATCAAGTGGTCCCCATGTGACTTCCAGGGCTCTTCTGTTTGGGTAAAATTGACTGCTTTCCTAATAAGCTTGACGTAAAAGGTGACTTTGCTAAAATCAAATGTGTTGGACCAAAAGCAGACATTACTACCTAGCAGCTGTAAACCACAATACCTTGTGTCGACCACCCTTTTGAAGACAACTAGAGAAAATAACAGCGAGTGTAGATTAGACAAGGATGCTTTATGTGCCTGAGGCTAGAAAACTGAAGACAAAAATTTAAACTGAAGGAAGGGAAAACCAATGTCCAGGACCTACCTTTTTTTTTTAATTTAAAAAAAAAAAAAGTCTTATTTGACTGGAAGCAATAATACGATTACTCCCGGCACGATCAACCACACTTTATATTTATCACATCGCCAAGACAATGATTAAATTACAATCAGCTCCACACTTGGTTAAACAATTTCTAAACCGGACACTTGATACCTTAACACCTTTCTCTTCCAAAGTTTGTGTGTATTTTAGTGAAACAATCTTTGAGTCTTGAGTTAAAACAAAACAACAGTAAAAACTGGCAATTGCCACTAGTGCCTGCACTTTTTAGAGTGATGTAGGGGTCTTGAGGCTGAGGATTTAGAGCCACATAGCTAATGCACTCGTCACTGACTGTCCAGGTTAGGATTTTTTTTTTTTAAACACCTGACATCAATACAAACCATCACCTTAACTAGATTCGAACACGGGTCTCATTAATGAAAGTCAAGAGTTCTTAACAATTCAGCCAGCTGTGCCTCACTATCTAAAACCATGTATTTCCTTTGTTAATGTATCTAAATTAACGGCAAAGTAGGCAGTATGGTGAAAACATCAAAAACAACAATTAATGGTCAACTCACAGCTCCTGGGCTACCAATGTAAGCAATTATGCCTTGAGGTTCATTAGTTATAACGTCAACCTCAAGACCTTTCAGCTGCTGTATTTGATCTGTATTGACAAGCTGAGCATAAGCCGAGAGGGAGGTGAATGCTACTCCACTGACTATCTATATATTAAAACAAATAGATCATATAAGTATTACAAAGAAATAATTGAAGCATTCTTTAGTTACTTTTAGTACAAGATAGATGTTGCTGTTACTTCACTCTACCTACAGTAGTTATTTCAGACTAATAATATTGTGAGATATAAACATCAAGGAATATTGGCTAATAAACAGCATCCTGTCTCTGAAGCTAAAATATTTTGGTCATATCAAGCACCACGACGGATTGGAAAAAATTATAGCAGAGGGCATGGTACCAGGAAGGAGGGCAGGGGCCGACCAACACGAAGATGGGCACAGGATATAAGTGACTCCTTGAGTGTGAAAGTACTAGAGGCAGGAGAGCTGGGGAGAGACCTAGTTTCTTTCAGGCAGCCATGGTGAGAGCGACATTCTGCAAAGGACCTGCTACATGATGATGATGGATATTGTGTCCAAAGTTATTCAAATATTAGGGTGTCTCCATCTTTAAGAAGTCACACCATTTGTTTCACGCTCCAAAGGTTGTGGGTTCATTTTATTGATTTGTTGTTCAGTTCACAAGTGCAAATTTTATCAAGATCCCCTTGAAACATTGCTGAAGCCTGGAGATCATGCTTTGTGCAGTGCTCCTGTCAAGGGGCCAGTCATTCCATGGAGAGACTCTGAACCATATAGGATAACACTGTGTCAATCCTCTTAAGATAACACTCTGTGTCAATCCTCTTGAGATAACACTCTGTGTCAATCCTCTTAAGATAACACTCTGTGTCAGTCCTCTTGAGATAACACTCTGTGTCAATCCTCTCGAGATAACACTCTGTGTCAATCCTATTGAGATAACACTCTGTGTCAATCCTCTTGAGATAACACTCTGTGTTAATTCTCTTGAGATAACACTCTGTGTCAATCCTCTTGAGATATCACTCTGTTTCAATCCTCTTGACATAACACTCTGTGTCAATCCTCTTGAGATAACACTCTGTGTCAATCCTCTTGACTTTCATTTTCATTTTAACTTACTGACATACTAAAAATACAGAAAAAAGTTAATTAAAGAAACAAAAAAGATAAAGTGGATTAATTAATTAAGCAAATGGGTAAAAGACAAGGTTAAGAAAAGCATATCATGTAAGAAATTACCAATACAGAATGAGTTGAGAATATTAACTATTTATCTGTCTGTTACTGTTCTCTTATAAAAGTATCATCATCATCATCATAAACCACTTCTGCCGTTAAGCATCGTGGGGAGGAATAATTTGCGTTCCAGTGCACGTTGGCTGCCACTGGCTATTGTCATGCCATGAAGGCGTAGAGTGTCTTTAATGTTGTCGATCCATGTTTTCTGGGGCCGTCCTCTTGCTCTTGTAGTTGATCTTCTGAGATGTAGTGCTTGTGATGGTATTTGATCTTGCTGCATTCTAACAAGATGGCCAAACCACTTGATCTGCTGTTTCTCGATGAATCTAGTACAAGGTGTCGTTGCCACAATTTGCCTGATAGTTTCATTATTCACTCGATCTATAAAAGTATGTAGCAGTAAATATAGGAAGCTGCCATGGTGAAGCAGCTAGATGCTCACCTGCATGCTTAAAGGTCATGAATTAAAATATGCACCAAGCCAGTCTTTTAACAAAAGAAAAAAAATATTTTGGCTAGATCGACACAGCCTAAAAGGGGTACACGACAAAGCCCTGGAAAGTAAAGATGGCTCAGATGATTTTGACCCCATGACCTATCATGTGCTGACAGGTTCATAAATACAGGTCTAGCACTACATACCCAAAAAGCTTAAAAGTGTGGGAACAGATAAATTTATACTTTTATTTGTTAAATACTTTTGATTCCTATGTGAAAACCACTAGCTAACAAGACTGATACAAGATATCCACATGAAAACAAATGATCAGAAAATGCATTGCTGGTTTATGTGTTACTAAACACACGGTATCTTTCAGTTTAGTGCCCATATTCTATGAGTCTTGGACCTGGAGGTGAGATCTGTTTCCAATGCCTCCCTATAGTAAAGTAAAGGACCCTTTTCCATGAATTCAGGCGTATTGGACCATATTAGGGCTAGACTTGTATTTTACAGACCAACTAGCATTTAGTGGGTGATGTGGTCAGCATCACGCTGACTGCCTTTACTTCCCATAATGCCACCTGGTATCCATTCAAGGCTGGTAATTTAAAAAAATAGGTTTGGTACCACCTTCCTATAGCACACTGACAAACACGGTTTCTGGTATTACTCCTAGAAGAAAAGTTGCACTGTTTTGACAAAGATGTTGAGAGTTTATTGATCAGAAAGAAATGGCAAACTATTGAACACAAAATTGCCTAGTAAACCAAACAGCCAACAAATGCTCAGATTGATTTTGCAATGGCCTGTAAAGGATACATAAATAACCTCTAACCGCAAGAAAAAAGTAAAACTCCTTTCTCTATATTTTGAGGCTTACTGGGTATATGCTGTTAGCCAACAGTGTTTGGGAAATGAGCAGACAGACTGTCTGGTTCTGCACCACTTAGTTGTGAACACATGACAAGCTAGATGTTGTGTGGGCCTTTTGGGTGCAAGTGAAGAGTACAGAGACACAAACAGATCATCAGGGTCTGAGGAGAATTGTGCTGTGAGAACCAGGGGATCTGGTTGACACTCAGCACTCAAAGGAAAGGTGAGACGGATATACAGTCAAACTGTTACTAGTACCATCAGAATTCAATCTCTGTGCTTGCTGCTGGTGATGGAGTACTTTTGGTTATTGTCCCACAGTGCTTTGATGTCGATGTCGATTCTTAATTCAAGTCAACATGCTACCTTCTATTTGTGTGGATTAAATGGCACTACATAAGAAATTTGATCAGTATCACACAAATCACTTTTACTACCAAGGTCACTTCCTGTTACCAATTTAAGCTGGATCGACCTGGGAGAATATGTTAATTAACTCCTTATGCACAAGGCCATGAATTAACTGACTATTCTATATATCAGATAACTCTCTAGGTTGTTTTAACTTTACTGTGATAAGTATTTGAGACTTAGGACACTGCAGCAATAGTTATAAAAACAGAAAAGGGTTTTAGTAATACATGTTTGAATCAGAAGTTGAGTTAATAACTAAAAGCAAACAGGTCATGAATAGTCGTATGATATTAAAAGATTTGAATAAATTGGCTCAATGAGGATTTGAATCTATTACATGCTGGCTGACATAAGGATGCTAGATACTGCACTTTCATAGTTCCTATATGTCCATTGACAAGGTGCATCTTCTATTGGCAGGCAGAAATATTGTAAGTGAAGTAAAGTAAAGGACCCTTTTCCATGCCCTTAGGCGTATAGGGCATATAGGGCTAGACCTATATTTTTATAGACCAATCGGCACAAGATGGGTGATGTGGCCAGCATCACGTCAGCATTACTTTCTCGGGACTGCACCCGGTACCCACTCAAGGCTGGGTCGACCTGGGAGCCAAGGTCATTTTTGAAAAAAGTCCGGCTCAAAGAAATATTGATGATTGCATTATTTGGTTTATAAATGTATATAAAAGGTAACATACTGACCTTTTCATAACATCCCTCTGAGGTGACACCCAGTGAAGTCACAATGTTCTCTTTTAAACTGAATGTTGTTGTTCCAGTGGATGTAGTTATGATGAAGTTTCTCAAACAACCAGCAAAGTTTGTGTTGCTCACAGCATATCTGTACAAGCAAAATGAAACTTTCCACTACCAAGCAAATGTACCATCTGTGACTGGTTACTTAGAAATAAACAGGCGGAAAACCTTTGTGGCCGTAGAAACAGTATTTTATAAACAAAATGACATGTACTGACTTGCATTTAATCAAAAAGTCATGTAATGACTGGTATTCACAGAAAGAAGTAGAGACATAGATCGACACACTAGACAACCTAAAAACTTAAAACTATAGTTTCAATGCTAGCAATGAAACCTGTCTCCTCCAAATGATGACAGTGCTTCACAGAAGGAGCAAGTGTACTATGAACCACAATCTTTTTATAGTGGGATAATGAATACATGTCTTTTGTTTATTATAAACATGTGTAGCTGAATACCACTCATGTGCTCTAATCAAATGTGCCTGTACATCTTACATTTAGTCAGGACACAGTAAACAAAATTTAAAGAACTCAAGTTTTAAAGAAATTAAATGCAGGCATAACACATTTTCAAGTTTTGAGTGTTTTGCAGCACACTCGATTATCAGTCAATTGAATTTGGTAGGAGCTTTACAGAGTTCTCCCTGTTTATAGATAAATTTCTTATATAGAGATTCCTTCCTGCCATAAGGTCAACAATCCATTTTCTCTGATGGTCACCACTGTCTCTCTCCTCTTTACATTTAAGGAAATAAAGACAGAATGTGAGGATAAACTTTGTTCCAAAATATCACATGGGGACCCCCCAAAAAGTAGAAGAAAACTATTTAATAAAGTTCCACTGAGACATATACATGAAATTAAAAGCTACTGATAGCAATGTTCTATAAATTACTGTCTGCAGAGTCCTATCCAAAAATTCAAAAAGTAGCATTTTATATGACCACACTTTTTTGGATCTACATATCTATATGAGTCAATGCTCTCTACAATAAATACAATTAAAAACTAAGGAAAGGAATAAAAAAAACTTATGATTATTTGATTTCCTGCCTGAGAGTAGCAGTAAGGTCATATGACTTGCAACATGATTAAACAGTTTTCAAAATGCTATGTAAATGGGCCTGAAGGCAAGCCAACTGTCTCTTGAAAGATAAAACAAATTTTGTAATTGCAGTGTGTAATATCTATCAAATACTATAACACTTACTTAGTCGCTCCTCTTCTATCCTGGGGTGTACAGGTTTGCTAGAGAGATCGCCAGACTTCTCTGTAGGCAGTTTTCTCTTTGGTATTGCTCCATTTGAGTCCTCTGTCAGTCAAGGACTGTCAGATGTCTTCCCAGCGAACCTTAGGTTTTCCTGGTGGTTTGGTTCTCTGGTTCTTGGCCTCACATGTCTGCATTGGTAAACGATTCTCTCCCATTCTGCATACATGTTCAAACCATCGTAACTGTGACTGATCCACTTGAGTTTGTAGGCCCTGGGTTTCAATGTCATGACCTATTTTCCGCTTGCTAATTTCTCTTTCGCTGAGTAACCCTCGATTTATGGCCTGAAAAAGTCTCCCAGCTGCTGCTTTTTGAGCAGCCAACTCCGACTTGATGCCTCCATTCTTGTCTATTATAACTCTAAGGTATTTGAACTGGCTCACCTACTCCAATGCATCTTGTTCCATCATGATTTGATGCTTTTTTTTTCTTCTTCTTGAGGTCACCATGGTTTTAGTTTTAGAGATACTGATGGTCATCCCTCTCTTCTCGAGTTCTTCCTCCTAGACAAGTAAATCTGATCTTGTCTATATAACTTACAGAATGTTAATAAAGTGTTAATACCTGTTTTGATGGTGTTGGCCTTTATTTTTAGGCCATTTTTTATTAGTCCGTCTCTATAATCTACAAAGTAGACCACCCCCAGTGATTATTGAAATGAAAAGAAGCCATCAGACCTAACAAATGAGGCCACCACTTATTTAATCCGCAGTTGAGAAAGGAAATTTTTACTATCAATAGTTTTGAGTTGAAAACAACTCAGTCAAAAGGATGCCAGTGAAAGCCTTATGTAGGAAGTGGAGTGAAAGGAGTTGATCACTTTATTTCAAAAATCTGAAACCTACTACACTGTTCATCGGATGTGGTGGCTTTTGCAGCGTGCTTTGCTCCAAACATATTGGTATTACCTTTCCTTTGGAGCAAACAAGGCAGACAGAGAGAGAGAGAGAGGTTATGATGCATGGGCAACACATGGTCTTTACAATACTGCCCTGGCTTTGTGCTTTGGACAGGAGAAACTTCATCAATGGTCTTAATTTGTCTTGGGAAGAAAAATATTGAGAGGCAGCAGTTACAGATTATTTTCTCAATGTCGCTGACAGAACTACAACTGCTCAAGCTGGGCAGCCTCCAGCCTATAAAGTGTTACAAAATACTGCATGCAGGCTGAGAGCTTAGGGTCTGAGAAGAAGCACACAAAACACAAATGAGGGCAACAATGGACCTGAAATCCCATGCTATAATTGTGGAAGACTTTTCTTAACCCCTGCAGGTCTTGCCAGTCACACTCCCCATTGCTATGGGCTGTGATTCTCATGTTTTCTCATAGCACACAATATAACATTATCATTTAGAAAGATAGAAGGGTGCAAACAGACCTACTATATGTAAAAGCCAAATACGTAATACCAAAGATTATATGTTTCAGTTTGATTATGTCTGCGTTATTTTAATGGTAACACTGGAGCTTTATTAGTTCTGCTCAACAGAGATATAATATAACATAAGATACAATATAGCAAAATTATAATTAACTTTTTTATTCTGAAGACTTTTGACTTCAAGAATTTTCCATGACACTGTTTTTCAAACCTGGTCCCTAACAAGAGCGCAGGAGAAAAAGATCACGACGTGCGAAATGAGATGCTTACGTAAGGCTGCCAATGTCACAAGGAGAGACAGAGTTCGAAACGAGAACATTAGATCAATTGTAGGAACCACACCATGCCTGCAATACATAAAGAAGCAACAAATCGAGTGGTTTGGCCACTTGATGCGAATGCAAACCGACCAACTGCCTCTACGAGCATACAACGAACAACACTACTGCCCTAGAGCAAGAGGCAGACCGAGAGTATGATGGATAGACAATATATCAGAGATCCTGAGGCAACACGGACTAACAACAACACATGCAACACACCTGGCCCAGGATAGAAAACTGCGACTCCCCACTACGGTGTGAGGCAATTGTGGACAAGACAAGACAAGACAAGACAAGACTATTTTTCACATTAGTATTAAAAATATAAAAACAATAAATTAGATTTAAATTAATTAAATAAAACAAATTTTATAAGCGAAAAATAATAAAGATTAGCCTATATTCAATCATTTAGGATCAAATGATACAAACATGTATAAATTACAAAAGATTTCCGTTTAGCCTTACTAACCCAGTATTCAGAGGATCTGCTGCCGAGCCAATCAGAATATTCTGGTTATCAAGGTTAGACAAATCTAGGAAAGCAAGGTTAACACTGGTCACACTCTGGTTAACGGTGGAGTCTGTGTATTTCACTGTCAGTTTCCGTTCTGTTGTTTCTCTTTCAGTCAGAATCTGAGAAATCATTTTCATATTTTTGAAAGTCATCACTGGTTAAGGTTAAATACACTGGTGCATTTTCAGCTTATAAAAGGCAGAACATTATATCTTCATTTACAGTCTATAATATATATATATACATAAATATTTTTTTCCATTCTGACTGAGGATATTTTTGTGGTTGTTGCTACAAAATGACTTTGGAAAAAAAGACTCATAACTGATAAAGTATACTTTGTGATGAGTACATACTAACAATAACCAGTGGAAGATATCATGCGATATGAAACAAAATATGTGAGGAGATGTGTGTTAATTTGTTAACAAAGTATATGTAAGAAGAAGCACAATTTATCTACAACTATTGTGCTACTCAAACAGTCAACATCTACATCTTAAACATTTACTGCAAGAGATAGATTATCTATAATGTTGATTCTTAAATAAGTCCTTTTATATTATATGATTATAATTATCATCATATGCCAGCCAGAGCAGTGTAAGTGATCATGTTTATTCACAAATAGCTAACCTCTGTGTTCTTAACAAATCTGACATCTGATCATCTTCCATGTCACTCTGAAAACCTAGCCAACATTGTCTTCCCTTGTTGAGCTCATTCTCTTGAAACTTCTTGTCAAAATCCTTCTTTGACCCTTCATCTCATATATGACCCACAAAATGACAGTTATCTTTTTCTGATATGAATAACCAGTCTTGTCTGATAGAACACCGCCAACTCTAGATTACACCATCTAACTAAATCACGTGACTTTTTGGATGGAGTCCCTCGAAAACTGGTTAGTGTAAGCCCTTTCCATGTCTTGCATTGTGTGACATTTTAATGTGCTTGTAAAGTTCTGTGTTCTGAATGAATTCGTATTACATATCTACAAGTGGATATTCTGTAGTAGATATACAAGATTTTCAAACTTTGCTGTTAGATTACAGCAATTTGAATTTAAATTCACGGGAGACGGTCGTGTTGCGATGTGTGTGTCACTGTTTCTAGTCAGTAGTTTGGATTTTTGGGAACTGGCTGTTTATTCTTTTTCTACTTTGAATGTGGAAAACTTACTTTTAGGGAAAATACTTTAAACAGTTAATTTAGAAGCCATATCTGGAGAATATCGACAGTTGTCAGGTGCAAACTATCTTGTGTTTGAAGAAAACTATTGCTTCCATATTGACTATGCATAAATGGTGCAACCACACTGTAGATAAATTGTGTCAAGATATTTCGGAGCTCTAGGTAAGTGGATGAAAAAAATATTTAATTTACTAACTAACCTCTCACAGCAAGTCACTCTTTGCCTCTTTACTAATTGTTGACTAACAGTATAATTATATGTTGTAGCAGTACACTAATAATATTAATCCTTAACCATTTGACTTATGCTTCGTGAACACTGGCTGTAAACTCTTGCGGAAACTTCTGGTAGTTCATCCACTTCTTTTGCATATTTGCAGTTCTACGGTCTGTTAATTTTTGTAAACTGGCTTTTGCTTTGCTTCTTGAACGCTGGCTGTAAACTCTTGCGGAAACTTCTGGTAGTTCATCCACTTCTTTTGCATATTTGCAGTTCTACGGTCTGTTAATTTTTGTAAACTGGCTTTTGCTTCACGAACACTGGCTGTAAACTCTTGCCGAAACTTCTGGTAGTTCATCGACTTATTTTGCATATTTGCAAAATAACGGTCTGTGTTAATTTTTGTAAACTGGCTTTTGCTTTGCTTCGCGAACACTGGCTGTAAACTCTTGCGGAAACGTCTGGTTGTTCATCCACTTCCTATGCATATTTACCAAAAAATTCATAATGGTAAGGAATTGATTTCATCCAACAAGATGAAACTGGACAAATTTGTTTGTGCTGTTTGTACCTTGAGGATACATATTTAGTAGTGCTATAAGTACTGTTAAGAAAACTACTCTGGGTGAAAAAAGTTTTGCACATATCAATTTCATACTGATTGTGCTTGTTTACTAATTATTAAATAACAGTATAATTATATGTTGTAGTAGTCTACTAATAATAATAATAACCATCAATTATTTATGTTTATGTTATGTATGATATGTATATCTTTCATAGCAGTATTTGTATGCGCTAAATTTGATAAAGTACAAATGTCACTGTTAACACAGAGGGACTCAATTCTTGCACAAGAACGGGAATCCCCGTTGAACCAGTTAGCCTATTTATAGCTAAAGATGGCCGTGGATAGAATGAACAAACGAACATATTTTTTTTTTCAAAAGAGTCACAAATTAGGCAGCAGTCCTATCTTACATTTAGCCCTTCAAACACTCATCTTTCAAAAATCATTTGTATTTTATCTATAAGTATAGAATGGATGACAAAGGCATTTATTAAAATATATTTTCACACTATAATACACATACATTACTCATTCACGCACATTCACACACTAGAATACACATACATTACTCATTCACGCACATTCACACACTAGAATACACATACATTACTCATTCACGCACATTCACACACTAGAATACACATACATTACTCATTCACGCACATTCACACACTAGAATACACATACATTACTCATTCACGCACATTCACACACTAGAAATAATTATAAGCCATGCATGGATTTTCAAGTGTAATGGCTTATTTTCTGGGGTGGGGGAGGGGGTGGTTACAAGCAGAACTGTCTAGGATTTAATCTTTATTAGTGACAAGATTTGATTTCTTTCAACTCATACCACTGTGAACTTGAACTAACCCCATACAATCAGAATTGTAATTGTTTTTTTAACAAATATGGGGAAAATGATACATTTAATGTATATGAAGACCTAGTGTTGATAGTCTCACAATGTAATCTGAAAAACAATTATTATTAGATGCAATCACAAACTTCTAAAAAAAAAATTATATTTTAGTCAACAACAATAAACTAGTAACATACAGGGTAAATTTATATTAATCAAAACCACTTAAATTATAATAGTTTAAAAAAATGTACATGCCTGAACCCACTGTCCACTTGTATACTGGTACTGGCTCTGTAATCTGGATAAGATGGCACCACTTAATGTCTCCCATACTACATACCCATCGGACAGAAACAGTGAAGAGTTTGTTTTGCCATCTGTTGAAGTGACTTTAAGCAATGCAGCATCAGACATCACTGTGCGAAACTCCAAGCTCAGCTTTTGTACTTGAGAAAACCGAAGAGACCCTTGTGTTATTACAAGAAATCCAAACCCGGAGAATGAGGTCCCTTGGGTGACTGGTAACATGGGCAGATTTGGTGGAGACTGACAGCATTTTGATTTTTGACTGCTGGACATAACATTGGTCCACAAATTCTGGAGCTGATTTTGATATTTTACATTGTACAGGCAGCCTCTGAATATTCTGCTGGCAACTTTAGTAGTCTGCACAGGAAATACAAATATAAAGTAAGCAGTTATTTTCAGACTTTATTAATTAAACATTAATAACTAAATAGTTACAATTACCAATGCAGGCTTTACACATAAAAAGATCTGCAGTGAAACCAAGAGGCCGCCCTAGGAGAACATGGATTGATGACATTAAAGAGCTTCTAAATCGACACGGAATGAATATGGCTATTGCTGCCCATCAAGCACCATGATTAATAACAGAAGAAGAAATTGATGATGACGATAATGAACTAAATAATTAATAATAACTTTTTTGCGAAAATACTGTAGAAACTATAATAGCTAGTGTTTCATTAAATGTGTTTCTCATTCCAGACTTACAGGAGACTAAAAGGGTAAAGTTACAGTATAATATTTTTAGTAAATCAGTATATATAAATTAGAATGGTGCTTGTAACGTTGTCCGGCTTAGAGATGGAATGATTTCCCTTGCCATTCATGCCTCATTGTGTCGCAGGGCCTGTCCTATGTTGTGGGGTTGGCACGCTAAGTGACCGGCTAGCAACACATAGTATTTTACTCGTTGTTGTCAGCGGCTGGCGATATCGATGTGAGTGCTTTTTAGAAGCAACTAAAAAATGTAAACTTTGTAAAGATACATCAACAGACGTATGGCGAGTTGGTTAATAGAGTTAACAGCAATTACATTAGATGCTTGCCTGTTCCCCTAGAGGTCTTGAATTTAAACTCACGCTGGGCAGAGTTTAAAAAAAATAAATTGCCTCCCAAGTCAATCAAACCTAAAATAGGTACTAAAAACTGCCTGTGGAAGTAAAGATGGCCAGCAAGAAGTTTAACATCACCCATCAAGTGCCGAATATTGATAAAAATATGAGTTTAGCACCATTTGCTTGAGGTGCTATTGACATTAAAAATGGTTTTCAACATTTTTCTTTTAAAAGAAAAGATCAATTAAATAGTGAACAATTTTGCATTTGTTAGTTAAAAAAGTAGGGTGTTACGAAGACAAATTTAGAGATGAAGACACATTTAGAGACGTTTATCAATTAAACATAAATATTTTAGCCTACTGCATGAGCACCGGAAATGTCAGCTAAAGAAAATACAAATGCTGATTGTGAGAAATGGTACTTGATCATTCAAGAGGGTGGAGAGGGCTGCGTGGTCTCGAGGCAAGGTGTGCACCTCAAGTGCTTGAGGTTCTGAGTTCAATCCCCGATAAGGGCTGGGATTTTTTTACATTGACTTGGACTTCTGGTAATTCCCCCGGTCTCTGGGTAGTGAGATGGGATGCCTGTGTGCATTGTTGTGCACATAAAAAAAAACTTGGCAGCTGGAGATCGAAAAGATAAGCCGAACGGCAAAATTCGGAGTTAAAAATCTACCTAAAGTATTTCAGGATCCTCGCGGGGCTACAGAGCCTGTGCACTGTCCTGAGCTTCTTTGAACTCAGACTTGAGTTAGAAGAATAATGGAGCACTTATGGGTTACACCCCTGTGCCATGATGTTGATCCATTGTTAATAGCCTCAAAAACCTCAAGAGGGTGGAGAAATATCAGCAGGACTGGTCCAGATATCCATGCTGCTGGCTTTGTCAAGACTGCTGTTTGTTCAACTTGTCACAGGTAGCAGTGATAATCAGTTTGTGTGCGTGTATTTTTAAAAACTGGTACAGCAATGGAGGCATATTGGGTGACCATTTCCTGTGAAGTCAGAACTGCGACTAACGACTGATCCAGAACACTACGCTTGTCACCTTTACTTCCCAGGACACTTTGTGCTTTCTGTTTTAGGCTCGTTGACATGGACATCAAAGCCAATTATTTAAAAAAAAAAAAAAAAAAACAGACCTAACTCTCTGAGTCCCAAGGAACGCATCATACGTTCATAGATTCCTACTTAGAAGCCCAATGAACGCATGATGCGCTGATTTTACGTCTCTCTTGACTACCTCTTAGGCCTGTGATGCTAAACCCACTGGGACATAAAGAGTTAATGCAGATTCAGGCAAGCATCTAACTACTGAAAGGGAGAACACATTTCTTATTAATTTGAACATACCTGTTTAGAATTTGGAAGTGATCCAAGGTACAGGTCTGAGTTCACAGTTAATTGTCTGGCGTTTACATCATCTGAACCTCTTTGACTGTTTGACATGATGCCCCCCGTAGACATTATTATAACCGTAAGGTGACCTACTGTGCCATATCTGATATAATATGTAAACAAATAGTTGGATGTAGATGGTTTGCAAAAACAACATATAAGCATGTGGTCTATCATAGGTAAATAAACGTCTAGTTGGCCACATGTTAAAGTACATCTGTTCCTGCAGCGAGACTATCACCTCGTTCAACCCCTCTCGTGGTAAAACAACTTTAGATTTTTATGTTGTCTACTGTGTCCTCCTGTATCTACTTCTATCATCCATATCTCATCATCATTAATTTCCATTTTTGCCATTTTGAGTTGTGGGGAGGAACAGTTTGTGACCAATTGTTTGATGGCTAGCAAGGACTTTTGCCATTTCATTTTGATGTAGAAGACCTTTACTATCATCAATCCATATTTTCCTAGGATGACCTCTTGCACATCATATCTTTTCAGGAGTACTGCTTGTGTTGGTTGTTGCTGTGGCTGCAATCTAAACCAAACATTTGATCTTTTGTTTCTCAATGAATTTAGTACATGGTGATGTTCCCACTGTTTGTCAGATGGTATTTCTCACTGTTTCAGATAGTTAAGTTGACGGGTTTCCTAGGCATCTAATTTCATATCTATCAGTGCCAATTAGCACATTACAACATGTTTATCACATCCATCTTTATATCATTTTAAAGAACTATGCATTTCATGTGCAAAAAAGTTGCCTGTATTAGTTTCCAAACAGATTCCTCGTCAATTTGCTCATTATCTTCTTCTTCAGCATTCCAAGCCCTTGAGGTTCACTGCTGCAAGTATCACCCTCCTCCATTCATCTCTCTGGTTGGCCTTCTCTTTCCAGTTGGTGTTTGCACATCTGTCTGGACGTTATCTCTCCATTATCTTTTTAGTTTGCCTCATGGTCTATGACCATTCAACTCCCTTGCGTATACAGTTTTTACCTCTCTATCATTTAACATTCTCTCAATATACCCAAGCTATTTCAGTCCATTAGATCTCATGATGCCAGTGATCAATGGTGATTTATTTGGGTGCAAACTTCAACTGCTCCAACAAGCTGAGAGAAGAAATAGGATCTAGAATACTGTCTTTAAAAAAAAGTGTACTACGCCCTTTAACATTTACTAAAGTCAAAGTCTCTATCTAGCAACACCAAGATCAAAATATATTACATGTTGTTTACATGTTGTTAAGACCGATCGTTTTATATGGCTCTGAAACTTGGAGCACAGCTAAAAAAAGATGAAGCTCATTATCTACAAATCCAATATTATGTGGCTAATTCAATAAAGACTATATTTTTATATAAACTTAGTCAAATTAAAAAGGAGTTTAAATCACACGTGCTGAATGACTTAAATAGTACAGATAATTATTTCTTTTCATAGCATACATTTTATAGATCGGTTTTAGAACATCTCTCTTTTCTTTGTTTCATAAAGTTTTTATGTTGTTTTTTCTTTTGTATTATATAATTATGAGTATTAATAAATAGAAGTGTGCATGACACACTCTCTGCAACATCATTTTTTGTGTGTGCATAATGGCATATGAACATATATAAAAACAAAAATTGTGTGTCATATCAACATGTGCTAAACACACCAGCTTAAACATGCAGCCATATCCAAGGAAAACCATGTAAAAAGCAGCAGTAAAATAAACCATGAAATGCAGTGAAGAGAAATTATTGAGCCTACCTTGAGGCATAAATCTTTACCCAGCAGTCACTGCAAATTTCTGTCAGACTTGTGACTCTGACATTCTGGAAACCAGTGTTAAACTCAAAGAAGATTTTCCCAGTACTCAAGCCGATTTCAAGTTCTGCACCTGTTCAAATAAAAAAAATTATTGAAAAGTTCATTATTGAATATCCTTAACACTTTTTACAGTTGGCACCTTTCGGTCTTTCAAGACAACAGTCTTATATTGTGCTATGAAGAGGTATAGAAATCGCAGCCTGTGGTGATGGCGAGTGTAACTAGCAAGATCTGCCCGCATTAAGGAAAGTCTTACACAACTAGAGCATGGGATTCCAGGATCATTGTTGCTATCAAATGTACTGAGTGTGTATGTTTTTAGATACTCAGCTCTCAGCTTATCTAAAATTATTTTTTTTTTCTTTTTTCCCCCTTTCCCTTACTGATTTCTGCCTTCAAGAAACAATGTCTACGGCACTTCATTTTTAGGAATCTACTGCATCACCTGTATTATTCCTGTCCTGTTTGCACATATATTTATATCATAGTAGAGGCATTCTCAAGATTCTTCTACCCATCTATAATTCACCACACAGCTAGAGAGGTTACAGTTTCTAACTGCATACAAATAAGCAACATAAAAATCAAAAGAACTGAAACATACACGTATCTGCTGCCAAACCACCTGCAGCCTAATTCAAAACCATTATGTTGGAATTATGACACAGTGTTCCTAATCCCCAAGGACAGTGCCAACTAGAGCAGAAGATAACATTAAAATTACTGATACAAAATAAATTTTAAAAGTAAATTAAGAAATATAGGCAACTATACCCACATTATCATCATCATAATGTAGCAGGTTCTTTACAAAATGTCTCTTTTACCACAGCCCATCTAAAAAGAAACTCTTTTACTAGCTTTCCCTCTTTATGCACTGCCCCAACCTCCCCAGAAGTATGACATACGGGTAGGTCGGGGCAAAGACCCGCGTGGGGCAAAAACACGCAGTCCATTTACATGTTCCGGTTATTGTTTTTTGTGGCCGGCTTTAGCTTGGCCGACACTGGTTAGACGGTATCACGTGGGTTGCCAAAATTCAATCAAGTCCTGCTGTCACCAGCCAAGAAAATGAGGTCAGTTGCTTTTTTCAACTTTCAATGTAATACTGTGACTCTAGTCAGTGCACGTTCACACAAAAAGTTTGCAATAAAGCTGTTACTTATCTTATTCATCAAAAAGTAACACATATTAACAGTAGAAATAGAGGTGACATGTTGAGGTTAGTTAGTTTATGTTGGTTAAAAGTTACGAATGTTAAATTATGATAAAATGGGGCAAAAGCCCGCAGCCTGGCGGGGCAAAGACCCGCGTGCGTGTCTTTACCCCATGAATGCGTGTCTTTACCCCATGAATGCGTTTCTTTACCCCATGTATGCGCGTCATTGCCCACGAATGTGAGTTTTCCCCTTATCATCCTCAGTTGTTTACAATATGATTCTGTTATTTATTTCCAGAAATTACAAAAGGAAGACGAGCCAGAAACCACTCAATGAATCCTTACTGAAGGAAGCCAAGGCTCTAATAGAGACAGGTGTTTCTATTAGACAAGCGGCCAAAGTGATCGGCTTCCATGAGTCAACGCTACGGAACAGATTGAAGACTGGTGTTGGAGCAGAAAAGCTGGGGCGATTCCAGACTGTTTTTTCCAGTGAACATGAAAAACAGTTAGTAGAACATTGTAAAGCCTTGGATCAGCGATTTTTTGGATTAACTCTCAAGTCTCTCCGGTTTTTGTTGTATTCTTATGCAGAGAAAAATAACATACCTCATCCATTTTCCACTGCAACAAAGTTGGCTGGAAAGGATTTCACACATTCCTTTATGAAAAGAAACAGACTATCATTGCGGACACCACGAAAGACGAGCATTGCAAGGACGATGGGCTTTAATCGACTCCAACTGGACCAGTACTTTGACAACCTTACGAGTGTTCTTCGCCGGTACAAGTTTACACCCGACCGTATCTATAATATGGATGAAACAGGGATTCAGACTGTTCCAGGCAAGATACCCAAGCACGTAGCGCCAACTGGAAAAAAAGAGGTTGCTAAATCTGTCGCTGCTGAGCAAGGTAAAACAGTGACTGTAGTCTGTGCCATGAGTGCCACAGGACACTATGTGCCTCCTTACTTCATTTTTGCAAGAAAGAGACTAAACTTGCTTCTTATAAAGGATGGACCAACTGGGTGTGACATGAGTGTCACTGACAAAGGCTATATGAACATTCCTACATTCCTAAAGTGGCTACAACACTTTAAGAAGTTGGCGAATCCCTCTCAAGATATGCCACTTCTGTTGATCCTTGACAATCATACCTCGCATACCAGCTTGGAGGCTATAAGCTACGCCAAATCAAACCACATCCATATGCTAAGCTTACCACCACACAGTAGTCATAAGACGCAACCCCTCGACCGTAATTTTTTCAGACCATTGAAAGCATATTATGACAATGCTGCGGATAACTGGACAACTTCGCATCCAGGCCAAGTCCTGAGCGAATATCACGTTGCTGAACTGTTCGCAAAGGCTTTCCAGAAAGCTGCAACGGTAGAAAATGCTGTTCAAGGATTTCTAACCACTGGCATTTTTCCTCTGGACCAGAACAAATTCACTGATGACGATTTCTTGCCTTCCGAGGTCACTGACCAGTATAAGGAAGGAGAGGATATGGATGAAGATAAGGAAATTATTATTGCCCTTCAGTCTACAGAAGCTGCTACTGCTCCTGTCGAAGTTCCGGATGTCATTGTGGGCCAAAGCTCTATTCTTGCCGATGATACTCTAGAAGAAGCCGACATAGCTCCTCCCCATGACATCTCAGGACCTTCTCATAGCAACATTGGAACGTCACCAAGTGACATTTGTCCTCTGCCAAAAATTAAAATAAACAAGAAACGTTCAGGAAAAGGTTTGAAATCGACCCTGTTAACGTCGAGTCCAAATTTGCAACGCATGGAAATACTGCAAGAGGAAAAAGACAGCGCAGAAAAGAAAAAAGTTAAAAGGGCATTGCTTCTAGAAACAAAGGCAACGGCAATGAAAAGAAAGTTGTCCCCGGATAACACTTCATCAGACTCTGATTCAGATTTCTCCGTCCAGAACAGCAGCTCTGACTTGACTATCTTGTCTTCAGGAGAAGAGGAGCTGGATTGTGTTTTAGAACTGCAACCTGGTGACTTTGCTCTTGTCAAGGTGCATGGGAAAGCCAAATACTCTTTTAGGTTGTATGTGGTTAAAGTTACTGATTGTGATGACGAGGGATACGATGGTATCTTCTACAAGCGAGCTCCTCTAACTCAAAGGTTTACAGAAACAAGTGAAGAGTCCTATTTTGAAAAGGGAGACATTATTTTGAAACTCTCTAAGCCAATTTTCAGCAGTTCAACTCGATTTAAAAATATGATCAGTTTTTCAAATGACCTCACTGATTTTTCAATTTCTTGAATAAAGAATGATTTTACAATGATTTTTTCCAGTCTTATGTCATTATTTTACCAATGGGGCAAAGACCCGCAGCTGCGGGTCTTTGCCCCATTGCTGGGGCAAAGACCCGCAACGTATAGATGTCAGGAAAATGCATTTATTTTGATTATTAATAAGAACACAGACTTAGTAGCCACAAACATGGCGGGTAAGTGGCTAAACTATATTCATATGAAGTTTCATAGAATACATGCGAACGGTTTTCCAGAAATGTGTAAAAAACATGAAACTGCGGGTCTTTGCCCCGACCTACCCTATCATGCACCAATCATTCTGATGGCAGCACCTGCCCCTATTTCCCAGTACCATTCCCTTAGCCACTGTTCTTTCCAATCCACTGTAATGCTTCACATAAAAAAAGTAAAGATCCCTTTTCAGGCCTTTAGGAGCAACGAGCATTTGGGAAGAGCACCAATATTTTTACAGACCAAACGGCACTAGGTGGGTAAAATGCTTTACATGGCCAACATATTTTAGTTTCAGAAACAACATGTTGTTTATTAACCAGTCTGACTTGATGTTAAGATCTTTTAGGATAACAGTATTTCCTTTTCCTTGGACTATGGTACTCAGAATCTTTTTATAGCACTTAAGCTCAAAAAGTATTACCATCCTTAATAATTAATACAAACCTATAACATTTGCTACTTTGAAATATCCATTTAACAAGGCATGGTGCCAGGAAGGAAGGGCAGGAACTGACTAACACGAAGATAAGCACAGGATATAAGTGACTCCTTGAATGTGAAAGTACATGAGGCGGGAAAGCTAGCGAGAGACCGAGTTTCTTTCAGGCAGACTGTGATGAGAGTGACCTTCTACAAAGGGCCTGCTACAAAATGATGATGATCTAACAAAACAACCAGATTTAAAAAAATACAAACTGGTAGTAGGACTGTCCACAAAGAAGACAATGCCATCAGTGAGGTCAGCGGGTCTTTTCATCTCTATCAGCACATTATCATACAAATGTGGAACATTGGCTACAGGATTCTTCAGCTCCAGACTCAGATTCCCATCAAAACTCACAGGCTGCTGTAGCTTCTCCAACAGACTCTCAGCTCTCTCTAGTTTGCTCTGCAGCCACTGTATTTTGTCTGCTACTTGTTTAGTTCTGTCTGCATTTGTCTGGCCCAAGCTTGTGGCAGTAGTTAGATTTCTTTGAAAAGCTTCATACTTGATCTGATGAGCTATTACTGTTGATGAAATAATCAAATAGATATACTCGAAACTCAAGTATGAAAATGGCATACTCTCAGACTGTGAAAGTTTTAAAAAAAAATGTTTCTCCATGATTGCAGCCTGAGACTCTGACATCCAGTGACCAACAGAGCTCCTACTTGGAAGGGTATTAAGTGACATAGCCCCTATCTGGATGGGTATTACATAGCAGCAAATTCTAGAAACCCTATTTAACCATATACAGGGCTTTTGTTTTGGTGGTATGCAATGGTACACAGTAACAAGGGAGGGCTGAGTTGTCTTCAGGTACAGCTTCTGCCTCGAGTGCTGGAAGTCTCAGGTTTGAGCGCCAGTAAAGACAGATTTTTTCACATGGACTTTAGTAAATTTCCCCTGGTCTCTGGGTAGTAAGACAGGATGCTCATGTGTATTGTTACCCACTTAAAAAATACATTGGCAGTTGGAAATCACAAAAGAGTAGCCTGATGGTGCTGCCCGGGGAAAATTTGGAGTTTTTTATCTACCAAAAGTATTTCAGGATTTTAAGATTCCTGCCAGTGCAACAGAGTTTGTACACTGTGCTGAGATTCTTAAGATTCAGGCTTGAGTTAGAAGTGGAACAGAGCACTAATAGGTTACACTCATGTGAAATGATGTTGATCCGTTGAATAAACAAACAAGCAAACACAGTACCAGTGTTTTTAAAATAATTATTTTTAGGCATTTTTTTTTAATTGCTAGTGTAATAGGCACTTTTAGGGTGTATTGGCACCTTTATATTTAAATTAAAAAAAAAAAAAACCCTCAAAAGCCCTGGCTGTATAACAGTTACACTGGGGTACCTGATGGTTATGAAGTAACTCGCTGCCCAGTGTATGTGAGTTATAGCAACAGTGAGGTAACAACAGTTGTGCTGCTGTAAAATGATGTAGAGAAGATCAATAATTTGTATGCTCTTTAAAAATATTATTTAGAGGAGTGCTGATGGCGAGCACTTCAGAAATTTATAGCGAAGAGTTCCAATTCCAATGGTGCCAGTATCAGTCTGATTACATGTCTGTCTTGCCTTTGAGTGTAAGTGTCAACCACATTCTCTGTTTATTCCTAGGTGTGTCATTCTCTGCAGACCATAATGATCTATTCATGCCTCCACATTGCTAACTGTCTAGGACCTCTGAAGCAATGCTTGCTATTCTGCAGGAAGCATGCTAGTCTCCCATCTTTCTTAGCATGCTTTGTGATTCAGTTACAATCATGACTTGTGTTTGTAGCTGGTTTTCAATCCAGTGGAAAGCTGCTGTGACTGGCTCCACCTCCATTCTCAAACTATATATTTTAGTATCATGTCAGAGCATGAGGCAGATGTTTGAATACTTTGGGACAGGGAACTCAAACCCTGGTAAAAAGCTGTTTAAAGGAGGAAGGATCCATTTCACTGCACTGGGTTTCAGAGCAGCAGGTAGCCAACTAAACGCTCTGCAGAAAGCATTAACTCTGCAGTTTTAAGGGTCTCTGAAACAGTGGCATCAGTGAACCAAATGCCACCGTCAGAAAACAAGCCCATGATCTTGACCTCATAAAGGAAATAGCTTGATTTCTACATGGAAATCTGTTTAATAAAGGTATGGGAATTAGGGACTGTTTAATGCTAACAATTCATTAAAACCTAACTTTCCATCAAGAAATGGAAAGCCTCAAAGCCTTTAAGAGAAAAAGAACAAATGATGAACATAATGTTTGAACTGAATTGTAAAGTCTTTATCTTCTTCTTCATTTTCTTCTCCTTCAGCATTTCATACACTTGAGGTTCATTGCTGCAGATATCACTCACCTAAACTATTTTCTTTCCAGTTGGTTACTCTAAATGTTTGCAAGTCTTCTTTAATGTTATCTCTCAACAATTTTCTTGGTCTGCTCTATAACCGACTCCCAGTCAGATATATATTTTTGTGTACATAGTATTTGTAACCCTGTTGTATGTCGTATGGGAGCCACAGTAGCTAAACTCTTGCCTACTGGCCCAAAGGTCTAGGGTCCAAATCAACATCGTGTCAGGTTTTCTTCAAAACTGACCTTGGCTCCCAGCTTGGCCCAGCCTAAAATTGGGTACCAGGTAATGTCCAGGGATTTAAAGTTGGCAGACATGATGACCACATCATCCATCGAGTGCCAGTTGGTTTATAAAAATATAGGTCTAACCTTACTGATGCATCAAAAGCATGAACATGTTCCTTTTCTTTACTTATCTGCCAAAAAAGAAGATAGCTCTAAACATATGAATCTCACTCACATAGCTGGCCAACATTCTGCTGCAACTGTTGAGTCTGATTTATCTGCCCGTCTATGGAGTCCAGTTCTGCCTGCTTCTGAGTGAGCACATTGTCCTGGATTGTAGTGCTGGCAATAATGCTGGCAGCTGTTCTCAGAATCTCATCAGTCACAGCAACAGCACTGACAGTCTGGTCATTCATTGTGTTACCTGGTAAAAATAAAATATTTCAGGGCTATATTCATCTAATCTTATAGTTTATCTAAGATTATAATTTATTAGAAATTTAGTTGCCCTGGTAAGTAACGTGACTATTGTGACCTTCCTGCAGTCTGACAAAGACAATGCATTTAAAAAAAAAGATGTGTATTTCAGTGAAAGTTTTGTCAGTTTTTTTGCTTCAATAAATGTTGCTGTAACTGTAGTAATGCAGCTGATGAGACACAGCAAAATGTAGAAGTAGAGTAGAGGACCCTTTTCCACGCCTTTAGGCATACAGGGCATATAGGGCTAGACCTATATTTTTATAGACCAATCGGCACAAGATGGATGATGTGGTCAGCATCACGCCAGCCACCTGTACTTCCTGGGACTGCACCTGGTACCCACTCAAGGCTGGGTCGACCTGGGAGCCAAGGTCATTTTTGAAAATAGTCCAGCTCCGCCAGGGAGGGAACCCACGACCTTCCGATCCACGGCGAGCATCTAGCCGCATGGCCATGGTGACTCCCACAGCAAAATGTGCCTAGCAATAAACTGTGTAATGCACTGTGTCTGCATTATTTAAATTCCCTAGGAGAAAACATTGTTTTGAATAAAATCATAAAGCTTTTTGTTTTCTTCAAAGCACTGGGAGGTTGAAAAATGAAATATTGATTTCAGAACTTGCTGAAAGGACAAGTTACCCTTACCACATGGCAAAGAAGAGAAAAACACTCATCGTGTGGATAACACAGCTCTTGTGCTCAAGCCAAGCATCTGCAGAACAGTCTCAATGGGCATGGTAGGTCTCACCACATTTCATGAGTAATAATCTTCATATGTGTCTAACATCCTTAAATGTTGTGTGATTTTAATTATTGTTTGTTGTAATATTGACACTTTAAAAGTTTGGATTTATTCTGCATTCATTTCTCTTTAATTTGATATATTATATGTCTCTGTACAGTGAATACATTTTGTTCAGAAGGGTATTAGCTTTGTGATGTTGCAGTAAAAGAATTCAGCTCAAAACTAATGCTGTCCAAACCCCATAAAAAATATCCTGAAAGAGTTAATAGTGATAAGGTGATGTATCATGATGATCATTATCGCCCCTTAACACTGCATATCATTGGGTCAACAGTTACTTGTGACTATCTGATTAGCTCCCTCCAACTTTGACCTATAATTTATAGTCAGATGACAACTGTCAAATCGATGGATTAAAAACAAAAAATAACTCAAGTCCTCTGAGGTATTCCGGCCAACGCACCACAAACCACCCAACTACCAAACCAAGTTCCAAATCAGCCAGCCACCCACACACCTAAACAACCATCCAACCAAAGAACAAACAGCCAACCAGATGAACCAATCAACAACAAAAACCAGCCAACCAGACCCCAAACAAGAAACAATCAACCACCCATACAACTAAACAATCAGTCATCCAAACAAACAACTATAAACTAATCATCCAACTAACAAACATACAAGCACTCAAAGAATCAATCATGCAAACAACAAACAACCACAAAGCAAAGAACCAACTAAAAAAACAATAACCAACCGACTAAACAACCAACCAAATCAAAATTACAACTTGTGTTTCCAATAAAATATTTGTTAATTTAAAAAAAAAAAAAACATTAAAAAATAAAAACTGTCAAGTTCAAGATATTTGTACAGATTCCAGTCTTTATTCTGAAACACAACAGTTTGTAATTACTTGCGGGTACATTTTAAATGGGTAGCCTACAGTCTATAATATTGACGCCTACAAGAAAATAAAACTAAAAATGTCAAGAACATGCATCGTTCGTGTTACAACATACTGACAGTTTCAAAGACAGTTTCTGACTGACTGACTGACTTTCTACCCCACCAGGACATCACACAAGCGACAAACACCCGATGACACAAAGTGCCACCATGTGGATGAGGATCGCTGTAGAGAGGTCCCTGAAACCGCGTTCAGACAATTGGCCACATTTATGGCCTGCCTATATTGCGGCCCCTGGCAAAAGCCAGAGTGGGGTTTCAAATAACAAAAAATTTTGTCATAAAAAGGACGAAACTGGATTAATGTCAAGACAGTTTCACAATATTGAAGAAAATTAGGTATTTAAAATTAGTGCTAAAGAAATATTCTTTAAAATATCATAGACCAGAAATAAAATGCTATAGTCTTAATAAACATCATAATTATGAAACCGAAACAGTTATAAAAGGAATGGGTAATAAAGATGATGTTATATAAATGTTGATACCATGAATAAAAATTCATGAAAGATAAAAAATGAAATCTTTCTGTGGCCTATTTTTCCAAGACAGCACTTATGAGTGAATGAAAAATACTGGCATGTTACCTGCTATCTGTAAAGATACAGGCTGGGCAGCAGCTCTCATGGCAATAATTTCCACATCTGCTTGTGCCCACTGGGCAGTTTCCTTGTCGAGCTTGGCAACTTCTGCATCAACTAAACTTTGGAGAACTGTCAAAAGGGAAATAATAAAACTGCTAAAGTTAGCAAGACAATTGTATATTTTATCTTTTTTTGCTAGCCAGGTATTATGATAAATTGTGATTTCAGATATGTGCATACCTCTTCTGATAAATGATTCCCATTTAACAGTCCCCATCACAGCATACCTGGCATTGTCATAGATGTACCATCTCCTACAGTATATGTCTTATATGTCTTAATGCTGACTCTCATTTAATGTTCATTTATTCCCTCAAACACTTGGTCTTGAATGCATTCAACTTTTCCCTCTGGGTATCTTCTATTACATTCTTAGTGTTGGCCAGCCTCTCCTTCCTAGTACCAAGTGTCAATGTGTATCGTGATACTTCCCGTCCTATTAATGATGACATTTTTCGTTATTTGAAGCCCTACTTTGGCTTTGCCAGGGGCCGCAATATAGCCTGGCCATAAATATGGCCTAAAGGCTGAACAGGGTTTCTGGGACCTCTCCACAGTGATCCTCACCCACATGGTGGCACATTGTGTCATTGGGTGTTTATCGCTTGTGTGATGTCCTGGTGGGGTAGAAAGTCAGTCAGTCAGTACCAAGCCTTCTGCTATTATTTTTTTTTCTAATCGGCCATGGCACTTGATATGACCAGAACATTTCATTTTCTGAGACAAGATGATGTTTATAAGCCAATCTTCCCAGATGTTCAGATCTTTTAAAATGTAAGTATTTCTCCTATACTTTGTCCATGGTATTCTGAGAATCTTTTTAAAGCATTTCGGATCAAAAGTCCCCATTTTCTCTCTTGAGGACTGAGAGATATTAAAGTGTAACAACAGAGAAAATTGTGCAAACTTAAAAAAAAAAAAAAATCAGCAAACCATAACAGAGGAAAATAAGCGAAGCTATTTAGCAAACAACCTTGTGGTCCATAATCTAGCTCCATAAGCTGTTGGCGGAGGATGTCAGAACTGGCCCTTTCTGCTGAATACTTCTCTTGTAATTTATTGAACCCATCGCCAGAAAAGTTGCTCTGCACTTCTAAAATCAGCCGATTGGCAGTGGCTATAGTGGAGACTGCAGCATCAAGGTCACTCACAATTTCTTTATAATTATCTATAGCCTCAACTGCATCTTTTCCAACAGATGATACATTTTGATACACACTGAAAAGAGAACAGATACATTATCAAAATATCAACAGCACAACCATCAGCTTCTACTTTTGCCATTAGGCATCATGGGGAGGAAGAGTCTGCAGTTCAGTGCTTTATGGTTAGTACTGGCTATTGTTATTCTGGGGGGATGTATCCTGTCCTAATATGAAAATATAAACAACAATTAAAAAGTATCAACAACAACAATAAAAGAATTAGCTGTTTCTCCAATTATACTGCTATAAAATTATCTAAGTTATGTAATAAATATATTAAATATACTGAAATACAATTGTCAGTAAATGTTTTGTTTGGCTGGCCAAAGATCACATTCCTTCACACTGCTTTTGTTTTATGCACAAGTTTTATAATGAAGGGTTCATTTGATGTTTCCTGACATTGGGATGAGAGTGACTTCCCTTGCCATTCATGCCTCATCAGGTCACATGATCTCTCCTATGTTGCAACCTGATGAGGCATGAATGGCAAGAGAAGTCACTCTCATCCTTGGCAAGGAAATGTAAAATGAACCTAACGAAGAATCTAGCGTATCCATCAAGAGTTGGTATATGAGGAAAGAGATCTCAGACTCTTTTGGGGGGGGGGGGGGGGGGGGGGGGGGGGGAGGGGCATCCTGCTAAAAGGTAACAACTCACTAGCTATCACACCTGCTATATCTAAGAAGAGCTGATACAAAAGCAAGAGAGTGCCCAAGAAGAAGATGGACTGATAAAAAAAAAAATAACAATAACAACCGTAAATTCAGACAACTTTCAGTTTTGGACAATCAGTTGTTCCTCCCAGTGATGCCTGATGGTAAAAGTGGGTGGTGGTGATGGTTATGATGACTACAATTAACAAAGTATATATTGATCATACATACAAGCATTGTCTAATATTCATTTATAAAGTTAACAAATACTTTCAATTAGGGCATTTGAGCTGCTCACAGGCCAAAATCTGGCCTGCAGAGTCCTAGCAAATGGCCAATGCAACATTACCAGTTGTACTGTATTGATAATCTCCCTACGCTGATGTTCACACCTCTAGCCTAAGAAGATTCAAACATTATGGCCCCAGTGTAAACCAAGTAAACTTAGTTTAAATATTCCTTCTTTAAATGATAAAAACATTATAAATTTAGTAGATATAAATCAGTTATATTGTAATATGTTGAATGTTAAATGTTGAATTGTTAATCAACATCTCAGCACCTCCATAAGCTCTCCATCTCCATCTTCAGCAGCAAGCGAAGAGTTCCAATTCCGGTGGTAACAGTAACTGTGTGATTCTATATCCATCTCATCTTTCCCCTGAGTGTTCAGCACGGGCCAGATTCCTGTGTAACTCCTCGCAGCGCCATTCTCCATAGACTGTAAAGATCTATCAGTGCCTCCGGTGCCTTCAATCGCTCTCAAAGAGCCCTCACAACATCTAACTTGTAATACCTCATTTCACCACCAAGTGGTGCAGAACCGGCCAGTCTATCTGCCTGCTCATTTCCCAACACACCTTTAGACTTGGAGAAAATATCCAAAGGATGCTAACTACCCAGGACCTCTGAAGTGATGCTTGCCACTCTGCACGAAGCAAGCCTGTCTCCACCTCTCTCAACATGCTCTGTGAGTCAGTTACAATCACGGCATGTGTGTACAGCTAATTCCCAAGCCAGCTAAAGGCAGCCGTGACTACCTCCAACTCCATTCTCAAAACCAGTCGTTGTGATATCACATGCCAGACTATGCTGTACCAAGTGACGTCCATTCGCTTTTGCTATGAAACCCCATGCACTACGCCCATTCGCTTTTGCTATGAAACCCCATGCACTTCGTCTGCCCCTGAACACAGAGCCATCTGTATACATAATCACATCACCTGGGTGGGAACAGTCATAAATCATTTGTTGAATTTCTGATTCTGCAGCACCAGCTCGCTAGTCCCTAAACATGACTTAAAGTGATAAGAACACTACACATGTCTGATACTTGCTTGGACACTTTAACCCACTCCTCTCCTCGCTTAAACATTTTGAGCCTGCACACATGTCCAATAGTGTCTTCAGCTTGCTTCATTGAAGACCCTCTTTTCATTCTGTGACCCTTAACTCTACCCAAGGCTTCATGCAGGAGGTGTTTTTGTCTGCAGCTACTCTAAGATATGATTTTACCTGCAGAACATTGTGCCTATCTGCAATAGTAGGCGGTGCAAGTATATATCTCATACACACTACTGGGGTATCTGTTGTACATCCCAGAATTACCAGCATCGATTCAATCTGTATGTGTTCAAGTTTCATCAGCTGACTCTTTGATAAAGTAAACATTCCAAGTCCATAATCTTTCACCGACAGGATCACATGCTGGAACATTGTGAACAGCATTCTTTGTTCCATGTCCATTGCTGCAATAATCTTGAGAGAATTGAGTCCTTTTTTTGCCTCTACATTATCCCTGAAGGACAGGTATTTATTGAAAATGATACCCAGGTACCCTAGTTTGCTTTCTCTTTTGATATTACTGTTATTAACTGTAAGGCTTGGAAGTTATATTGTAAGAAAATATATATAAAATTATTCATACACCTATGTGTGCATAAGGCTGCACACGTATAATTTTTGTGGGGTATAAGTTTACATAAGGTAGGAATCACCCATAGTGCATTTGTATTTTTACATTCTTATAATAGAGGACAATATATTTACATTCTGATGATTTAAAAGCCTAAAAACTTCACTAACTAGAGTCTTCTTCTTTTCTTCAGCATTCCGAGCCCTTGAGGTTCATTGCTGCAAGTATCACCTTCCTCCATTCATCTCTCTGGTTGGCCTTCTCTTTCCAGTTGGTGATACCAAGTGTTTGCAGGTCTGTCTGAATATTATCTCTCCATCGTCTTCTTGGTCTGCCTCAGGGTCTACGACCATTCATCTCCCTGGTGTATACAGTTTATAATTCTCTGTCATCTGACATCTTTCAATATGCCCCAACTATTTTAGTCTATTAGCTCTCATGATGCCAGTGATCAGTGGTGATTTCAACAGATTATGAATTTCTTTGCTGCTTCTTACTCTCCATTCACCACTGTTTGCATCTTTGATGTGTCCAAAGATTCGTCGTAAAACCTGTAATAAGGCTTTATCTCTTTGAGTTGTGCCCCAAGTTTCAGACCCATATAACATGACTGGTCTTATCAATATTTTATATATTTTGATCTTGGTGTTGAGAGACAGACACTTTGACTTTAGCAGATGTTGAAGGGCATAGTATACTTTATTTCCAGATTTATTTATTCTCTCAGCATGTTCGAGCAGTTGAAGTTTGCACCCAAGTACTTATATGTTTCTGTTCGTTTGATTTTCACATTTTCGACTTGTATGTGGGCGGAGTTTATATCCTTTCCCAGTCTAGTTATTATCATGTACTTATAATGATTTATATCTAGTCCCATTTTCTGAGCCAGTCACTAACTAGTGCTGAAACAAATGTCTGAAATGGCTGCTAAAAGGAAATGCATACAAGTTGGCCTCTGTTATAACTTTTATTTTAATGAGATTGTTCTATGCTTTTTAAAAGCATCTGATACATTTCTGTTGAATATTAGATTATGTGATTTAGGCAGACTATCTGGTCTTTTAACATTAGGGTTAAGAAAAGAAATTTACCAAAAGACTATAACAGGTAAAGATTAAAAACGAGACAGAAAATGAGATAGAGATGGAGAGAGACAGAGAGAGAGAGAGACAAATTGTGAAATAGATAAGTACAGAGATGTAACACAAGAAGTCATTTAAGCAACAAAATATCAACAGAATTAGTCATGTATAATAATTGTTCCGATAGACAACAACAAATAAATCATGTAACAAATCTCCCAATACAAACCTGCTAAGATTTGCAAATGCTTGTTCCAGATAATCTACATGAGATTCTGACTGGTATACTGATGCAGCAGCTCTGTCTGCAAGTATTGGCACCAATGTCTGGAGATTTTTCAATTTTGAAATTCCGTTTTCAAAGTTCGTGACAGCTGAAATAAATTAAGCACAAGGGTTCTTGGTAATCTGTGATAATAATGTTGTTCTGTGGGAATAGAAAAGAAATGAAGAACTTGTAATTTTATCTGTTCTGTATCAGAAAATATTGGCTGCTGAAGTCTAAGACCAGGAATCCAACTGGTGCAGATGTGGCACAATATGGTGTGGCCTATCCACATACTGGCTTCACTCCTGACCCATTTTCCAAAGATTGCTAATGCTTATCCACAAATGGGAAGCTGTAACAACAGTACTTATATGTCAACTGTAACCCTTTTCCACGCCTTTAGGTGTATTGGGCATATAAGGCTACACCTATATTTTATATACCAATGGGCCCTTGGTGGGTAAAATGGTCAGCATTACACCAGCCGCCTTAACTTTCTAGTACTGTCCCTGGCACCCACTCAAGGATGGGTCGACCTGGGAGCCATGGTCATTTAACAGAATGTCTACCAGGACCCGAACCAATGACCTTTAGATCCGCAGGTTAGCGTCTAGCCCCTACAGCATGCGGGCTATCAACTGTAAAAGTAGTAACTTATCTAAAAAAAAAAAGGCTAATAAAAGTAACAGTTATCTTGCCAATTATAATAATATATACTTACTGTGAACGCAACAACATATTTAACACTTAATTGTACAAATAATACTTAGCTGAATGAATGAATGACTTGTGCACTCTTGTCATTCCTACAAGTGCTCTGTCTCCTTCCTAAAAAACCAATGGAGATTTCCCTTGCTAACAGTGTCAGTTAGTTGCAACTGGATGAAAAGCTCTACCATATTTTCCCCTCAAAGTTGAAAATTGTCCAGAACTTCTACTCTTCTACCCTGCTTATCTTAATACCTGTATCAACAACTGTAACACCACGTGCAAATCTAACATTTATAGCCATCATCATCATCATGTGCTATGTCGGCAAGGGTAGGCTGTCCTGTTTTCCCATCTCACCTGACCACCAGAATAACAGATCAGGTCAATGTTTTTGTCTCATCACATACATCTGGCCAAGCTATCCGGATATTTACCTCTTTGCCTTCCTCTTGTTCTTGTTCCATAAATCTTGCCAGTAACTATTTTGTCCATTTCGTCTCATAACTTGTCCAAAAAACACTGACTGTTTACGTCTAATTTTTCTATTAATGTTATTCATTTGATCTATCTCTTCCTTTATTTTTCTATCCCTCCATGATATTCTTTGCATTTTACTCAAAAACCAAATCCAAATGTATTTCAGCTTCTCTGTTTACTTCTTGTTCTTTTTCTTCCCGTTCGCAGGCTGTAAACTAAGGCAGACAGGTTCTGGTTGTTCATCCACTTCTGCACTCTAGTCCTGTTCCTGAAACTGAGTGTTGCATGTACATCCATTTCACAGGTCTAAGTTATTTGCATGCAGACTGTTGGTTCCTTGCCTCTCAAGCAGATGTGCTCCGACTTCTAAGGAAGCTTTGTTTACTGACATGCATACTACAACACAAGTTCTAAATAGCACTAACACCTTTTTTCTCATTATTTCTAGTTGGGTATTGAGTCACAATAAAAACATTTGCAGGACATCAGGAGCCTCTCTTGGCAGTGGTGAAATGTCTTGTTCTTGGTTCGGGCATGTGGTGAGACATGATTCGTTTGCAAGATTGTGCTTAACTCTCTGAGTCCCAAGGAACGCATCACACGTTCATAGGTTCCTACATAAAGACCCAATAAACACAGGATGCACCAATTTTACATTCTTTTGACAACCCCTTGGGCCTCTGATGCTAAACCCCTTGGGACTCAAAGAGTTAAGGAATATTGTAGAGCAGTTGAAGGAGAGGAGAGCAAAGAAGATCTGGAATGACAACATCAAGAAATGGACAGGACTAAGTTATCATACACTTATTCATCAAGTGGAAGACAGAGAAAGATGGCAGGTTTTATGTGCTAGTGCTTTCAACTATACACCTCTACGACCCTAACGGGTCAAGGGTTATATTATGTTATGTATGTTAGAAGAGCATATTTATTTTAATGAACGTAAATAAATACCATTTCAACTGTCCAGGTGGAACCAGCCTTAAAAATGGGTATCAGGTAAAGTCCTGGGAAGTAAAGCTGGTGGGATGTTGACCTCATTACTCACCAAGTATAAAATATAGGACTAGCCTTATATGCCCAATGCACCTGAAGGCGTGGAAGAGGGTCCTTTACATAGTTTTTACATTTCAACCGTAACAGTACCTGTTCATCTAAAGTGCAATAGCCTATACTTAGTAGTATCATAAAAACAAATCAATTCGAATGAGAAGTAGAGCTATTCAGCTCTTCACAATACCACAACAAGAATGACACAATGAAAGCTCCAGTTAGAAAGCCTTCATCAACATGCAACAAACAACTGGAAAAAAATTTAATTAACAAAACAAGAGCAATTATACCACTTGTCTTTATGGTGAGGTCTGTCAAAAAATCTCTATAACATGCCCGAACAGTAGACACTCTAGTTTATGTATCACTGCAGGATATAGATACTGAAATGATACTTAACAGAAACAATACACATTAAACAAATGTAACACAGTACATACCACTGGGAAAACTGATCCATACCATTACAGATGGTGCATCACCACTGTAAACTGTATTGGTGTTTCTAGCAGCAGCTCGAGCAGCAGACAGACCTACAGTAGATTCTGTGTTCTTCTGCTCTGTTTTGTTGAGAATGGTCAAGACTGCACTTTTCAGTTCCTCTGCCTGGGTTTTAAATAGCTGTTAAAAAAAAATGTTCAATCCATGGGATAATGTTAGAGTAGTAAGCCATGTAAGTCAGACTTCAAAGCTGTAGTGGCATCATTTAACAGACAGTCATTTGCAGAATCTGGCTTCTGATTACAACATGCTATAGGGAATATTAATCCTTCATCAGTTCCACTGTTATGTTATCACATTCCACATCACTGCACATTTAGCTTTCCCATGCATGTTTAGTCCTCAAATGCAGCAGCCATTTCACAGTTGCAGATCTTTTTAACAGGTCTATCAATTAGTCTTAGAAATGTGTGGAAATTCTTCAGAAAGATCTTAAATTGTGCAGTGGCTCTTTTCCACTATGACTTGGTTGACTTTTTTGGATGAGCTCATCTGTCACACAAAAATATCCTTGTCCACCTTCATCATGCACATCTTTATACCTATCTCTGAATTTCCTGCACCAATCCCTCACAGAACATCAATGATGATGTTATCACCATACAAATGATGCAACTGAAGACGAATCTCTGCATTTTTTCAATCTGCTTGTAGAAAACTACTAAAACCACAAATTTCCCAGCTGAGGTAACAGTGTCCTTGTTTATTTGTTTGTGATTCATAAACCACTGAACAAATGTGACTGCAAGCTGACACGGAGTGAGCTAAAAGACTACTGAATTATGCAAGCAATGAACAGTGCTGCTATGACAAATGGTTTTTTATTTAACCAGCCAGTAGGAAGCTGATTTTGGAATAGCCCTCGAACTTGAAAATATGCCAGGCAATAAATTAGGAATAAAATACTTGTGTCATATTATTCAGTATAAAAATCTCAGTATGGCCACAAGTTTTTTACACATACAAAAACAAATTAAACAAGAAAATAGGCTGTTCCTATGAAGCCAACCCAAAATGCTAAAGTATAAATCTATGAGTAAACCTACCATTGCTTCATCGAAGGAGTTGTCAGCAGCTGTAGCTGAGAATGACTGAGTTTCCAGGACTGAGGTTAGGTTTACTACAGAAACAGTGGCAGCATTGATGTCTGAGGCTAGAGTGACAATTGTTGTGTTTAATGCAGCAACATCTGCAGCCTGCAATAAATAGCAATAACATGCAATTATCTGATAACATCAAACTGGAAAACAATAATTATAAGTATACAGCTTAACCTGAACTTCTAGGTAGTGGATATTAGTCTTTGATGATAAAATCATAATTTTCATGTAGCTGCCCTTTGATTTGGAGAACACTGCTCTCATGAATGCAAGGCCAGAAAAGCATTCAGTCCCTTGCCAACTCTTCCGCTTTGTGAAATTTCATGCCCAAAGTTAGTCAGTCAGTCAGTTAGTTAATCTTCAGTATGTCCCTCAGCGTGTGGCGACAGAGAACATCAGTTCTATGTTGCTTCACTATTCTTCTTTGGTAACCTCTATGATGATCATGTCTGGCAAGACCTCTTTTGACCTGAAGTTCACTGAGTCTTTTGAACGTTGTTGACTAAGCCACGTCTCCTGAGTCATTTATTCATCACACCTCCTTGAGAGCATTGAGAATATCAGCCCAGTCCACTGCTTGTCCAGTACATATTGTGGCACTTTTTTCAAAAGACTCTGAGTCATACTGAGTCAGTTACAATTACAACATGTGTGTACAGCTGATTCCTAAGCCAGCGGAAGGCATCAGTGACTGCCTCCACCTCCATTCTCAAACTAAACGTTGTGATATCATATGCCAGGCTTTGTTGGACTAAGCGATGTCCATTAGCTTTTGCTATGAACCCGGAAGCACTTCGTCTGCCTCTCAACACAGAGCCATCTGTATAGATAATCACACCACCTAGGTGGGAATTGTCATGAAGCATTTGTTGAATTTCTGATTCTGCAGCACCAGCTGGCCAGTCCCTGCACTCACGACCTAAAGTGACAAGAACAAGAAGAAGAGAATTAAAAAATCAATCATATTGCCACCAAAACTGGCAGAACATGATTACCGTAGTATGGACAGACCAGAGCAAGTCATTATTATCTGCCCTAGAACACGGCACAATCAACTTTGCAGCCTCATGCACACAAAACTTTAAGACTGGCAAATCAGCCACCTGCACATGTGGTTTGGCACCAGAGACAACAGATCACGTACTCCAGAACTGTCCAAAATACAACATTTTAAGGCAAAACCTCTGGCCAAGAGAAACACCAATGAAAGCAAAATTGTACAGGTCACTGAGTGAATGAAAAAAAGTGAGGTTTATACTAGAGACAACATTGCAAGTAAATTAAAATAGTTTTCAAGAATCATCACATTGCCAGAAGGGAGACTTCCAAAGGGGTTTGATTTTGATTTGATTTGATTAGGAGGGGATACCAACTCGGTGGGATACACAGTGAGATATGATAGGGGTGTAAATGGGGTGTCCTCATAGTAGGGCCCATGATGCTATTAGGATAGAATAATACCAGAGAAAAGAATTAGAGACTTGTGAATAATTTGAGGAGAAAATTGGGGGGGGGGGGGGGGGGGCGGGGGGCGGGAGGAAGAAGAAAAGGGTGGGATATCTGCACAAGGTGGTACAGGTAAGAAAGGCAAGGAATAAAAAAGCAAAAGAAAACATATATTATCATTGTGTTGTGGTTTACAGCAAGGCTGTGATGACTGTTCCCTTTGTCCCAGCAGCTTTAATTTCAGCAAATTCTTAATTAATCACCTTTTACAACATGCTTGTTGAGGAGCATTGGGTCTGTTCTTCCTCCAACCAACTCTCCCATCATCCCCAACCATCACTCCATTCCCAACCATCACTCCATCTCCCACCATTACTAAATTCCCCCACCATCACCCCCTCTAATCCCACACTCCCCTCAAATGGTTCCCTGCAACCCTGATGGGGGATATGTCAAAGCAATGATTTTGCTCCAAAACATTCACATTGACAGCTGTGAGAAAATTAACATATTTGTTTAAAAATATTAATAGACTTTACCTTATCTTTTCATGATTATCATTCTATTGTGTTATTATATGTCATATAGAGGTCACATTTGATTTCTCCATTCTGATTCCCCCTGTAAAATGTCATTGTTGAGTATGAAGCCTAGCCCAGCACGCCTAACTTCTCTCATCAACATTCATTGTAGAGTTTCACTTGGATGTTCTCATTTTCTCAGCCCAATTGTTTCACATGTTAATGCTTGTTGGGGATGTGTGAAAGTTTAAATAATGATCCTCCTTTTTCATAACTTATTATTCTCTCTCTGTGTCTTATCCTTTTTTCTTACTATGTTGCTGAATATTAAAAATTATTATTGAATCTACTGTCTTTTACTGCCTGAATTTATCAATTTAGTGAATTGTGGGCAGGGGCTCTTGAGGATTTATGACCACATGGATAGTATTTACCACAGACTGAACCAGTTAGGATTTTATCTTTCCCTCGAACAGAAAATATCCACTATCTTACTAAGGATTTGAACCTGGGTCTCCCAGCTGTCTCCTCAACCATACAAACCAATGAGACTAATTTATGCACAAACACAAACTGTACCTGCTGGAGAATAAGAGCACTGGTTGAGTCTATGTTTGATGTATTCTGAGCTTGTGAAAGCAGCAATGAGGCTGCAGCTTTCTCTGGTTCAAATGTGGAAAAGTTACCAGAAGTTCCAGCAGTGCGATTCAAATACTGTTAGAAAGAAATATTTGCATTAAATATCATATACTGATTTTTTTTTTTAAACACAACTACTGAGTTTTGAGCGATCGTTAAAAGTTATTTCTTCTAATGGTATACTGAGTGTTTGAGAAACCTGGACTATGAAAAGACAGTGGCTGAACTTATACTCAAAAGGCTTCATGCACAACTAAGTAATCCACAAGGGTGTTAAAAACCAAAGAAAAACAAAGAACCCAACTTTTACCGGAGTTAATTTGCTATGCAGATGTGAATCATGGACAGTTAGTAAATTAGTTAGTAAAATGAGGGCTGCATGGTCTCGAGGCATGGTGTCCTCCAGTGCTAGAGGTTCCAGGTTCAATTCCCGATAAGGAGTGGGATTTTTTCACATGGATTTGGACTTCTAGTAATTCTCCTTGGTCTCTGGGTACTGAGATCGGATACGGTAAAGGTAAAGGTAAAGTCGGGAGATGTGAACCAGCATCACTGCACATGGTTATAAACCATAAGTGCTCTGCCACCAGTACAGACAGCTGATGAGAAACTGTCCGCCTGTGTCGCCGTCCGCACGTAACTCTGTAGCTACAGCGACGTTCCTTCGTTTACCCCAGAGTTATAACTCTGGTACCCATTTCCTAGAGGCTGAGTGAACCCCGAGAGTCGCCCGGTTTCGAACACCGACCGTGGCTGCAGCGAGTTGCAGCTGGATTTGAAAGTGAGCCTCATATCGACTGCGCTAAAGCAGCTGCCCTTTAAGAACCTTGCTGGTGCTACATGTTGTTGCTATTCAGTGCACTGTGCTGAGCTTCTTCGGACTCAGACTTGAGTTAGAAGAAGAACGGAGCACTTATTGGTGCTCCCGTGTGCCATGATGTTGATTCTTGTTCAAAACCTCAAAACTTCAAAACCTTGTAAGTTAGTGAAATCTTATTTGGAAACTGCAGAAATGTGGTTTTATAAATGAATGAGAGAATACCCTGGACAGATAAAAAGAGTAATGAAGACATCTTGAAAGAAACTGACTCACGAAGAGAACTGATTGCCCACATCAGAAAGAGACAGTCAACATTCTTTGGTCATGTGATGAGAAGGAGAAAATTGGAGTACATCATGACGGTAGGAAAGTTGGAGGGAAGGAGAGGCAGACACCGAGAGAACAGATGCTGGACCGTCTGACATAATGGCATGGAAGATCATCTGTGTCAGAGTTGATTGAAAGTACACGAGACAGAAGATTTAGGATAGAAATGACTACCAATGCCACACGGCTTGGACTCTAAGAAGAAGAAGAATTTGCTTGATTTTGAACATATAATTAACAAGGACAGTGTTTTCCATATTATTTGCCACATACTGAACAGGTCAATGCTGAGAAAAGTCAAAGCTTTAACGATTAGGAGTAACAATTGAACACCCCCCCCCCCCCCCCCCCCCACCCCCTTTTCCCCACCCCCTTTATGTAAACAGAAAGAGTTCATTATACATTTGAAGTTACCCCTATAAGTCAGATGACTATAGTTAACTTCTAATTCCAGTGTATCAAGAGAGAAACAAAATTATTATGGCCTGGAGAGAATGAGGCACCTGGGTGTAACTGGGGGTCTGGCCAGCTCACTATACTCAGGGGAAAGGCAAAAAGGACATAAAATCAGATTACGACCGGTACCATTAGTATTGGAACTCTGTGTTGGCTGCTGAAGATGAGGACAGAGCACAAATGGGAATACCCCGAGGGCTGTGATGTCACCTCTTGATTAAACTCAACTGTATCAAGAGAGACCCCAGGGACGTGTATTTTAGAGGAATTAATTCAGTTCTCTGTAGTAATGCACATAAGATATTTTTTTTAAAGTCCCATATCTGTAATGGAAGTTGGTTGCAAGGTATCTACTGCTAATTATAATGAATATAACAAGGTAGGGTCCCAATCTCTTCCCCAGTATGACTCTTTTACTACTGTCTAAAAGCCCCAAGAACAGTCTTTTTCTAGACCTCACACCCTGGGAACTAAACCCTGGTAAAGGTCAAACTGTGCATTGTGAAATGATTTCACCCATCTCTAGGGAAGAGAGCTGCATGGTTTGAGAATTAATAGTTCCCAATGACATGGGTTCATCTGGGTAGAGATTCAATGCCACAGCATTCAGGACAAGCCATAATAGCTCCGTCTCCTTTCTGAACACCCAGCAAAAAGTCTCCATACTCTTGAAACCCATTGTTGTTTTGCCTTTTCCCTGAGTCTTGAGTGGTGCCCATAAACATTCCCTGCTGAATCTTTCTCTCTAGGTATGAGTGTTCTATTATGGTACAGTTCTGTCCACTTCCAGCCTGAACACCTGCGTATTGAGCTTGCATCTCTGTCACGAAGTGATTAAGCCATTTGTCTTGTGCTTGGAAGGTTGAGTTCTCATTTTATTAACAAAGATATTTTTGTTAGGAATTTCTGAAAATAGAAAAATACAGGGTCTTGGCTGTTGTTGTTTTTTAATTTTTAGCTAGGTCACTGAGCTGTTGGGGTTAACATTCCATATTTTCTTTTATGTTTTGGAAACTGAAAAAGTGGACGGAGCATTATGGGAATGTCCTGAGTCAATGATGTCAGTTCTTGATTTTTCAGTAATTCATCAGGTGTCATACCTTAATGAAGGAATATGAAAGGGACAACTTGGTTACCCATACTCCTTAACATAATCTGAGGCAGATGGTGTACATCTAGAAAAGATGTTTGTTTGTTTTAGTATCCAGAATCCATGAGTTGTTAACCCTTAGGCTCGGTATTATGGATATCGCAACCTTTCGGCCTTGATTCCATTGTAAATACCGTAAATCTGGGAGAAAATGTGGCTTTTCTGCCTACCCCGGGAGTGAACCCGGACCACAAGGAGTTCGTCACCTGGTCACCGTGCAATCCAGTTTAGCAAACTACGCTAGAGAGCCGGGCCTAGAAAAGATGAGATTACTATGATGCCAGCATTAAGTAACAAATATTTTATCATATCATCATTCATTATACACACTTACCTGCGAAGCTGTGTTGTTATACGTTGTCAAATACAAGATGGAGACACTTAGAGATGTTTCAAATGCATCAATTTCTGTGCTTAGATTGCCAGCTTTTTGTGACATTTCCAGCTGCCGAGTCACTTCAGAACTACCATTGCTTGTGGCATATTGTACAGCAGAAGTCAAATAGGATACCTGCAATAGAACATGTCAAACAGACACTTGAGGTTCTACTCTTCATTAATGAACAACTTTACCATTATCACCATAATAATTTATTCAGAGTATGGAGTTTTGTGTCACAGTGTAGGTTACTATATATACATTACTATTCCTACATAGGTAGACTTTGTGAAAAGCCTTTTACCTAAGTTGCAAATGCAATCTCAAAGTGTTCAAGACATCTGTCTCACACTCAGAAGGTAGTGGGTTCATTTCAGAGTTGCGTTATTCAGTTTACAAGTTCAGTAGTTATAGAGACCCCTGGGGATCATTGCTAGAGCTACAGAGTTCATGCTTTGTGCAATGCTCCCAGTGGGAGAGACCAAGACATATGGAAAAACACTTGCTGCAATGAAGCTAATCCTCTAAACTTAAACTTCAGACACATTATGTAACACTTGCGGCAATGAAGCTAATCCTCTAAACTTAAACTTCAGACACATTATGTAACACTTGCTGCAATGAAGCTAATCCTCTAAACTTAAACTTCAGACACATTATGTAAAACACTTGCTGCAATGAAGCTAATCCTCTAAACTTAAACTTCAGACACATTATGTAACACTTGCTGCAATGAAGCTAATCCTCTAAACTTAAACTTCAGACACATTATGTAACACTTGCTGCAATGAAGCTAATCCTCTAAACTTAAACTTCAGACACATTATGTAACACTTGCTGCAATGAAGCTAATCCTCTAAACTTAAACTTCAGACACATTATGTAACACTTGCTGCAATGAAGCTAATCCTCTAAACTTAAACTTCAGACACATTATGTAACACTTGCTGCAATGAAGCTAATCCTCTAAACTTAAACTTCAGACAGATTATGGAGCTTTATGTCAAGAGTATGGAACCTTGTGATTTTGATAACTTATCTCCATGAGGGTCGATTTTTTCTGTTGCCCATTTTCTGCTTTGTACTGCTGGGCATCACAGGTCAATAGATGATCGGTACCCAAGCTAGGGCATACTTGGTCGCCTGAGATGCTGTGATGTTATGGAGTCTCAATCCATGTGCTTGGTTGTCCCCTACTTCTTTGTGTTTCTACTTTCTGAATGCCTACTCTCATTGCTGGTGTCATTGGATTCATTCTCATAATATCCTCAAACAGTTTTAGTCTTTGTTTTCAATGAATTTAATTACTTGTGTTATTACATCAGTTCTTGTAAATTCTTCATTTCTCGCATGATCTCTTCTAGTTTTCTCAAACACCTCAGAATGCAGTTGGTAATTTTCTTCATGTTATTTAGTCCTGTCCAAGTCTGACACTGATAGCACAAGGTTGGTATGAAGACTGAATTATCCTGTGCAATCACTTCAATGTCATGGACACGATTATCAAGTTGTTTTCTTTAATTGGAGCCAAGCTTCATGTGCCTGATGAACAAATGGTATAAAACAGTCTCTAACATTATACTTTACTTAAATAACTTATAACATATTAAACAGAAACAGAACAGAAAATGTACTAGAACAGTATTCACAAATTATATATTTACCTAAGTACTTTGTATTTATGTAATGTAATGTGGAAGGAGGGATAGAGCAAGACAATGAGAGAAGATTCTTGACAGTCTTGTTGCATGGCATGGAGGTGTGTCGGCACACAAACTGATACATGCTGCAGGAGATCGCAGATTGTGGAGAGGCATGATTGCCCACGCCACCAAGGCAACTGATGACGATGATGATGAATATATGGATAAGCTCCTGTACGGAATGCTGTGTTAACTGTAAGTGGGGCAACTATGCTTTTTCATGGGGAGTGTAACACCAATAATTTCAACTTCCTGGCCTGAATCACTTCTATTTTATTCTGGCTTTCATGGCTTTGTATTTCCTTGGCTAAGCGCATGCCCCCTTCCCACCCTTTTCCCCTTCACATGCCTTATGACCCACAACTTTATCTTGGGTGTCAGATGAGTCTTTGATCTTTTCTCAGTGTTGCTTACGAGTGAGCAGCTGGTTGCAGCATTGGTATTTCATGCAGAAGACCTGGATTTGATCCTTAGTTAGGAATAGAGAGTTTTGTGATTTGCATTTTGTTGGTGACGGAGCGAAAACATATAAAAATCCAAATGGCAGTTTGTGGTGACTGTACTAGCCACACAGTCTAAAATCCTAAGGCACACCCTCCCCCACCCAGTCCTACACTGCCCTGAAAGTGGTTAATTCAGGCTATAATGACAGTTTTTACATATATATCATACACATCGGCGTCTGTGGCTTAGGTATTGCGAACATGCTTTGTAATGCCTGGGTGCCGGGTTTGATTCCAGCTGCGGGCCCTGCGCTGGTTTTGACAGTGGTATTGAGAAGTCGACCATCCAGAAAGCAATGGCAAACTGCTGGATGTAAATTTGCCTAGAAAAAAAAACCACAACAGCCAACACAAATTATGGGGTTGGTTCTGCAATTCATCATACACGTATTAAACTATTATAGGAGATGAAAAAAATAATAGACTTACTGCACCCCTAACAAGCATGTAATAAAATGTAGCTAACAAGAGGTTATTCTTCGAAGTCTGACTACATCTACCTGAAAGGCTAGGAACCAGTGGTTTGCATACAAATAAGCAAGATATGTAAAATGGATGTACATTTCCAAACTAAAGCTCTAGAAGAAGACTAATGACTAGAAGCGGATGAACAAGCAGAACTTTCCACCTGAGTTTACAGGCTGTGAACATGAAGAAGAAGAAATTTGACACTTCTCACCTTAGCTTTTGTTTTCTCAAAGCCAGACACAAGAAGCATCTGAGTACTTGTCACATTATCAAGGATGTCATTCACAGATGTGCTGTTACTTCCAGCCAAGCCAAGACTGCTCAAGCTTTCATTTAGCCTGAATGACAAGGCCTGAAGTCTGCCATCTTCCATCTGAACAAAGACAGCTGTCTGTGTTTTGTTCAGTATCTCTGTAGCTGTCTTTGACTGGTTGGCAATATTGTCACCAAGAGACTTCTGACACAGTCCACACTCTGTCAATTATACAAATAAGAATGTAATCAAATTTACATATTCATGTTTCCTCTGGGCACTGAGTTGGAATCTTGACCTCAACATGTGGAGAAAATTCTACCAAACCAAGCCTAACGCAAGCTAGATCATATGAGATGCACTGAATCATTATGTTTTCTGAAACTGACATTTTCCTGTGTATAATATGAGAATATGATTGGTTGACCTTTGTTTAAAATGATTTTGATTGCTCTATACCATCTTGTTTAACTTCTTCTTTAGCATTCCAAATCCTTAAGGTTCGCTGGTGCAGATATCCGCCATCTCCATTCTTCTCTGTGATTGGTCCTCTCTTTCCTTAAGACTGGATATCATTTCTCTTCCATCTTCTTGGTCTGCTTCGTGATCATGTTTCACATAATCCCAAAATTCTTATCTTATAATATATCTTATTAACCTTTCGTATGTGTAATAAAAGTCGATGGTGTTATTTTAGGACAAGTACAGAAATTTTAGTATCTGGGCACACTGATAACATCAGATAGAAGATGCATAACTGAGATAAGAAATAGAATAGGAAAGGCAAAACTGCATTTTATAAAATGAAAAACATCTCGTGCAATATATCCTTGTCATTGAGAGTTAGAAAAAGAATTCTTGCTTACTACATACATCCAGTTTTAACATATGGCTGTGAATCCTGGACAATCAGTAGGCAGGCCAAACAATTTCTAGAGGCCTCAGATATGTGGTTTTACAGAAGAATGCTTAGAATTCCTTGGACAGCCAAAAAGAGCTACAAAGAGGTTTTGAAAGAGGCGGGAGCCCGAAGAAAACTTATCACAGACATCAGAAGGAGACAGTCATCATTTTTCGGCCATGTTATGAGAAGAGGGAAAATTGAACATGTTGTGACCACTGGAAAGATCTGTGGAAGGAGGGATAGAGGAAGACAACAAGAGAAGATGCTTGACAGTCTTGTTGCATGGCATGGAGGTGTGTCGGCACATGAACTGATACATGCTGCAGGAGATCGCAGATTATAGAGAGGCATGATCGCCCACGCCAGTCGGCAAGGCACCTGATGATGATGATGTGCTATACTAAGTTCTGATATTCTAACTGCAAAATCTAGAAATATTTCTGGGTGAAAGCCTTTAAACCGATGATCCAGAATCTTTACGGCTTTCTTCACATCATGTCAAATTTGTCTTGGGAGAAAAGTCCAACTGTGTCTTCAGTTTGCGCCATCCAAGAACTTCCTCTTTTCAGTCTGACCCTTAGCTCTACCCAGGGCTTTATGCAGGAGGTGCTTCTTGTCTGCAGCTACTCTGAGATATGACTTTGCATGCAGAGCTTTAAGCCTTTCTGCAATAGTAGGCAGTGCAAGTAAGCTATTTCTCCACATAAAATACCCAGTAAATCTTTACTATCTAATCATTACCATCACAGACCTTGACACTGTGGGTCACCTGCTGATGGTGACTGATCGATTCTCGTCACTTCTGTCAGTCAGATGCAATGAACTTTATGTGTGCATGTCCATTCAGCTAAATGCTCTACCCATGTCTATATCTTGGTCTGCCTCGTCTCATCCGCAGTCTTGTAATATTGTTTTGTTGAGTTTGGTAGATATTTTTACATGTCTGTACCACTGCATTTGTCATCATTTCACTATTGTTACTACATGTCTAATATGTGGTCTGTCAAAACATTGTATGTTATCTTTGGAGAATATTTTCTGTCTTGTCACTAGCCAGAGGTGCTCTGACTACAGTCAAGAACTTGAGCTTAACATACATAAAAATAAACAAAATGTATACAAAACACCGATTCAAATAGGACATGACAAATGCAAACAACCTTGGCAGCCTGCACTAGTGAAGTTAACATGGAGCGGCAAACACTGGTTACACTGCCTGCCCCCGATACCAGGTCGACATTCACACTGACCAGTTGTCATATTGCACTTTGATATATTTAGTGAGCCGATGGGGTCACATGAGCATGCTAAACAAAAAGAAGAAATAAAAACATACAAAATGTGAATGGATGGCTCAAAACAATTATTATACTATTTAAATAATGCAGACACAAGCAATTTATTGCACAATTTGTTGCATGGTATTAGTTAACTTTTTTTCCAGATTAGGTACATATATTAATACAGAACTGACACCAACATATAATGAAACATAAAGCAGTCATCTTTTCAAGTGAACTACACAAATCTGTCTCTTGTTTAAGTAAACATCCCAAAACAGAAGTAAAAAATTAGACAGCAATCACCATGGAAATCTAAGAGGAATTGCATTTTATTTTTGTTTTAACAAAACCAGATTGTCCATCATAACTGACTTTAACTGTCAATTGTAAAAATTGTCTATTCAGTGTGTGACAGATCATTTGGAAAGCACAATCTCTGTGAATTACAGCCTAGAGTCTGGCAAATGACAAATACAAAATGTCAGGCAAATTTACAAACACATATCTTCTTCTTTATCAGCATTCCGAGCCCCTGAGGTTCATTGCTGCAGATATCACCTGCCTTCATTCATCTCTAAGATATATATAATATTTATATCTTTATATCTAAGCCTCGATACAAACACATATACTTTGGAAAAAAAGCGTATCACTTAGGAAGGCAGATAGTTTTGCCTGCTCTGTCAAAATGTAAAACAAAATAATAGGATTCACTGGGAGAACCATGTAGCTTTCAGACAGAGGAATAAAAGATGCAATAGAAAATTAGCAAAAAAGTTTCAAATGCTAATATAATTGGAGTTACTTTATTATTTAAGACAGCTCTATGGCTGTTGTCATCATATATGTAGAGATGTTACTTACTTGTACAGTGACAATGAAAGTAAACTGTGTAATATTTTGAGAGTTATTCAATTCTCTCTTAGGAAGACAAGAGTTGAACTCTAGAAACATATTTTTCATTTCATGTCACTACAAAAATCTGCATCTTCTATTAATATACAGCTGGGTTCTTTGGTGGAATGGCAAAACATTCATTAGCATATATGGAAAAATTAGATTTAATTTTGCATGACAATTTTCCCTGGTCTTGATACAACAAAACTAAGAATGTATATTATGAAACAATCTTTAAAATTTTTTTTACAATCATCAATTTGGGATAGAAAAATAACACTTTAAAAAAAATTAAATAAATATAAAGTAAATATAACACTAATATGATCACTTAAGTTCAGTCAAATTGAAACTTCAAATTTATTTCATGCAGATGTCTGCTTCATCGTTTTCAGTTACCAGATGAAACACAACAGGTTTATTGATAATTTCACATAAAGTGCAAATTTATTATCTACTTTCCTATTTTATTTTACATTAATTCATTATGTCTCAGTTATAGCTTTAATTCATGATGTCTCATTACCAGGACATTCTTTTTCTAGCTATAGGCAATGGTACACAGTATGCAACAGTACTCAGTATTGGCAATTTTTTTTTGTTTTTGGTTAGACCTCCTTTGTTTTGGCTCAACTTTTTTCTTTAGACACGTGGTGAGTATCAACAATTTTTTTCTATAAATTTTTTTGGGCCCTGCCCATAACTGTAATATTGCAACTCTGAATAAACAAAACTGTCACTTTAAAAGTTCACAAACTGTCATATGGAAGATGTTTACAGTTCACAATTTTCTGGCGGTGAAACAGTTTTCAAACCTTGACAAGATGCAGATGGTAGTCCATAGAATCCATCAATGCAGACATCACAATTGCTGCCAGTTGCATTAGTTCTGCAGGAACACTGGCCTGTATTGTTGTAACACTGAACACTTAGACTGCCCGCTTCCACACACCCACAGGCCTTGCAACCTGCAAAGAACACTTCCATTTATCACTTAAATTGTTAAATTTTGCTACAAGCTATATGTATGTGTCTACGGTAGGGATGCTTAATTTCTGGCAAATTACTTGATCAAAAGGAGCAACCATGGTGTAGCAACTAGATGTTTAAATTAGAGTAGCTGACCCTTTTCCCTGTCTTCAGGTGTGAAGGACATATAGTGCTAAACCTATATTTTATAGATTATTCCAAACCTGGCAGATAATCTGGTTAACATCACCTCAGCCAGCTTTACTTTCCAGGACTTTACCTGGTTCCAATTTAAAGTTAGGTCAACCTGGGAGCTTGTTGCAAAGGTCATTTTTATAAACGTCCAGCTCCATTTGGTTTTGAAACCATGATATTTGGATCTGCAGGCGGGCATCTGGGTTAGAGTACCAAACATAAAGAAGTTAAAAGATTACAAGTAACTTGATTCAACAATCCATGATATTCGGATCTGCAGGCGAGCATCTGGGTTAGAGTACCAAACATAAAGAAGTTAAAAGATTACAAGTAACTTGATTCAACTATGTTTTGGGGCAGAAAGAATTAGGGAAAGCAATAGGTAGGCAAGGTAACTAATAAACACATGATGAGTTGTTTGGTGACGAATAAGGTCACTTTTATTACAACAACATAAAAAAGTAGAATGTGAACTTAACCTGTAAAATTTGCTACATTATAACCCCAAAATCCCATCAGGCATTGATCACATGATCTTCCTCCAACTCCAGACACACAAGAGCACTGTCCAGTTATAAAATCACATTCAGTGCTGTTTGATGTTCCTGGCACACACTGGCATTCTGTAAGTTGAAAATAATGTAAATGTTTAATAATAGACATGTGCAGATTAATTCACTCTCACTTGCACATAATTTTTTAAAATACAGAATAAAGTTTCAAAGTAGAGTCTTTACACTTTATTCTGGAAGCTAAAAACAGAATGTAATGGTGAAAATGAAATTAATTTTGAAAAATCATCAGTTTAAACTGTCTTATGACAAAGATTTGATAAAGTGTATGTGACCTGCTCTTCTGTATAGATGAGAAAGTGTATGTGACCTGCTCTTCTGTATAGATGAGAAAGTGTATGTGACCTGCTCTTCTGTATAGATGAGAAAGTGTATGTGACCTGCTCTTCTGTATAGATGAGAAAGTGTATGTGACCTGCTCTTCTGTATAGATGAGAAAGTGTATGTGACCTGCTTTTCTGTATAGATGAAAAAGTGTATGTGACCTGCTCTTCTGTATAGATGAGAAAGTGTATGTGACCTGTTCTGTATAGATGAGAAAGTGTATGTGACCTGCTCTTCTGTATAGATGAGAAAGTGTATGTGACCTGCTTTTCTGTATAGATGAGAAAGTGTATGTGACCTGCTCTTCTGTATAGATGAGAAAGTGTATGTGACCTGCTCTTCTGTATAGATGAGAAAGTGTATGTGACCTGCTCTTCTGTATAGATGAGAAAGTGTATGTGATCTGCTTTTCTGTATAGATGAGAAAGTGTATGTGACCTGCTCTTCTGTATAGATGAGAAAGTGTATGTGACCTGTTCTGTATAGATGAGAAAGTGTATGTGACCTGCTCTTCTGTATAGATGAGAAAGTGTATGTGACCTGCTTTTCTGTATAGATGAGAAAGTGTATGTGACCTGCTCTTCTGTATAGATGAGAAAGTGTATGTGACCTGCTCTTCTGTATAGATGAGAAAGTGTATGTGACCTGTTCTGTATAGATGAGAAAGTGTATGTGACCTGTTCTGTATAGATGAGAAAGTGTATATGACCTGCTCTTCTGTATAGATGGGAAAGAAATTCTTTTTTTTCCCTAGTGTTTACCAGCTGTAAATTCCTGCAGAATTCTGGTTGTTCATCCAAATCTGGACTTAGTCTTGTTCAAGAACTCGAGACTTTGCACATCCATATAACAGATCTGACTTATTTCTAAGCAGTCTGTTGGTTACTTGCCTCTCATGCAGATGCATCCCGACTTTGAAGCAGACTCTCCTAATTTGTCGCCTTCTATGATGTGCTTGTTAGGAATGCAGTGGGTCTGTTCTTCTTTCCCCAAAACAGGGCCCTAAAAACCCCATGGGGAAGAAGGTTATGAAATTATGGGAAAGCTAGGAGCAACGGTTCTGTGGAAGAATCTTGAGAATATCACTGACAGAAAAGATAAAGTATTGACAGTTTTATCATCACAAGATCACTAATAAAACCAACTGAGAAATGATAAATGATATTTATGGGGGATATCAGCTGGAGAGGTTGAATACAAAAACTAGCAAAAGCAGCCTGCCAAAGAAAAACAAAGAAAGATCTGTATGGTGAACTTTAATTAAAACAAATAGGTTGACACTCTTCATCCACTAGCGCATGAGGTGTATGATGGTAGATCCATTTGTTTATAGACTAATGGCTACTTGATCAGTCATGTGATGAACAGCATGCTAGCTAGCTTTATTTCCTAGAACATTACCAGGTACCTTTTTTAGGCTTGATTGACTTGGAGCCAAGAAGCATCACGAACTGTGCTACAAATAATAATAATAATCTAGCAACATCAAGTTCATAGAATTAGCAGATAGAAGGGCTTAAAGTCGGAAGATAATTACAACAGACAGAAATTATCTGATCAGAAGGCAGTAACAGTCTTCAGACAGACACATGGCTGAGATTGCAGAAGACTCCGCAAAAGTTCAGATTTTTAACAAACCTAATTTTTAAAATATGCAAGTAGCATATGTATACTCTTTTGCAAGTTACAAACTGAAGGTTGCATTTACAGTCCTGATACAAATACTGATACAAATACTGATACAAATACTGATACAAATACTGATACAAATACTGATACAAATACTGATACAAATACTGATACAAATACTGATACAAATACTGATACAAATACTGATACAAATACTGATACAAATACTGATACAAATACTGATACAAATACTGATACAAATACTGATACAAATACTGATACAAATACTGATACAAATACTGATACAAATACTGATACAAATACTGATACAAATACTGATACAAATACTGATACAAATACTGATACAAATACTGATACAAATACTGATACAAATACTGATACAAATACTGATACAAATACTGATACAAATACTGATACAAATACTGATACAAATACTGATACAAATACTGATACAAATACTGATACAAATACTGATACAAATACTGATACAAATACTGATACAAATACTGATACAAATACTGATACAAATACTGATACAAATACTGATATCTGCTAAATCTTCTTCTTTGTGTTCACCGACTGTAAACTCTTACGGACATTTCTGTTTGTCGACTTCGACTTTGGTCTTATTCCAGAACTGGAGTTTTATGTACACATCCATCTAATTCCTGAACTTGAGTTTTATGTACACATCCATCTAATTCCTGAACTTGAGTATTATGTACACATCCATCTAATTCCTGAACTTGAGTATTATGTACACATCCATCTAATTGCAGAACTGGAGTTTTATGTACACATCCACTTTACAGATCTGGATTAGGTTTTTGCAGACTGTTAGTTCCTCACCAGTCAGGCAGAAGCACTTTTAACTATGAAGGACACACCCCTAATTATTCACCTTTAATGAAATACTTGTTAAGGAGCAGGGGTTCTAACATTGTACTACCCAAAATAGGGCCCTAGAACCCACACAAGGACCTGCTAAATAAAAATGTCCAACCAGTTATAAGAATTATTGGCAACATACATATTAGCATTAGCTTCCAAACTCAAATGGTTGCTTTAAAATATTCTGGGACATCCTTGGCTCCCAGGTCGACTCAGCCTTGAAGCTGACCCATCATCCATCTTGTGCTGATTGGTCTATAAAATAGGTCTAGCCCTATATGCCCTATATGCCTAAAGGCGTGGAAAAGGGTCCTTTACTTTTCTTTTTTTTTTTTTTTTCTGGGACATAAGAAGACCAGCAGAATATTCATGACTTCACAAACAAAGCACTGATTGGTCTATAAATATCTGCGGCCAGCACCATATATCCAGTAAGTTTTAAGGTGTGGAAAAGAGTTCTTCACTTTTATCATAATCATCATCTGCAGTGCCTGTAAGCATCGGCTGTCATGTTTAACCAACTCACACAATCACCAAAATCACGGATCAGGTCAATGTTTTTCCCTCGACCCTATCTCTTTTTTCTTTACTTTGGTGACACTAATATTAGAAGAATTCAAAATACCTTGACAAGTTTGCTGAGAAGCATTGCCATAGAAACCTGAAATACACCTTTCACAGTTGGTGCCTGTTGTGTTAGATGTACAAGAGATGCAGTGACCAGTTACACTGTCACAGGAGACTGCATTGTCATTGCACTCACAGGGCAGACAGGTTCCATTGGGAGCCTTGGGGCTTCCATTATATGAGTCGTCACACCTGGAGTTCAAAAGATAAGTGTTGGAACTTTGTGAGTAAAATCTCCAACTTAACAAATTAATAAACTATATTTTAAAAGGGTGCACAGGCACATGTGCACAATACTTTTAAACTGTGTGAATTCACAAAATATTTTTATTTTTATATTCCTCTTCTTTCCTTTTTTGTTCTCTCACTGATACCAGGTCATAGACCAGTGTCGTGGTCTTGCACTTCTCAGGTAATTTGGGTGATGGATTTGTTCATCTTTGTGCAGGTTTCAGCTACACCATTTATCCATCTTTGTCTTCCTCCCAGCTCTTCTGCTATAAAAAATCTCATACAGTTTTTTTAATTTTAGTACATTTTTCCCATTTTGGCAAACTCCATGACAGCTAAGTATTGATTGTTCTCCACCCTTTTGCAACGGTAAATTTTGAAGACAAAAAAAACAAAAACTGGATCATAACCTTGAAGAAATTCCAGAGAAAAATCTTTATAAAACAACAATTTTACATAGGTCACTAATGAATTAAAAAAAACAATATTTATATAATTTTGTTGAAGAAAATAAAGACATATTAAGGGGGTAATCAATACGCATGAACAGAGTGAAGTCTTAATTGGAATTTATTCCATGGGGCTTAAGAAATTATGTATTAGTTGACTGATGCCATGACCACTATTATTAAGGTTTATGGAAAAAGGGAAAATTTGAAGCCAATTTGACTTTCAAAAAGCTATTTGATCCACAGGAAAAACCCCTAAAATGCTATTTTTACTTACCACATTCATATTTTGACTCCACCCCCTCCCTCACCAATAGCATTATCTCATAAGCATATCACACTAAAATCAGAAAAGAGACATTCATGGGGAATTGGATCAAAGCAGAGGTTTGAGTTTTGTGGCTTTTCCAGGAGATAGGGTTAAGCTCAACTCCCTGGGTAAGAAGCAGTCTTAAAAGAGGTAAAAAAATAACTGGTTGGTACTGAAAGAGTTAAGATATGCCATGAAACCAGGGACACAGTGAAAACAAACAGCTCACTTACTCATCACAGTGAATACCAACATATCCAGCTTGACAAAATGAACAAACAATATTGGTTGAGTTGCTGTCCTTCTCACACGTAGCATTAATAACTCTCGGTGGATAGCAAGGACATGCCATGCAGTCAACTTCTGTTCCTATTGTAGCATTTCCATAAAAACCAGGAGAACAATTTTCACAGTTGGCTCCTGAAATTTAACAAAATGGTACAAGGTAATCAATAAAGTTAGTTGTGTGTCCACATTATTTAAATTCACTACAGGAAAACATTGCTTTAAATTCCTACACTTTACCAAGGATTAAAATCTTGGTCATATGTTTGAACAGCTCAGCCAGCTGCTTCCCTAAGACATGACAAATAATTTTGATGCTCTCTCATGAATGTTGTGTTTACTGAGATAAGATGCCGGGAATGGATAGCTGGTGAAACAGTCAGCGAGAGCTGATCAATACAAAATCACACCCAGGTGACTTATACATACAGATGGGTCTGCAGTAAGTAAGTAAGTAAAGCCTCAAATGGGTACCAAGATGGGTGTCCTGGGAAAGTAAAGAGGGCCGGCGTAATGCTGACCACATTACCCATCCATTGCCGATTGGTCTGTAAAAATATGGGACGCTCTTTCAATATACCCGATGCACCTAAAGGTGTGAAAAGGGATCTTTACTACTTTTTATGGGTCTGCAGAAAGAGGTAAGAAAAGTGAGTAGGTTTTTAGAAAAAAAAGTGAATGGACACTGTTTGAAAAGAGCCTCACGCACAATGATGCTACATTCACTATGAGAATGGAGGTGGAGGCAGCTTTCCAATGGATTGAGAGCAGTATTGAATGACATTTTGTAATTAAAATGGACTCACAGAGCATGCTTCAGAAAACTGAAACTGGTGTCCTGTGTGCAGAGGGGCTTGGATCACTTGATAAGACTCAGATCAGGAGCATATCATGGCCTTTCTATCCAGGATATTCAGGTGTGGGAAGTAACGAGCAGGCTGATAGATCAGCTCCCACCTCACCTTTGGGTAGTGAGCTACTTTATGATAAAGCAGAGATGTTGAATGCTCTCTTGGATCAAATGGTCAGTGCAATAGAATGGACAGAGAATCAATACACTAAAAGACTAATTCAATAGGGGTCAGTAGAGGTTCCAGCACATATTCAACACTGAGGGAGAAACAAGGGAGACTTTTTATCAGGTTGAAACTGGTACTATTAACATGTCAACTTTTCATGGCTTCTGAAAAAGGGGAATGAGCATGTGTGGATATGACCTGAGTGCAGTGATGTCAATTCTTGATTTATTAATTCCTTAATTCATTCACTTATTCATTCATTCACTGATGTTTTAAAAATAGAGTTATTTATTGATGCTACCTTCTGTGTTGTTGAGGCAATCCTGACAAACACCAGTCTCAGCATTACAGATTGTTGAATGTCCATGGCACATACATGGCACACAAACTCCCAGGTATTGTGAGCTGGTGACATTTTCTCTCCTGTATCCAGGTGCACACATCTTTTCATGGAACAGGAAAAAAAGTCATCATTTCTGTGTTTTTTTTTTTTAAATAATGATGGTGTTAAGATTACATTACTGGTAAATGATTTCATAGAATCAAATGGTTTGGTCATATGGTCAGAATGGAACAAAATAAGACAGCAGAAAGAGCTCAAGCACACTATATGAGAACAGCGGGTTACAAGGTAAGAGGTTGATCAGGAAAGAGATAGGTGGAGGGAGTAAAAAAGACACCACAGATATGCAGTATGACAGTAACATAAGCAATGAAAATAGCTAAAGACAAGAAACTACATCAAACTCCTCTCCGCGACACTTTAGAGCATAAGCAGTAGGAGAAAAGAAGAAGAAATGGTGATGATAGAAAATTTGGAAATAGTTTAATAGTTTTTTTTAATATAAAAAATAATTTTTTCAGAATTACTAATGCTTATAGTCATATCTGTTTTCATCATATATACATATATATATACACACACACACACACACACACACATATACATATACACACACATTCACATACATAAAAGGTGTTCTCACTTTCCTGATGTGAAAAATATGAATACATTTTCCATTCATCATAAACATTTTTTTCCCTGCTGTCTATTTATGAATAAAAAATATATACAGTGAATTGCATTTTTCATATTAGCAAAGACAGAATACCTGTTATTTTACAGTTTAACATGTTGCAGATCAAATAATAATGAATTTAAAGGGGGAATGTAGACTGAATCAAAATCTCCTTGCTGCAAGAATATAAGATACTATTTGGTTTACAGTTGTCTCTTAACTCTTTGAGTCCCAAGGAACGTATCATACGTTCATAGGATACTAACTAGAAGCCCAATGAACGCATGATGCGCCGATTTGACATCTCTTTTGACTACCCCTTGGGCCTCTGATGCTAAACATCCTGGGACTCAAAGAGTTTATTATCTAAAATTGGTGTCACATGTTATTGCAGCATGGCCCGATCCGCAGGCGAGTGTCTAGCCGCTACACCATTGGCTCCCGACCTTCAATGGCATTTAAAAAAAAAAAATTTGTGTGTGCAAATTAACTAACATATTAATCTGTTTACCAAAAATAAAAGACTAGACAGCATGGAAGAGAGTGAAAACAAAGAATGCAGTCCATTCTACAGACCAAGGTCACTAAAACTGTTTGTAACTAACTGTGTTTTACATTGTTTCAGCTTTAAATATTTCCAGATAAACTGTTCATTAGTAATTTACCTCACATGAGCTTCCTGTGTATTCTAGTCCACACGCACACCGCTCCCCCTAAATGAGTTCAGTATGCATTCAGACTCAAGACTTTCAGGCTGGCAGGCAAGCGTCGAGCCTCCATGCTATCATGGTTCTCATTGAAAAGAAATAGGTCAGACTCAACAACATAGAATTAAAAAAAAAAAATGTGCTGGGTCCCAAAAGAAGAAAGTCAGCCAGAATATACAATAAAAGTAAATAGTAAATTTTTTTCTTCTTCTTTGCATTCATCATCATCATCATCATGTAGCAGGTCCTTTGCAGAACGTCGCTCTCATCACAGTCTGCCTGAAAAAAACTCGGTCTCTCGCCAGTTCTCCCGCCTCATGCACTTTCCAACTCAAGGAGTCATTTATATCCTGTGCCCATCTTCGCGTCAGTCGGCCCCTGCTCCTCCTTCCTAGTACCATGCCTTCTGCTGTAATTTTTCCCAATCCGTTGTGGTGCTTGATATGACCAAAATATTTCAGCTTTCGAGAAAGGATGCTGTTTATTAGCCAATCTTCCTTGATGTTCAGATCTTTTAAATGTCAATATTTCTCATCTTCTCTGTCTGAGAATCTTTCTATAGCATTTCAGCTCAAAAGCCCCTATTCTCTTTCTCAAGGGCTGAGAGATAGTCCACACTCACATCCGTATTTTGCTACAGGGAAGATGCATGCTCTCAAAATTCAAATTGTTATCTCCTTGCTGGTGCTTAACCATAGGCTTTTAATGTTGTTTAATCTTTGCATTCACCAGCCGTAAATTCTTTCAGAAATTTCTGATTGTTTATCCACTTCTGGGCTTTAGTCTTTTTGTATATCTTGAGTTGTGCATAAACGTTTTTGTTTTGTAGTTCCTTCCTTTTTTATGCATGCAGACTCTTGGTACCCTGCCTCTCAGGCAGCTGCATTCCAATTTTCTCAGCAGCAAGGCTTTAGGATCAGTGTAGCGCACACCCTCTACAATAACAAAGTTTACTGTAAATAATACATCTGTCCCATACAGGGATACTAAGGATGTTAACAAAGTATCAGGCATTTGCCAGTACAGTCTGGGATCGGCAGCTGTTATGTCAATGATGGCGGCAGATGTCATGTCAGGGTTCAACTCAAATCGAACAGATGCATTAGCCACACTCCCGTTTTCCATAACAAGATTCAGTGCAGGAGCAACAGCAGTGTCTGTTTTCACTGACAATTGATACAATCTCTAAAGAAAGAAACAAAAAGTGATTTTCAAAAAGAATAACTGCAAACAAAAGCAGAAGTACAATAACTACAATCTGTTAACAAGTTTGATACAAATTAGAAAGATTATGTTGCAAAAGAAATGTGAAAGAATGTTATGATGCTTTCCTGTTTTATAATTTATGAAAAACACAAAATATATTTAACAAAAAAATGAAGTATACTTTGTCAAAAATGTTTACTTTTTATAGTCATAAAAGTTTCCTGCAGATACAGTGTTGCGTTAATTTTCTTTCTTTTTAAATCAGAAGCTACAGTATAATATTGCAGAAGCTAACACATTAGCAACCCAGCCCAATGATCAGGTGGTCAAAACTTGACTGAGGCTAGGATTTTCTTTAAAGATGATATGGGCCATTAGATTGGCTTACCCTAAAATACATATTAAGCACAAAAACTCCAAGGCTGATTGGACTATAATAATATGGAGCTAGAACCAAACGCACAGCATGCCTCAAAAGTGGAAAGAACGCTTTACTAAAAAGAATAATTATAAAATTATGAGCTATGAGTTACAAATCAATATCATAACACTCCGGACATTTCTATAAGTGCTCTAACCCATCCTCAGCACCAAGTGCAGAGTTCGAATTCTGATTGTACCAGTAACTGATTGTATGTATAACAGTCTGATTGTATGTCTGTCTTCCCCCTCCCCTTGGCATTCAGTGTCAGTCAGATCTCTTGGTCACTCCCCAAGTAAAATTATAAAGTTATTAATTGTAAACAAATTTAAAATGTTTTTCCTCTTTTACAACCCAAAAGACTGACGACACCCCTTGGCTCATAGAGTAACTATTTTGATGCTAATCTAAGGTAAAGCTAAAGTCAAAATTATTGACTTCACAGTACATATGGCTCGGTCTATCTCCACAAAATGACCAGCCACCTGCTGAAAGCATCACACAAAGCACAAACTTCTTAGCTTCAGCAGGGATCTCTTTAAAAAAAAAAATAGCGCTTTTGAACAAAATGACACAAATGTGAAATGAACCTATGACCTTCAGAGTGCCATGGACAACCCCTCCCCCTCCTTTTCCCATGCCCCAAATCAAACAGGAAGTAATCCCATGAACCAAATTCAACCCAAAAAACTGTTTTGTGGTATTTTATGGTGAGGTAACCTGCAGCTGAAATTTTAATAAAGTGTATTTCTAATATTCATAACAAGAATACAGTTCTGTATTTTAAAAATGACTAAGTAAAATCTGTTATGGCTTTCAAATGCAAAAATGGCCTTACAGAACTAAGCTTAATTCCTGCAGAGACACAACTATTTGTGACGCCCATACAAATGCAGTTTAGACATCCCATAGGATTCTTAGAATCTAGACCAAAAGTTCCTGGCAAACAGGTGTCACACTGACGACTGCCTGTATTTTCCTGTAAATGCAAAAGAAATATAGAGTTAATGTCAATTACTAATATCAAAATGACATCACTGTAACTATATTCAGACTTTATTGGAGAGCAACTAGCAAACAAATAAAAGTAACAATTTTGATAACATAATTTAATTTTTTTGTAAAATCTGGATTTAATTTACAAACAATTTCACGATCATTAAAAATAAAAACCCAAAGATTTTGACCTTAAATGTCCTAGAACAGCATGGGCTGTGAGGGAGAAAAATCCGAACATAATCTGATTATAATTGGGGGGGAAATGGTCTGTGTACATACTTTAATAATATGTTGGTCTATATAATTATGTGGCCGGCGCTGCCTTCCTGATACATGTCATGGCATGAGAACATGACTTTGCTTTATTTTTACAAGCTAGAGTCATTCATGCCATAAACAATCATGCTAAATTGGGCAAAACAATAACTGCTAAGCTACTGAAACATTAATCAAGGAACAGAAAATGTATTGATCGGCACTCATAGAAAGAAGTAGAAAGATTAATTATTAATACTGAAACATTAAGTGCTTGTTTACCGAAGTCTAAGAAAATCATATCAGTGCCAAAATGACAGTTTTAATCTCCATTCTCATACTTTCTTGGCCCCTTTCTGTCATTTCAGATGACAGGGTTCCCCTTTGTTGTAGGAAGGCATGAAAATCACAGTCAATGGTGACATCGAGAGCACCGTGGTGTAATGGCTAGGATGCTCACCTTCAGTTTTGAAGGTTGTGGGTTAAAATCCAAAAAGAACTGGACATTTTTCAAAATGGCCTTGGCTTCCAGGTTGGCCCAGTCTTAAATGAGTACCAGGTAAAGTCCTGGGAAGTAAAAGTGGCAGGCATGATTTTGACTACATCACCTACTCAGTGCTGATTGGTCTATAAAAGTCTAGCACTATATACTCAATATGTTTGAAGTTGTGGAAAAGGGACCTTTACTTTATGTGACATGAATCAAGGCCATGAATGAAGTTCCTTCTCTCAACGGCACAAAGTCTGGGCAATATCATAGAGACTATATGTTGTGGATGCAGCACGATCAATCTCAGTCCTAAAGGAAAGGTAACATCAATAAATTTAGAAAAAAGCATGCTGCAGAAAGTGCTGGATCAGAAGAGCAGTGCTCCATCCACCTGTTGGAGCTTCCCTTAGACCAGCTGCCAACCAAGACTAAGGGCCTGGTTTACCCTGCCATACAGTTGAGTTGTATGGCCAAATGTCCTCATTCTAAAATAAATCTTCTATCCAGGGCTTTTTTATGGTGGTAAGCAATGGTACCCAGTACCAACCATTTTTTTTAAAATGGATCTTTCAGTGCTACTGTGGCAAGCACCAACACTTTTGTTGTTGTCATTGTTGGTAAAAAGGCTCTGCTTGTATCCTTCCAATATGCTGATTGGTTTAAAGCTGTTGACACAATTCTGATACTAAAACTTGTTATTTGACACACTCATTTCTGTCTGGGGTTGACATATGTGAGAACTTACCTTACACAGGCATTGTCCTGTAGTCTTATTACACACAGACCCCGCAGATCCAGCCTCGTTACACATGCAAGGAGAGCATCCTTGTGTGGTCAGATTAAAGAATCCATCAACACACAGATCACACTTAGCCCCTTCCACTCCCATTTTGCATGCACAAATACCAGTTGTCTCATTACACTGCTGGCTTACAGATCCAAGTAGGTTGCACTCGCATAGCTGGTGGGAAGAAAATACTGTTTCATTAAAATTATATCTGTATATAATATATATATATATATATATATATATATATATATATATATATATATATATATATATATATATATATATATATGTATATATATATGTATATATATATATATATATATATATATATATATATATATATATATATATATATATGTATATATATATGTATATATATATATATATATATATATATATATATATATATATATATATATATATATGTGTGTATATATATATATATATATATATATATATATATATATATATATATATATATATATATATATATATATATATATATATATATATATATATATAAATAATCTTCCTAAGAAACAATGCTACTGCAATTCAGGCAAGGCCTTTGATGTTCACTCATTCTACCATTTGTGTTAAAATGCATTTTATTCATTGGTAAAAAGGCTAGTTTAAGAAAGAAGAGATTTGTGTTTCTTTTATACAGCAAAATGCAAACCAAATTCAGAGTTTGTTGGTTGATTGTGACTATACACAGGTATTTTACGACAGTAGTTTGCAATAACTTTCTGAATGGTTTGATGCTCATGTTGTTTGTTGTTGTTGTTGGCACCTTTCTGTCTTGCCAGACAATGTTACATTGTGCATGGAAATCACAGCCCATGGTGATGGTGAATATGACTAGCAAGACTTGCCTCCATTAGGAAATGCTATTTCTGAGACCAAATAAGGCCAGGGATGAAGTTCCTCCTCTCCATATCACAAAGTCTGGACAGTAATGTAGAGACAATGTGTTGCCCATGCATCATGATCCCTCTCTCGGCATGCCTTGTTTACTCCAAAGGAAAAGTAACACTAATACATTTGCAACAAAGCATATAACAGAAGCTGCCAGATCAGAATAGCAGTGCTCTATCTCTTCACTTTTAGAGCTTCCCTCATAGACCAGCTGCCAATCAAAGCTAAAGGTCTTGTCTGGCCTCCCATAACATAAAGTTTTCAGGTTGTATTTCCTCTTCCTAGGATAAGGCTAGCATCTTTGACAATATGATCCTCCACCTGTAGCCATTCGCACTAAGTGGGATGTCAGATTCAGTATACGCTGTCCTAAATTCAGCATTAACAGTTAACAGATAGTAACTGACACTCATACCATTGTCAAAACCAACATAAACTTGTCCACTGCCAAACTGCCTCTACCTGACTTGAACCCAGTATTGTGATTTTATAAAATTGTCTTCATATAGATGAGCCACAAACACCTGGAAGTTACTTCACATGGCCTTATATAAATAATGTAACTCTAGATACAGTAAAAATATTTACCCTTTTACAAGTAATTAAGATGAGCAAATGAAAAGCTGAAGCTTTCACAAATAAATGTACTAAAGTCTAATGCAAGTGTGGACAAAGAAGCATAAGCACATTCACAAATATGCATATAATCCATTATAATGGCAGACAGTGAGAGTGTTGTGGCAGGTGTTTCGAATTAGAGAAGATCACCCACCAAATGTGTCCTGGTAGGGACTAATCCTTACTGGAGACGAACCAAATCATCCTATGTGACAGACAGTGGGTTCCTCTACAGAAAGCTGCAATGGATATATACTTTAACTTGTTTTCAGGAATGCATAGTCATGTAATATGGTCAGATAAAGAGGGAAAAGCACAGATAGATCAGGGAATCACATCCTTGAGAAGATTCTCTTAGGAGATATATCTTGCCAAAAAAATAACCTGGGCTGACTCTTTCAATCCTGAAGAACACAGTATTGCCCATGCAAAGGTTGAAACTACAGAAGACATCCATTATCTTTGTGTATCACATTCTCCATACTAGCCAAGTCTAGTGATTTGCACCTGCTTGGACAACTCAAAGAGTCACTGGGAGGAAAAACTTTTCGGTTCAAGGAAGAGGTACAGCAGGTGATACTTGAGTGGGGACATATGCAATCAAGAGAATTTTCTTTCAACAGGAATCCAAGCATATTACCGGCACTGAAGACCTTACACTGAACACAACGGTGACTACATAAAAGAATTATACATTTTTACTTTTTCAGAATATGTAGAAAAAAAAACACATTGTTTTTATGTGAACCACCCACATCTGTGACATGAGGTCCTCCGTGGCAAGGTTGTTAAGCAATTTGATTTAATATTTTAAACTCCTGGTTTTGTTTCATGAGCTGCATCATTGCTTCTGTCGCCGGAGCTACAGGGCACATGCTCTGCGCTTGACACATTATGCTACTGGCACCATTAAACTCTTCGCTGGCTGTTGAAGATAGGGACGGAGTGTTTTTGGGAATGCCCCGAGTGCTGTGATGTCGGTTCTTGAATCAAATCAAATCAAATCAAATCATCATTGCTTCACAAGTGCAATTTTTACTTAGATCCCTGGGTATCATGATGAAGGTACAAAGTTCATGTTTTGTCTGATTCCACGTAGGGGTTTTGGCTCACCATTTTTTAGAAGAAACAAATAGACCCCTTCTTCCATCATGCATGCCATAGGAGGCAATTAGAGATGTCCCCTTCAAAGTTGGTATACAACCTGCCTGTGAGGCATGCAGTCTGGATATAAATTAGCCAGAACTGTTAATTGGATGTGCACATAAAACTCAAGTTTTGGATCAAGAACAAAGTCTAGGAGTGGACAAACAGCCAGAACACTAAACCATAATTTATTGCAAGTAGAACACTAAGAAGGAGAAGCTTTGTGTGATACCTTTAACAGGCGGCTAATCATTTTGTAGACAGACAGAGTCATATGGGATCCAACTCAGTGCAAATAAGTTAATCCTCTCAACTTTAGAACCTTTGTATGATCTGGGTTTTGATAATGATGTGTGTTTAATTTAAAAGCCTTACCTGACAACCTAGAGTTTTGTTCCAGCCCCATGAGTCTGGCACACAGTGCTCACACTGAAGCCCCATTGTGTTGTCTGGGCACTGACACTGTCCTGTCACACTGTCACATATTGTGCCATATTCATCACAGTTGCATGCTGGGAAAGGAACACAGAGAAAAGTGTCAGTAACTAAAAATAACTAACTAAACTTCTCTGGGAAAGGAAAACAGCAACATGATGATTTTAGGCTAAAATTGACATAACTGAGCATAACCAACATACCCTGCTCAAATCCATTGGTTTCTTCCCTTAATTTTGTTCCGCTTTGGGTGTCGAGAGAAAAAGGTTCTGCTTCTGCTCACCTTGTCGCCATGATCACAGACACATCACGCTGTTGTAGTGTTTCTCTGATATTTCATCTAGTTCTCGGTCTACTCCTTGTTCTACACCCCTCTCATCTATGATGTGGGAAAATCAGTTTATTTGCTCTCTTGGTAATTTAGAACTGGTTCTGTGCTTTTTCTTCTATGACATCATTTCTGATTTTTATATATTCTGATCACTCATTTCTTTGCACTGACTGGGATAGCTGACCTCCATGTTAGGCATAAATTAGGATGCCTAAGACAGCTACAACAAGTGGTATATACTAAGGTCCTGTGTGGGTATGGGATAACTGGAAGGTGTCAACAGCTTTGGTTAGAACGAGCTAAGGTGAAAGAGTTCAACAAATGTACATAGTGAAATGTAAAACAGATTATCTGTTTTATGCCAATAGAGTACTGGGCATAAGATGCTAACAAGCCCCGAATTGTATAATGATGATGATATTAGATAGACAGGTACTTGTGACTGACTGAACAAAAGCCCCGAAGAAACAAGTTAGTTTTTTGTATAAAAAAACTTGGGGACAAGATGGTGTCGTTTTGACGGTTAGATGTTTTCTATGTTTTGACTGATATTAGCGACAGGTAGCTGCGTGTTAGTGTTTTTGCCCTGATGGCAGTTAAGTAGGTCTTTGACAGTATCAGAGAGGTAGACATAGGTAAGATGACAACCTGTACATCCTGTTGTGCTGAAGCCATAGTGATCAGGTGAGCATCGGTCACATGTCCTGCCAATCACACCAGGCTGGCACTGACACTGACCACCGCTGACATTACAGGTGGCACTGATGCTGCCCTTGACATCACAGCTGCAGGGAAGAGGTGCTCCTAGGTAAAACATTGTGACTGAGAAAATAGCTTTCTGACAAGCCAGGGCATTAACTGGGTCACTGGGTCTGAAAATATTAATGGAAAACAAGAAAATTAGGAAGATAATGAGAAACAATAATACAAGTGCAACTGTTATAGTTAATCCGTAGGATATATAGTGTCAATTCTACTTAAAAAAAATAATTTACTGAACACTTTAAATCCCAATGATAACCCTCTAGGCTTAACAGAATGTATCATAAAACTGGTGATGGTCTTCCTCTTCATCCCACTGCTGCTACAACAACAACTACCATTACTGCTATTGCTCTAATCTTAGTACTGAACTGCTATACAACTGCTACAAAAATGCTATAAAACTGATGCTACTGTGACAGCCACGAAGACAACAATAACCACTAGCAGGGTGTTTTTGCTAGTAAAAAAAGCATGGTACTCACCACAAAGTGCCCATACATACACACATAAGTTGTGGGTACTCACAACAAAGTGCTCATACACACATAAATTGTGGGTACTCACCACAAAGTGCCCATACACACATAAGTTGTGGGTACTCACAACAAAGTGTCCATACACACATAAAACAGTTGTGGGTACTCACAACAAAGTGTCCATACACACACAAAACAGTTGTGGGTACTCACAACAAAGTGTCCATACACACACAAAACAGTTGTGGGTACTCACAACAAAGTGTCCATACACACACAAAACAGATGTGGGTACTCACCACAAAGTGCCCATACACACAAAAAACAGTTGTGGGTACTCACTACAAAGTGTCCATACACACATAAAACAGTTGTGGGTACTCACAACAAAGTGCTCATACACACATAAAACAGTTGTGGGTACTCACAAAAAAGTGCCTATACACACATAAGTTGTGGGTACTCATAACAAAGTGTCCATACACACACAAAACAGATGTGGGTACTCACAACCAAGTGCCCATCATCATCATCATCAGGTGCCTTGTCGACTGGCGTGGGCGATCATGCCTCTCCATAACTGCGATCTCCTGCAGCATGTATCAGTTCGTGTGGTGACACACCTCCATGCCATGCAACAAGGCTGTCAAGCATCTTCTTTTGTTGTCTTCCGCTATCTCTCCTTCCACATATCTTTCCAGTGGTCACAACATGTTCTATTTTCCCTCTTCTCATAACATGGCCGAAAAATGATGACTGTCTCCTTCTGATGTCTGTGATAAGTTGTCTTCGGGCTCCTGCCTCTTTCAACACCTCTTATTTGCTTTTTTTTGGCTGTCCAAAGTATTCTAAGCATTCTTCTGTAAAACCATATCTTTGAGGCCTCCAGAAATTGTTTGGCCTGCCTACCAATTGTCCAGGATTCACAGCCATATGTTAAAACTGGATGTATGTAGCAAGCAAGAATTCTTTTTCTAACTCTCAATGACAAGGATATATTGCACAAGATGTTTTTCATGTTATAAAATGCAGTTTTTGCCTGTCCTATTCTATTTCTTATCTCAGTTATGCATCTTCCATCTGATGTTATCCATGTGCCCAGATACTTAAATTTCTGTACTTGTCCTAAAATAACACCATCAACTTTTATTACACATTTAGTAATAATTCGTTTCTTTGATACCACCATTACTTCTGTCTTCCCATTATTCAAACTGAGGCCCAATCTTTCACTTTCTAACACCACAATATCTATCATTTCCTGTAGTTCTTTCTGACTTGTTGCTATCAAGACTGTGTCATCAGCATAACGTAAATTGTTTATATTGTGCCCACCAACCACAATTCCGGGCATACCAATTAAAGCTCTCATTATATATTCACTGTATATTGAAAACAAATCAGGTGACAGTACACATCCTTGTCGTACGCCTCTCTTTATGCTTTGAAATGTACCTAAACAGTTCTTAATTCTTATAGCTGCAGTTTGCTGCCAATACATATTATTTATTATTCATAGATCTTTCCCATCAATGTTTAATTTTTCTAACAGTTTGATTACTTCTTCATGCTTCACACAGTCAAATGCTTTTGTATAGTCTACGAAGCATATGTACCAATCAGTCTTTACTTCTATAGCTCTTTCTGACAATGTTCTTAGGATGTATATGGCATTGTTTGTACCTTTTCCTTCTACAAATCCACATTGTTCATCGCCGATTTCTGGTTTAATTTTGTTTCTTATTCTTCTCATAATTATTCTCAGTAAAATCTTAGTCATGTGACTCATAAGACTTATTGTGCGATGGTCTTCACATTTTGGTCTTCACATTTTATAGTGCCTGGTTTCTTAGGCAGAGCTATAAATATGAATTTTAAAAGGTCATTTGGAATATACCCACTATTATAAATATCATTTAAAAGTTTAGTTGGGACTGAGCCTCGGAGGCAGGGGGTAAGAAGTGTTGGTGTTGTGGGTAGTGGGTTCCCCCCCTTACTTCATCCTAGGTCTAGTGAATATCTGTTCACGAAAGAAGCGTCCATTGTGGTGTCAGCCTCTTGACCTAGCAAAACCTCTCTTATCTCAAGACCATTGTGCGTGGCGAAGAGTCACAGCCTCCCCGAGGTAGTCCCGGTAACTGGGGGTGCGAATCCCCAGGCAAAACACAATGGATCTAGAGGAGCAAACCTCGATAATAAACCCGGTGCACCACACCGTACTGCCCCCTGTGGGAGGGAAGGAACCAGAGGTGTGCTGAACAGTCTTAGGAATGGAAACAAGTATGCTAACCCCCCTGAATACCGGAAACTATCGTGAAGGCACAGGGACTCAGGACATGACGATCCAGTTGCCCCAACTACTCATGCTTAGGCCATGCTTAGAGACATGAAGAGCTCAGCGAAACCTGCAGGCAATCTGGTGGCAAGGAATGAGAACACTGTGAGCCCCACCTTAGCTACGTGTTAAAGGGAAAGGCAGAAACACAACCCATATTTCCTTTAGAACTGGTACAGGGCATTTCTAGCTGCTGCCCGGGGAGGTAGGTAATCCACAGACACCCCAGCACCACAATGCCATGAATATGTCAAAATTTAAGAATACATACGAGATCGGTCGTCGCCTCGTCTATCAAGGCCCGCGCCAGACAGTGGGAAACCAGGCTGTCATGTGCGAAAAATTGGCTACTGGAAAATTTGAAATAAATAGGGAAAACAGACACCCCAGGAGGAGGAAGAGTGGGAGGGAGAGCAAAAAGAACTCAGACAGCACAGCAAAAAATACACAGATGCTCAATATTCTGCAGCTGAACATCTGTGGAATAAGAAATAAGAAACTTGAACTTGCCAAACTGCTAAACAACCACAGGGTACACGTGGCTGCCCTACAAGAAACCCTGCATAAAGACTCTGATCTGCATCTCACTGGATATACTAGTTATGCCTGTAAGTGCAATGACTGCCGGGGCATAGTGACCTATATCAGAAATGACATACAAGGAGATGTAACAATGCTGTCGACATCTCACCCTACAGATGTGCAAAAAATAACTATCTGGCACAATGGAAGCAAATATACGATATACAACGTGTACAGCCCACCTCAGACAACATGCAACATACCAGAACTATACAAGACACAGTACCATAAAACCCTTCTTGTTGGTGACTTCAACGGACACTCGCCACGTTGGGGTTACCCTGACTACAATAGCACAGGGAAGTACATCGAAGATACTTGTGAAACAACTAACCTATTAGTGCTGCAGGACACAGAGTCTACACCTACACTGTTACACAGGGCCCACCTATCTCTCAGCAGACCAGACCTGACCATCTGCTCATCCGACTTAGCAGACGCAAGCTATCCCCAAGTCCTGGACGACATAGGAAGTGACCACAAACCTATACTCACAACTGTCAGCACCACCCCTAAATTACGCTTCAAGCAGAGAACCCGTTGGAATTTCCGAAAAGCAAACTGGAAACTATTTCAGGAAACATCTGACTGCCTCCTGGGAAGAATTGACAACAGCTGTGTGGAAACTTTTTGTGAAGACATAACACAAGCAATCCTGAATGCAGCGTCGAAAGCCATTGCAAGGGGCAGCCGGAAGGCATATAAACCTTTTTGGAATCAAGAAATTCAAAATACTATATCTGAAAGGAATAAAGCAAGAATATTTCTCGAAACTGCACGTTCAACAGAAGCAAAGATCCAATACAATAAAGCATGTGCCAGAGTAAAGCTTGTAGTTAATAAGGCTAAAAGAGATAAATGGACAGAAACTTGCTCCAACTTAGACCTTAGACATAATGGAAATAAAGCATGGACTTTAGTTAAAAACCTTTCCGGAGAAAGTAGAAGGGTGAACCCAAAACCAGTGACAGATGGGAGTAAGACAATCACTGAAGACAAGAAGAAAACAGAACATTTCAATCATTATTTTGCCTCAGTTAACAGAGCAGGTAAGCTGTCAGAACTCAATAGAACACAGCTCTCTCAGTTGAAGAAACAAGAGAGAGCTCCAACAGCCAGCGACTCCCTTTTTGAAAATGAACTTAGCATGGATGAACTAGAGCAAGCCCTGAAGAAATTAAAACCTAGAAAATCTCCAGGCCCAGATAAGATCCACAACGAAATGCTGCTACATCTTGGCCGGTCTGGGAGAGAAGTAGTTCTCAGGCTTATTAATAAAACTTGGAGGTCAAGCAAACTTCCAAGGGCATGGAGGAATGCATATATCATCCCCATCCTTAAAACCAAAAAGCCTCCAGATGACCCCAAAAGCTACCGCCCGATATCCTTAACATCATGCTTGGGCAAAGTTGCAGAAAGAATGATAAACAGGCGCTTATATTGGTTCCTTGAGAGTTCTGGTGTTCTATGCCATGAACAGGCAGGCTTCAGAACCAACAGCTGCACAGAAGACCAGCTGTTCAGACTGACACAAAGAATACATGATGGCTTCCAGAATAAGAAACACACAGTGGCAGTCTTTGTCGATCTCCAGCAGGCCTATGACAGAGTATGGAGAAAAGGTCTCCTGATGAAGATGATGAGCATAGGAATACATGGCAGATTGTATAACTGGGTGAAATACTTCCTGATAGATAGAACAATCCAGACTAAGATGCACAACGCAATCTCTTCTAAAGAAGTCTTGGAGGAGGGCTTGCCACAAGGCTCATCATTGAGCTGTACACTATTCCTAATCTTTATCAATGACCTGCCAGAACAAATCAAGGCCGAAAAAGCCTTGTACGCTGATGACCTAGCAATATGGCAGAGTCATGAAAATGTGGAAAGTGGAGCCCAAAGACTGAATGGAGACCTTAGAAGACTGCATGATTACTGCCAAAGATGGAAACTCAAGATTAACTGTGCAAAGACGGTCTACACAATCTTTACCAAAAGCCACCAAGTAGCAAGGAAGAATATTAACCTGAGGTTAGACAAACACCAAGTGATGAAAGAAGAGCATCCCACATACCTTGGAGTCACACTTGACCCGCAGCTCAGCCTCAAGAACCATATTGAAAACATCAGGAATAAGGCATTGAGGCGGTTACAGTTATTAAAGAGACTTGCAGGTACATTATGGGGATCAGACAAGGAAACTCTGAGGGGCTTATACCTAGGATATGTTCGCTCTGTGATAGAGTACAACAACTCACTGCTTACAACTTGTTCCAAAACTAACCTAGAGACTCTTGACAGAGTACAAAATAATGCCCTCCGATTAATCTGCGGAGCTATGCAGTCTACACCAACTGCTGCATGTGAAATCCATACAAATGTGGAACCCCTCGGGTTGCGGAGAGAAAAAGCCACTTTAGAAATTTATGAAAGATGCGTTAGGAAAAATCGTAACCATCCTAATAGACATCTTGTAGAAAACTGGGAACCCAAACAAAGAATAAAGCACAAATCGGTTTTACACTGTGTTAATGAAATTCAGGACAGATACCACCTCCCAGAAAGACGTCAAGGAATTCAGAATGTTTGCAAAAAACCTACCACCACATGCTCGCTTTAAAGCTCCAGAAGTCCAAACTAAATTGGTAGGCGAGGAAACCAAACAGTCCGACCCAATCGCTCTTATGAACTCATCACTAAAGACCGTTGATTCTTACCCCCAAGAATGGATACATGTCTATACTGATGGATCAGCATTTAAAGCTACCATTAAAGCAGGTTACGGAATCTACATAGGTTATCCCGATGGATCTGTTGAAGAGATTTTTGATGCATGCGGGGAATTCTGTTCAAACTATGAAGCTGAAATAATTGCACTGGAAACAGCAGTATACCACCTAAAGACTGTAATGGATGTTTACCCCTCAAAGGTCCAAAATATTGTCATCTTCACAGATTCAATGTCTGCCCTTCAAGCTCTGGAGGGCAATGAACGCTGCAGAACTGACATAGCCAAGATAATCCTGGATGCCGATCAGCTTATTACCTCATACAACATCAGAATAGTGATGCAGTGGATTCCAGGTCACTCCGGCACACCAGGTAATGACAGAGCTGACAGATTGGCAAAGAAAGGAGCAACACAAGAACAACCACCTACAGCGACAACCCTCCAGACAGCAAAAACACTGATAAGAGCTATAAACAAAGAGACTTGGTTGAACAGATGGGCCATGGGAGACACTGGAAGAGAGGTTTATAGACATATGTCTGGCCCTGATCCTAATGACAGCATTAACCATCTAACAAGAAGGGACCAGGCCACCATCTTCAGACTTAGAACGCAACATACTCCACTCAATGGACACCTAAACAGAATACAGCCACAACACTCCCCAGAGTGCCAGCTATGTAACTACCCCTACGAAACTGTTGAACACCATCTCTTTGAGTGCCCAAAACTCAGTGAGACAAGAAGAACGCTACTCCCTCCGAGACCAGACAAGTGGAACACCTTGTACGGAGGAAAAGAACAGCTTGTGAAAACATGCAAATTCCACTTCATGGCATTGGGCCAAAGGGCGAAAGCTCATGCGCCGCTGGATCGATAACAACAACAACAAAAGTTTAGTTATTATTTCAATTCCAAAATCTCCCAGTGCTTCGATTTCTTCCAGTGAGATGTCTGGCCCGGGTGCTTTTCCTTTCTTCATATGATGTATTGCATCCTCAACTTCTGTAGTCATTATTGGTGGACCATCATTGTTGGTCTGCAGTTCTACATCTGGTCTATTATCATCATACAATTCCCCTATATACTCTGTCCATCTGTTAATTATATTACTATGTCCCATTAATAAGTCACCATCTTTTGATTTCAAACATCCAGTGCTGTTACGTGTCATCTTTCCTGTTAACATATTTATCTTTTTGTACATGGAATGTGAGTCTTTCCTGTTGTTTTCTACAATCTCTGTACACATTTGATTCAGCCAGGCTTCTTTAGCCACTTTGCATTAGTTCACTATTTCTTTTTGTATTCTAGAGTAGTCTTCTTTATCATTCTTTTCCTTCCTTCTTTCTTCCATCAACTGCAGAATTTCGGTTGACATCCATACACACACAAAACAGTTGTGGGTACTCACAACAAAGTGCCCATACACACATAAAACAGTTGTGGGTACTCACAACAAAGTGCCCATACACACATAAAACAGTTGTGGGTACTCACATCAAAGTGCCCATACACACATAAGTTGTGGGTACTCACAACAAAGTGCCCATTCACACACAAAACAGATGTAGGTACTCATACAGAGTGCCTATTATAGCAGAGCTGAAATAAAGCTTTTGTTTTTGGCTGGGTAAGAGGGTCAGTCACATTCAGGATCCATTTATAAGATATTAGTAAGAACTTATCAATCACTCAGTTAAGGGCTGTCTCCACAATGAAGGTTGACTGCAATGGATCTCCAGCAGGCTTCATCTTTTGCCCTGGTGTAAATTCTTAGCCTGCTGTCCACAAAATGATCTCTGCCTCCTGCTCAGCAAAACTTCAGCTGTTCCATCCAGTATGGTTTTTGTTAGAAAATGTCTGTTAAAATGGCTAAATATTGTTTTTATTTTTTATTTATTTATGTATTCACTTTTGGTTTTATTTTATTCCTAGTCTCTTTGTTTGACTCTTGTGTATTTTAATATTTTTTTTTTTTTACATGAATACTTAGTATTCTTCTGTGTATTCACATCTCGTGACTCAATGGGATTTTCTAAATGCTTGCTCATGTCCAAGTTTCTGCACTATATAGCAGGGTTAAGCATTTATAATATTTGACTGTTCTTATTTTTAATGTATTAGTTTTCTCCCTGGATGTCAGTGACTTCTAATCTAAAAAAATTTTTTTTTTAGTTTCAACTTATAAATTTTGTTACAATTGAGCAGATCAGCTGCAAGGCACCGGGTTTCACCCCACATGGCTTGATCTGTCTCCACAGAACATAGGACTATCTGCCGAGAGACACACAAAATCACTTTCAAGCAATCACTGTGCTAGTTCTGGGGCTCCATATTAGACAGCAAAGAATAGACCCACTGCCCCTCTAACAAACAGAGGCGACTCATTAAGGGTGTGTCAAAGTCAGAGTGTATCTACCTCAGAGGCAAGGCCCCAGGCATCTAAAATACAAATAAGCCAGAACTGTAAAATGGATGTGCACGAAAAACGTCAGTTTTGGAACAAGTCCAAAGGTGAATGAACAGCCAGAACTTTCTGCCAGAGTTTAAGAGTTTACAGCCGGTAAACTCTAGAAGATGAGAGGAGACTGGTGGGAAAAAGAATCCTGACCTTACTGGCATCTGAACTTGGACCATTGTTGTTATAGGCAATACATTAACTAATAAACCACATTGGCTCTTCCTACTGTATTTATCATCATCATGTCTGTTATATCATTATATATGCACTCCATTCCATTCTATATGAATGTATTAAACAAGGTGCCATTATATGTACTACATTCAGTTCTATACAAATGTATTAAACAAGGTATCATAATAAAAAAAAAAAAAATAAAGTCACTTACATTGTGATCTTCATGAGATCACAGCCTGCAGGGAGACTGTATCCTAAAACAGCCTCTGGTTGCAGAAATTCAACTGGAAATGCTACCAGTTTGTCCTGAAAATATAAATAAAAACTTACTGTACCAGGCAATATAACATCTTATATTCCATCTTGACCACAATCTACCAAAGTTTAACTGTTTCTTTTTCAAGTCATGCAAATATGTGACCATAATATTGTAAAAGCTATACATTTTATACCCAAAAAAAAAAAAAAAAAAATTAAGAACAACAACAACAATAAACAAGTATTCCCCAGGCAGTTACAACAACTTCATCATCATCGTCATCATCAAGTGCCTTGTTGACTGACATGGTGGATCATGCCTCTCCACAATCCCAGATCTTCAACAGTATGTATCAGTTCATGTGCTGACACCCGTCCATACATGACTACAGGCTGTCAAGAATCATCTCACATTGTCTCCTTTTTTCACAGATCTTTCCATTGGTCACATGTTTAAATTTCCTTCTGTTTACAACATAATCAAACAATGATGACTGTCTCTTTCTGATGAATGTGATAAGTCATCTTTGAGCCTTCACCTATTGCAATAAAAAGAGGTTACTTTTTTTTTTAGCTGTACAAGGAATTCTAAGGATTCTTCTGTAAAACCACATCTCTGAGCCTCAAGCAAGTGTTTGGCTTGTTTATTAAGTGTCCAGGATTCACATCTGTAAGTTAAAAATGGCTCTATATAGCATGCAAGAATTCTTTCCCAAACCTGCAGTGACAGATTTTTTGCATAAAATGCTCTGTTTTTTTTTTAAATGACTACATAGCTGTTATAAAATCAATATAAAAAACATATATCAGACTGAATCCAGATATCTTATAATATCATTCTACTCAAGGTGTTATTATGGTATTTACAATTGTACAACACCGCTCACCAGTAAAACTTCTCGGGCTGCAAGTGTTATATTTATGAGGTTAGGGCCTGACTGGAGTGTTACTGGATCTGTAACTGATGTGTTCACTTCACACCAAATGTTGGAGCATGCAGGCAAGAACACTGGCAGGGAGGAATTATCTGTTGTAGACAGAAAAATAACATGCAGTTTGGCTTTTCAATGATTTGTTTTTTATAATACACAAGTAATGACAAATTCATCTGTTCTAAATCATTTTAATATAACAAGAAAAACAATACAAACTAAGTTTTGACGTTAATCAAATGAACACCTCAGTGTTCTTGCTTTCTTTTTAATTATTAGTTAGTTAGTTTTTCCTCTTGAGCCTAATGCGGCACATAGGGCAGAGGTCATAGCTCTCCGTGTCTGGTGGTTCGCTGCCACCTGTTTTAGGTCTTGGATGTTCATTTGGCCCATAGTTGAGCCCTCCCTGATGATGGTTCTATGCAGGATCTCTCTTGGTCTTCCTCATTTTCTTTTCCTTTCCAGTCTCCATATGAGGCCTTGATGGAGGAGTCTTGTCTTGTCCATTCTTAGTCAATAGCCAATATAGTTTTCTTTTTTCAGTTATCATCATCATTATCACCATGTAGCAGGTCCTTTGCAGAACGTCGCTCTCATCCTGGTCTGCCTGAAAGAAACTCAGTCTCTCGCCAGCTCTCCCTGCCTCCTGCACTTTCATACTCAAGGAATCACTTATATCCAAGCACCCAATTTACCTGCAGGATTCAAGTTCACATGGCTCTACCCTGCTACAACAGTTCCATCTGTGACCATGTGGCCACCTAGAAATGAACGTAGAGACACAGCACTTGATTTTCTGTTCTCAGGCCATAATCGATACACACAAAAACTGTATGGCTGACAACAAGCACGTTTGGATATCAAAACAGAAGACTCAATGAACGCTATACATTTGCTGTAATTAGCTACGCGGTGATCTCCCCTCTCTCTCCATCTCTCTCTTTCTGTCTACGCCGATTTATGTATGTATTGGCAGAGCTGTTAATGATTATTATGAGTCAAGCGATGTTACCCTGTCACAAAGTTTGCATCTCTTTCTGACACTGCCCCTTGTGTGCACCTTTCTACTGCAGTCCTTTATTACAGCCAACTTTCTGTCACAGCAGGGACTGTATCTGATCTGACTGAGCCATTTGAATTCACTGTTCCCCTTCTTGGAGCCAGTCATGCCGACCTTGTGTGCACAGGGAATCCTGTGTTAGTGTCTTACATATTTGTGGTTATTCGGCATGATTCTTCCCTTGTCTCACTCTCTCCCTCTCCCGATATATATATATATATATAAATATACTTATATAAATATGTAGTCATGTGTGCTGCACCAGCAAGCAAGAGGGTGGCAGGTAATGAGTGTATGTATATATATATATATATATATATATATATGTGTGTGTGTGTGTGTGTGTGTGTGTAGTCATGTGTGCTGCACCAGCAAGCAAGGGGGTGGCAGGTAATGAGTGTATATGTATATGTGTGTGTGTGTGTGTTTTTTATAAACTACTGTGCGTTTGAGTATGCGTGCTGAATTTTAGTAATAGAGTGAGATGGTATTTTGGCTACGGGACACCAGTAGCACACATATATCTTTTTGTAGGGAGTTGGCAGTCCAAAATCCAAGTTCAATGTGTCTCCTTTGTGCCAAAGAACTGCATGGCTGTTGGGTGAACAGTCGTTAACAAAGGCAGTCAGGTCACTGTTGGGGCGACGCTTGCTGGTGGATGTAATGTCCTAAATCCCTTTTCCAGCTAATAGTAGGGTACTGCTGGGGTGACAGTTTATTAACCCTCACATAATGCTTCAGGTCCGAATGGACACTAGGTACTGCCACTGTTTTGAGCTGAAGCATACATTGTTGCTTCTGCCAAACTGTGGCTGTTACTTTTTTGCTCCGTTTGTAGACTGGAAGTATATAGTTTCGTTGCCCAGCTTTCAAGTTTTGTGCATGGCGTGACACTGTGAGCTGCGGATTTCATTTGGAATGTTTTTCGACTGACCAACGTGGTGGTGTGGTTCGTAGATTCAGAAAATGGCGCGATTCTGGTTGTCGCAATATTGATGGGGCCATTATTTGATTAAAATTGATCATGTGTGCAACTGCTGATATTTTGGTGACTTCTGCTTTCATTAATGATGAACTTCATTTCTAATGTAGGACTGTTTGTGTTAGGACTTCGGATGGCTACCATATGCTTTTAATGCGAGTGTATGCTAGATATGCTGAGACAGCAGTTTGTCAGTCTTTCCACAAGGGACTGTGATAAACATTCTGTGTGTTTTTATTGGCACAGGAGCGGAGCAAAAATGGGGTGACCTGTTTGCTATGAAGCTGAAACTAAAATTACCAGATTACCAGATCACTTATATCCTGTGCCCATCATGGTTTAGGTCGGCCTCTCCTTCCTGGTACCATGCCTTCTGCTATACTTGTTTCCAATCCGTTGTGGTGTTTGATATGACCAAAATATTTCAGCTTCTGTGACAGGATGCTGTTTATTAGCCAATCTTCCTTGATGTTCAGATCTTTCAAGATGTCACTATTTCTCCTCTTCTTTGTCCAAGATATTTTTAATTATAAATCTTTAAAAAATGCTAGTGTGCCTTATCTCATCCTATGCCCAGCAATTCACTATGTATTTGTTGGTTTCTACTTACCTAATACATTTTCTTCTCTCATACAACTTAGTTTTTACACTAACCCACTCTGCCTCTGTTCTTAACTTTAACCCCTTCTCTCTGATAATAATAGTTTATCAATTCAATTTTACATCATTCCAAACATACTATTACTTCAAGTATAAACTTTATAGGAAAGAATGAGTTAAATAATATATCTCTGGTAATGATAGAGCTGAGGAGTGGCTGCCAAAGGGTTAGAATGCTGGGCTCTCAAGCGGGAGACCCCGGTTCGAATCCTCAGTAAGGCTGGGGATTTTTTCTGTCTGGGGCAAAATAAAATCCTCACCTGCACAGTTGTGGCAACAGCACTAGCCATGCGGCCTTAAATCCTCATGCTCAAAGCACCCCTATCCCCCCCCCCCCCCCCCCCCCCCCCCCCCCCCCCCCCCTCCCCTCGCCTTCACCGCAAAAGTGGTATAAAAAGGCAGTAATTGGCAGTTTTAATGATAGAGTCAATTTAGTTACATAAGTGTTAAAGATACCTCAAACAAGCAATGGAGCCATCAGAAAACATCCTGAAAAATGAATCCACACACTTCATGCAGCGAATGCCTTGACCATTTTGAAACAAAAATATACACATTATTTGAAGAAAAAAGTTGACTTACAAATTATAACTGGAAACTTACACATCACTGTACAGAATAAAAGAGTAATATGATAGAGAACACTTACCCATTGAGAGTATTTGAATAGTAAGGTTGATGTTCTCACTGCTACGATATCTGACGATGAGACTAAAGTTGTTGCTCAAATGTGTGGTCTCTGGGACTGTCAACAGAGCTGCTAGGTAGGACTGCTTGTGGACAGACAATAAATATGCTACATATTTCAGGGTCATGGCTTGTCATTTTCTTTCATAATTACGAATTTCTGTTTTTTGGGGGGCACTTTTCCATCTTTCTAGATGATAGTTTTATATTTTACTATGGAGACATAGAATCACCACCCATTGTGATGGTGAAATGTGATTAGCAAGATCTGTCGGCAGCAAGAAAAATCTTCCACAGTTTGAGTATGGGATTTCAGGACCATTCTTGCCATCACATTTATTTAGTGTGTTTCTTCTCAGATGCTCAGCTCTCAGCCTTTCTGAAATCATTTTCTTTTCCCTTTATTCCCATTCCTGGTTTTCTCCCTCTTCACAACATGGTCCACGACATTTTGTTCTCAGAATTAGCCCTAATACCTGTATCATTTTAGTCCTGCCTGCAAACATCTTTATAATATAATCATTTGTAATTAGAGACTCTACAATCCTCAATTCTCTAAGTGTGAACCAGCCACCTGAGCTTTCTGAGACTGTGCTTTGAGAAAACCGGTTTTATGATTTTCCTTATAATATTATACAATTTGTTATATAAACTTTACTTTGATAACTTCTTCAAATTATGAGATTTAGTGAAATAATAATTGTTTCTTTATTATATATACTATTAATTATGTAAAATTTATATCAGTCAGCAGATGAGTGGAGCAATAGTGTGGTGGCCTGAAGGTCTAAGGTTCAAAACTCACATCAATGCATATGTTTCTTTAACAGATGTTGACTTCTAGGAAACCCAGCCTAAAATAAGTAGCTGCTAATGTTCTTGGAAGTAAAGGCAGATGATGTGATGTTTGAGTACATCATCTGCTGAGTGCTATGTGGTCTAAAAACACAAATAGATCTAGCACTTGTGATGTTTGACCACACCATCTGCTGAGTGCTATGTGGTCTAAAAACAAAAATAGATTTAGCACTTTTTGTCTGATGTAACAAAGGGTTAAGAAGGGTCCTTTACTTAATTACTTTATAAAGATAAGATATTACAAAAACAAGTGATTTTAAAATGGAACAAACATCTTAGCTCATAGCCAATATATAAACTGTCCCGAAAGCAGTTTAATGGCTGCTACTGAAACGCACAACAGTAAAAATAGAGAACAAACTAAGAAGACAAGAAAGAAGTCTGAGCGATCACATATGTACTGGCTTAAGCATAACTTAACTAAAGCAGTTTCCCCATTGTAAATTTTAACAAAGATTACACAACAATAGACTGGACAAATATATTGCCTGGCATATTTCACTGTATCTCATCAGGTGCATACTACAGTAACAATCAATTCTAAGCCACTTGTAAATGATTCATTTATTTTCTTTTTACTTGTTGCCTATATCGACATCCTAGCACATATGTTAGACCCATTCATAGTCTGTCCTTAAATGTAACAGCTTTTTTCAGTGTCTCCATGCTCAACATACACAGCTGGAGCTAACTGGCATATCTTCACTTCTTTCTTTGCCTATAAACTGGTTTCTGCATGCTTATTCTTGTTCAGGACCCAATTCCGACAGTCGGTTCATTGTCTCTTTTTCATCTCAAAGTCTTTAGAACACAGTGCATTAAACTTTTTTTTTCAGTGTATTTAATTGTTACTGTAATACAATAAAAATACACTAAGACATATAAAACTTAATCCATACTCTTATAATCTTATACAAATAATACATTAGTTATGCAATTTGGAAAAACCAAGAATAATTTCAAAAAGAAAAACATCTATATATCTCATTTGGGTTGAACAGGATACTGTTATTTAATTACAACTACTACTACCTGGTGAATGGTGAGGTATGCTAGGCATTACATAGTTTGTGACTTCTCAAAAAAATCAAAAACTTTATCTTAAATATACATAAATACAAAAACATTCTTTAAAATAAGGTAGGACTCCTTACATTTGCTTTGACTACAGCATATCCTCGATCAGAAAATCCAGCATTCTGCTGGTCCCTCTTCCATGAAACTCGACCATAACTGTATTCCAGCTCAAAGTCAATCCCATGAGGACTCAAGTAGTAAAAGTCTGAACGTACCCTGAAGTCAATTAGGTACATTTAGAACTCAAGCAAGATTCACACAATGGTAAAAATGCACCCTAACTTGTATATAATATCAAAGAAAAAATTATTTCTTTCCTTGGGGGAAAGAGGGGGGGGGGGGGGGAATGGGGACTTTCCGACATAAACCTGAATTTGAATGCATGTTTGAAGAAAAAAACAAACGCAGCAGTGTCAACATGTGGCTATTGATAGCCCCACTGAGTGTGCGCTCAAATGTAACTGGTGTTGGTCAAACATATATTTTAGAAATAATAAATTTCTAAATATTTAATTCTTTGTCCCTCCTTTTCAGCCAAAACAATGAAACAAAAAATCTGGTGTTGAAAATAAACAACATGCACGTACAGGTCATGAAGGCTACTGACGGTACAAGGTTAGATCCATATGTGATTTACCTGAAACATCTCAGGTATCTATTTTATAATGCTAGGTTCACTCCAGAGTAATTTTGTTTAAACAAATGTAATCCCTGCTACTGGGGGAGGGGGAGTGGCCTGTGCTGGATGGGTATTAAGCTATTTATGGGCAAAAAATAAATAATTATTTTTCATTATGACTGCCAGATATGTCAGCTACTACAGGAAACCTTGCAGGTTTGAGAATGTGTTGGAGTTGAGAAAGTAAAGTAGGAAAATGAACGAATGAAAAAAAAATTATTTTCAAAGGGTTATGACATGAAGACAGAGGGTTAGAATATGCATAGAGACCAAAAAAAAATTTAATAAAGGGCAAAAATGAAAAGGCTAATGTAATATTTTTAGATATTCTTAGTTAAAAAATGATTTTGCAGTAAACAACCCCAGTATCTGCTGGCTCTTTTGATTTTACTAGGCAATTTTATGTTCATTAGTTTGCCATTACCCCCTTAATGGTCTGCTCTCAATACCCGTTGAAATCAACGCAAGGCCTGCAGCCTGAACTGAACCAAGCACCTTGGAATTATGAAGCACTTTTGCAGTGACTAAGCCATGGATGCCAGAATATATTTTAAACAGGAAAAGCTAAATGCTAATTATAATTATGAAGTGAGCAGACCATAAATGACATTTTATTCCTTAAAAAAATTAGGACAGTATGGCATAAACATACAATAATTATCTCATTATACACAAGGAGGGAATTTATGTACCTCAGTGGATGAATACTGACCATATCAAGGAAATGAATGTGTTACAGTTCTACAATAAAGATGTCTTTGGGTAATAACAGTTCCAAAAAAAAAAAAAAAAAAAAAAAAAAATTAAGATTTTCCCCTCCTTAGAAAAAACAAAACCTGGGTATTTGGTGCAAATCTCACACTTTTCAGACCAATTAACACTCAGTGAGTGATATTATCAACATAATGTTGCTGCCCACATTTCCCAGAAACATTCCTGATACCAGTTTTTAGTTTAAGTTGACCTATTTATTTTTCTAAAGTCTCAACTCTCTTTTAATACTAAAGTTAAATAGTAACAGCATGATCGTTATGTCACATAATCAGTAAGATACAATCTCAACAATACATATTGGCTGAGAAGAACATCAGCTTTTCTTCCCTCCACTCATTCTAGTTGTTTTTCATTGTGCAGCTTCTCCAGCTCTTCATAAACACATCTTCCTACCTTCATCGATGCCAACCTCTTACATGGCTGTCTCAAACTGCTACCGTGAAATTATCTGTTTTAACAGCTTCATATTTTTAACCAGGTGACAGTCAAATTAGTTATAAATCAGCTCTTTATGAGTTTCTTGATTCCCAAAGAGTTAATAAGGCTAAAATGTTTGTCTTATTTATTCTTCTTTTGCTTTCATCTGTATGGTTAACAGAAATCTAAGATCTACATACACACACACACTTTGGTAAAGTTAAATATAAAAGCAAATTACATATCACAGCGTCTTCCTAAAATGTTCTCATTTCTGCAGACACACTGCCCTGACTCCTTGTTACACAACTGATTCAGGGCACTTCCAACATCGCAGTCACATGAAAGGCATCCTAGAAATGAAAAGGAACAAATACAATGTTTGCAGTAAAATTATAAATTCTAAAACAGTAATGAATATCAGAGTAGTGAACATTATCTCATCAATTTAGACAAATATATAAGCTATTTTCACAATTTAAGATATAATTAATACTTGGTGCAAACATGTTTTTCTAAGGCTTTTGCATGGTAAAAAATCACTGGCAAAACCGAACACCTGATTCCTCTGACCAGTAGGAGGTTGATCCATCTGTTGACTTTACAGAAGCATTATTTACATGTTAGAGAAGACAGTAAAGGTAATATGATAGCGAAGTATGCACTTGGAATAAGAAACTTAAGAAGACTACGACTTACATAGCTGTGCAAGCAATACTAATATATTGTAACTAACACAAGTCAAATCCCACTATATTAATCTGGTTGGAAAATGAATTACCTATGTATGGAAGATACAGACATCATCATCATCATGAAGCAGGTCCTTTGCAGAATGTCGCTCTCATCATGGTCTGCCTGAAAGAAACTCGGCCTCGCTCCAGTTTTCCCGCCTCATGCACTTTCATACTCAAGGAGTCACTTATATCCTGTGCCTGTGCCTATTTTTGTGTCGGTCGGCCCCTGCCCCTCCTTCCTGGTACCATGCCTTTGGCTATAATTTTTTCCAATCTGTCGAGGCGCTTGAAATGACCAAAATATTTCAGTTTCCAGGACAGGATGCTGTTTGTTTCTTCTCTTTTTCGTCCAAGATATTCTTTCTCAAGGACTTGGAGATAGTCCACGACTCACATCCGTATGTTGCTACATGGAAGATGCATGCTCTCAAAATTCTAATTTTTATCTCCTTGCTGGTGCTTAACCATAGACTTTTTAGGCTGTTTAATCTTTGCATTAATATGGCCATCTTCCTTTTAATTTCCGTCAAACAGTCTCCATTGCTGTTTATTATAGAGCCTAAATATTCAAAGTTTGTGACATTTTCAATTTCTTCACCATATATTAGATACAGACGATTATCACAATTAATATAGAGAAAAACCTTACATTTTAGTACATTAGTCACTACTATATCCAGCCTAATGTGGTAGGGTCAACATTCTACCAGACTCCCTAACTTCACAGGACTTCTCTATGCATATGAAGCATAGACCAATTTTAGCCTGTGTTGACCTTGAAGCCAAGGTCATTTCTGACCAAAAAATTCTGCCTAAATGTAGATTTGAACCCAAGAGTATGGCAGGCAAAAGTCTAGCCATCACAATACTGCTTTCCCTTACATTGTAACGTATACTCATTAAAAAAAAATGACAAACCATTGATATTTCCATCAGACAAGCCATAGAATCCATCTTTACACCGGTCACAAGCTCTTCCTTCAACACTGGCTTTACAGCTGCACTGACCAGTGACATTGGTAGCACACGCGTTGCTGCCATTTACTGTTCCAGGTGTGTTACAGGCACATGCTACAAGTAACAATTACATTCAATGGTTATACACGTAAGATAATATATGTAGAATTCACAATGTTTAATATGCTATCCCTTGTGGGGCTCAGTGACTTAGAGGTTGTGAATGCATTTAACAGTATCATGATCCTCAAGTACAAGGGTTCAATTTCCACTGCTTAAAGTTTTTAAAACTGTGTTTTCATGATTTCCAGACAGTAGTAGGAGAATCACACCATGGAAGAAATTAGGCTTTATCCTTGCAATATTTCTGAAGACATCAACGGATGCTCTGCAGCTAACCTTTAGGGTGGAGACACCATATAATTTTACTGATATGTTAAAAAATACATTCCTGTTGTCTGCTTTTGGTAATAACTTTTCACTTTTGCATCATAAATTTAAAATTATATGTCTCTTCTTCTTCTTCTTCTTCTTCTTCTTCTTCTTCTTCTTCTTCTTCTTCTTCTTCTTCTTCTTCTTCTTCTTCTTCTTCACAGATTGTAAACTCCAGTAGAAAGTTTTGGTTGTTTGTTCACTTATAGACTTTAGTCTTATTCCAGAACTTGATTTTTGTTATGACATACGTTTTACACATATGGCAGACTGTTGGTTCCTTGCCTCTCAGGCAGATGCACTTGGGGCAGCGGATCTATTCCCTCCACCCCCCCCCCCCCCAATCCCCAAAATGGGGCTCCACCGGAACCAACATGGAAAATTAGATGTATAAATCTAACAATCAAATTTGTTTAAAATGTTACAATGATCATGGTAAAAAAATAATCAATCACTTTCTGTTTCTTTTAAATAGCAATTCAGCAGCCATATGTACAAATGTATGAATCAAGAACTGATATCACTGTACTCTGGACATTCCCACACCTGCTTTGTCCCCTTCTTCAGTAGCTAATTTAGCATCAACATGCTAATAGTACCAGCTGCAACCTGATTAAAAGCCTGCCTGTGTTTCCCCCTCAGCGTTGAATATCTTCCAGAACCTCTCTACTCATCCTTCAGTTGAATTAGTCTTTCAATGTATGGATCTCTGTTTTACTGCACCGTCCATTTGATCCCATGGAGCCTTCACCACATTACCTTTACCATAAAGTATCTCACCGCTCATAAGAGTGAAAGCATCTAATCTAGCAGCCTGCTCATTACCTCACACACCTGAATATCCTGGACAGAACATCCATGATATGCTCCTGGTCTGAATCTTATCAATGTGTACAATAAAATCCATGAGTAAGAACTCAGAACTTTGCCCATGTGGACAGCCATGCTCTCTACATGCAATAATGAGATCTCAGGTGTGGTGAGTTAATGGCCTTCCCTTTTTTAAACTAACATGACAGTTGTCAGCATCATGACAGTAATCTACACGACAGTATTCAATACCATGACAGTAGTCAACATCATGACAGTAGTCAACATCATGACAGTAGTCAACATCATGACAGTGGTCACCATCATGACAGTAGTCAACATCATGAAAGTAATCTACATGACAGTACTCAATACTATGACAGTAGTCAACATCACAACAGTAGTCAACATCATGACAGTAGTCAACATCATGACAGTAGTCAACATCATGACAGTAGTCAACATCATGACAGTAGTCAACATCATGAAAGTAATCTACATGACAGTATTCAATACCATGACAGCAGTCAACATCATGCCAGTAGTCAACATCATGACAGTGGTCAACATCATGACAGTGGTCAACATCATGACAGTAGTCAACATCACGACAGTGGTCAACATCATGACAGTGGTCAACATCATGACAGTGGTCAACATCATGACAGTGGTCAACATCATGACAGCGGTCAACATCATGACATTGGTCAACATCATGACAGCGGTCAACATCATGACAGTGGTCAACATCATGACAGTGGCAACATCATGACAGCAGTCAACATCACAACAGTAGTCAACATCATGACAGTGGTCAACATCATGACAGTGGTCAACATCATGACAGCGGTCAACATCATGACAGTGGTCAACATCATGACAGTGGTCAACATCATGACAGTGGTCAACATCATGACAGTGGCAACATCATGACAGCAGTCAACATCACAACAGTAGTCAACATCATGACAGTGGCAACACCAAAACAGCAGTCAACATCATGATAGTGGTCAACATCATGACAGTGGTCAACATCATGACAGTGGTCAACATCATGACAGCAGTCAACATCATGACAGCAGTCAACATCATGACAGTAGTCAACATCACAACAGTAGTCAACATTATGACAGTGGCAACATCAAAACAGCAGTCAACATCATGACAGTTGTCAAAATCATGACAGTAGTCAACATCATGACAGTGGTCAACATCATGACAGCGGTCAACATCATGACAGCGGTCAACACCATGACAGTGGTCAACACCATGACAGTGGTCAACATCATGACAGTGGCAACATCATGACAGCAGTCAACATCACAACAGTAGTCAACATCATGACAGTGGCAACATCAAAACAGCAGTCAACATCATGACAGTGGTCAACATCATGACAGTGGTCAACATCATGACAGTGGTCAACATCATGACAGTGGTCAACATTATGACAGTGGTCAACATCATGACAGTGGTCAACATCATGACAGTGGTCAACATCATGACATTGGTCAACATCATGACAGTGGTCAACATCATGACAGTGGTCAACATCATGACAGCAGTCAACATCATGACATTGGTCAACACCATGACAGTAGTCAACATCATGACAGTGGTCAACACCATGACAGTGGTCAACATCATGACAGTGGTCAACATCATGACAGTAGTCAACATCATGACAGTGGTCAACACCATGACAGTGGTCAACATCATGACAGTAGTCAACACCATGACAGTGGTCAACATCATGACAGTGGTCAACATCATGACAGTAGTCAACACCATGACAGTAGTCAACACCATGACAGTGGTCAACATCATGACAGTAGTCAACATCATGACAGTGGTCAACATCATGACAGTGGTCAACATCATGACAGTAGTCAACATCATGACAGTGGTCAACATCATGACAGCGGTCAACATCATGACAGTGGTCAACATCATGACAGTGGTCAACATCATGACAGTGGCCAACATCATGACAGTGGTCAACATCATGACAGTGGTCAACATCATGACAGTGGTCAACATCATGACAGTGGTCAACATCATGACAGTGGTCAACATCATGACAGCGGTCAACATCATGACAGCGGTCGACATCATGACAGCAGTCAACATCATGACATTAGTCAACACCATGACAGTGGTCAACATCATGACAGTAGTCAACATCATGACAGTGGTCAACATCATGACAGTGGTCAACATCATGACAGTGGTCAACATCATGACAGTAGTCAACATCATGACAGTGGTGAACATCATGACAGTAGTCAACATCATGACAGTGGTCAACATCATGACAGTAGTCAACATCATGACTTTGGTCAACATCATGACAGCAGTCAACATCATGACAGCAGTCAACATCATGACATTAGTCAACACCATGACAGTGGTCAACATCATGACAGTAGTCAACATCATGACAGTAGTCAACATCGTGACAGTGGTCAACACCATGACAGTAGTCAACATCATGACAGTAGTCAACATCATGACAGTGGTCAACATCATGACAGTGGTCAACATCATGACAGCAGTCAACATCATGACATTGGTCAACACCATGACAGTAGTCAACATCATGACAGTGGTCAACACCATGACAGTGGTCAACATCATGACAGTGGTCAACATCATGACAGTAGTCAACATCATGACAGTGGTCAACACCATGACAGTGGTCAACACCATGACAGTGGTCAACATCATGACAGTGGTCAACATCATGACAGTAGTCAACACCATGACAGTAGTCAACACCATGACAGTGGTCAACATCATGACAGTGGTCAACATCATGACAGTGGTCAACATCATGACAGTGGTCAACATCATGACAGTAGTCAACATCATGACAGTGGTCAACATCATGACAGCGGTCAACATCATGACAGTGGTCAACATCATGACAGTGGTCAACATCATGACAGTGGCCAACATCATGACAGTGGTCAACATCATGACAGTGGTCAACATCATGACATTGGTCAACATCATGACAGTGGTCAACATCATGACAGTGGTCAACATCATGACAGCGGTCAACATCATGACAGCGGTCGACATCATGACAGCAGTCAACATCATGACATTAGTCAACACCATGACAGTGGTCAACATCATGACAGTAGTCAACATCATGACAGTGGTCAACATCATGACAGTGGTCAACATCATGACAGTGGTCAACATCATGACAGTAGTCAACATCATGACAGTGGTGAACATCATGACAGTAGTCAACATCATGACAGTGGTCAACATCATGACAGTAGTCAACATCATGACTTTGGTCAACATCATGACAGCAGTCAACATCATGACAGCAGTCAACATCATGACATTAGTCAACACCATGACAGTGGTCAACATCATGACAGTAGTCAACATCATGACAGTAGTCAACATCGTGACAGTGGTCAACACCATGACAGTAGTCAACATCATGACAGTAGTCAACATCATGACAGTGGTCAACACCATGACAGTGGTCAACATCATGACAGTAGTCAACACCATGATAGTGGTCAACATCATGACAGTAGTCAACATCATGACAGTGGTCAACATCATGACAGGGGTCAACATCATGACAGCCATTTTTACTTTCCAGGACATTTTATGTTAACCATTTCAGGCATGCTCAATCCTGAGTCCCAAGGTTATTTATAAAAGAAAATCAGCCCAGTGGATTCAAACTCAAAACATCCAGGCTGACAGGCAATCATTTAGCAACCGGGCTACGATAACTCATAATTTAGAAATCCAAAAAATAATACTAACGGGCGCAACCATCAGGATTTGACTGCTGGAGGTTATAAAATCCTGGCTTGCATGCTGTACACTTTGATCCA